ATGTCGGACGCTTTGGAGGAGGTTTATGTCGCCTTCACCAACAATCAAGTACCGAAAATGTGGTCGAAAAAAAGCTACAATTCATTGAAAAGTCTTGGAAGTTGGATACGAGACTTGGTGTTACGACTCGATTTCATTAAAGTTTGTTTATTAAAATGTAATTTTTCAAATTTTTAACTAATTAATTGTAGATTTGGGTGCGTTCAGGTCCTCCAGCTTCGTACTGGCTATCGGGTTTCTACTTCCCTCAAGGTTTCCTAACCGGAACTTTACAAACCCATGCCAGAAAGTATAACTTACCGATCGATCAACTCAAATTCGATTTTGAGGTACAAAAAGTATGGATTGAACAGGAACAAGTGAAGAAGATTCACGATGAGGAACAACACGAAGTAGAGCTAAATTTAATTTAATTTAATCATTGATTGAATTTTTTAGAATTTGGAAGTTTATAAAGGTTTGCATCATCCGCAAGATGGGGCTATAGTTCATGGGCTTTTCCTCGATGCAGGCCGATGGGACACACCAACTCATAAATTAGTTGATGCCAAACCTGGTTTGATTTATAGTCGTAGAAAAAATCTTGTGTAATACTCGCGTTTTAGGTGAAATTAATCCCTTACTACCGGCTATTTGGATGTTACCAAAGACTAATTTACCCCCAAATGATAAAAGATATGTGACTCCATTGTACAAGACATCGATACGTGCAGGTGTCTTATCGACAACAGGACACAGTACGAATTTCGTAATCGCTGTTTTGTTACCAACTGATAAACCACAAAGTTACTGGATATTGAAAGGAACTGCATTATTGACACAAATCACTGATTGATTATTTTTATTTGATTTACGAAGAAGACGCGATTAGAGTTTGTTGCAAATGTAAAATTTCATCGGGAATTGCTTCTTTGAGACACTTTCGGGACGCCTCGGAGTAATTCGTGAACGTTTCAAGGAAACTCATGGCTAGGGATACTTCTAAAGGCAAGTCGGTGCTTTTAACACTAAAAAAAAACGTTTAAAACTGAAATTGACAAGTTTTTTACCCACCTTATGTTGTATCTAGTCAATTGTGTGATATAATCACTTAATAAGTTGATAAAACTTTCGTTTAATTTGTTATGGAATTGTTTGATGAGAGTGTGAATTGAGACAGCAAATGTGGTCCCATCGATTTGGTCCGTATTTCGTTTGTTTCGTGGGAAAAAAACTTTGTGTAAATGTGCAATCACAAAAACGAAAATTGTGATATAATGATTGTTGTCGAACTTTGATGTGATGTAGATTTTATTAAATGGGTTATTTAAGCCCGAGTAATCGAAATAGTGTGATAGTGTGGACATGATTTCCTCACTTGGGGCACATTCACCATTAACAATGTCGAGTAATAAAGCCCTGAAACATTTTTTTGAGTGGAAAAAATCACAAATAGTCCGGTCAAATTAGTCATAAAAATAATGGTCAAATAACGAAAATTCTGACAGAGCTAAATTTTGGTGGAGACTTTGGGTACACCATTAGAAATAAAGTGTCAAAAGTCCCATCGATCCCATGTGTGCTAAAAAAGTTATTCCCAGTCAAAGGTCAAAATTTGAGGTTTTTTAAATTTTTTTCGCAAACGGTAAGTTTTATCAAAAAAGTAGCCCAGACAAGAATTATAGATCTTAAAATTATCTACAAAAATGGTCTTTATTCTTTTTTTCTAAGAATCACCATTCCTGAGATATCGCGATTTTAAAAGTTGATGAAGGAGTAACGTTCTACATAGAGAGTGCGCCAGAACTCGCGCCCCAAAGATAAATGCCATGTAGGGTAAGGTACCAGGAACAAAAAAAAAAATTAAAAAAATTCTATCTATAAAAATTTCAAAAATTTGTTTAATGACGTTTTTTTTAAGTTTAGTTCTAAATTTAATTTCAAACCTTTATTTAAAAAAACAACGTTACATTTACATTTTTTAGAGTGAAATATGTCACAATAAATTTAAACTTTTATGTAAAGAAAAAGAATTCTGTGTTACACTGGATTCCAGTGACAAATTTAGTGTCACGTTGATATCTAAAACCTGTTATCACTAAGGTAAAACCACAAATTAGAAGCTACCTATAAGCTGAACTAAAACACTGTTTTGTCGTGATAAGATTTATTTTTCTGTAGAAGAAATAAGTGCAATAAATAATTGTTTGTTTTTTTATTAATAAAAAAGAAAAAAAAGGGTTTAGTAATTGGATTTGAACCGTGGAGTTGAAATTTGATTGGTTGAGATAGTCAAGAGGCGTCTACTTCTGGACGTGGCCGAGTAGGTGTACCAGAATATCTTTGAGTACGGGGGTGATTGAAAAGACTGAACTGTTGTTATAATTAACGTGGATATGATTTGTTTTGATCACTAGTTCGACGTCCATTTTTTGCGGATTAAGAATTGACTTGAGCGACGTTTAACTAAACCAAAGTGGTTGTAGACAAAAATTGCATACACACCAGAGCCTTATATTATCCCTTTGCAGCTTTCCGGGTTTGTACATTTTTTTTTATTGATATTATAACATTTTTTATGTCATATTCGGTCACAAATCGATCAAGAAAATCCAGTTAAGAATAGAGGTTTCACATAATTATTTATTGTTCCACGTTATTTGAATTATTCTCAAGACAAGTTGGAAGCGTTGGGGTTGTTTTCCATTATCAAATTACATTGCTTTCATTGGTTTCCTATTCATTTAGATGCGGGGATTTTAAGTTTAGAATTACAAAAAATTTGTTTTTGTTGCATGACTATACGTTTTTGCAGCCGTTGTCGAAAGCGTTGTGGAACATGTTTTTTGTGATTGGTAAACCAAAGTTTCAAATAGCTGTAGGCGGAATATTTAAATAAGATTTTGTGTCAGATTGACTTACTCTCGTCTGAGAAGGGTGAAACAGATAGATTTAATTCAGATATAGGAGCTTTAATTATAATTGACAGAAATGTAGATTATCCCAGTGCCTTACTAACACCTAGTACCTACTCAGCTTTTTTATTGAATGAAGTGTATGGAGTTAATACAGGATACGTAGAGCATAAGAAAAACGAGACAGAAACGGCACAAGGTAGTCTTAGATCTTAAAAAAACAACCAGTTGTTACTCTGAAATAAAAAAAAACTTGTATTTCACTGAAGTTACGTCAAGCTTGAGAACTATGACCAGAAAACTGAAATCCGAGGCACTCGAATCACGTGACATGGGCTTAATGATAGAACGTACAAGGTATTGTCCTGCTGGAAGAATTTTGTACATTATGTAATGTCCTGCTAGAAGGACTAGCTTTTAAATGGACTTGTCCTTCTAGCAGGACTTTATTCACTATGTAGTCACGTGACAAATTGAACTGATTCGAGCATTTTTAACCAGTGGAGGCGAGTGGTGCAGATAAAAAAACTAGAAACGTGTTTTAATAAATTTATTTGAAAAAATAAACGGTTTTATAAAAATTTGTCTACGCAGAAATACCATCTAAATAATAATTTTATTAAAAAAAAATTACAAAAACCAAAATTTAAAATTTAAAGACTTTAGACAATGCTTTAGACTACGATACCAATTTAAGCTTTTATAATTTTTAATCTAATTGATAAAAAATACACTTAAAGGTGATAAAACACAGAAATTTGTAGTAATAAGTGATAAAATTTGTGAAATTATTTTAAAATTTAGATGTAGTAGATGCTAAAACAAATCATAAAAAACACCACGTATATAGGTAAGTGAAATAACTAATGTCGTTGGCAAATTAATATACAAAAATTATTTTCAGGTTGTTAACAAGACCCCACTAGTTTGTTGTACCAAAAATTTAATTAATTATTAGATGTACAAAATAATTTATGTTTTTCTATTCTATCTAAATTCTATCTAAATCACTAAATTTCACTTTTGTAGTTTTTTTATTTATATTCCATGTAACAACCACGTATTGTTTTTGGGCATATACTTGTATTACTGTGCCCCAACATAGGGCAGAAGCAAAATTTTCTCCAAAATGGAGCCTGCTCCACGAGTTGCCACTGCCCAGAGCGTCAAATATCGTTGCTCTATTAGCGACACGCGTACCTTTTTTAATCTCACCCATGATTGGTAAAAATGGTCGTATCGAGACGAAACAAACATGTTTAGACAGGTTAAAAAAATCTCTTTTTTTTCGTGTAAATGACAGTCCTGCTAGTCCTTCTAAAATAAGCATTTAAAAACGGTAGGACGAGTAGTACGGGTCGTCCTGCTGGCAGTACGTTGTACGTTCTATCATTAAATGAGATGAGACACTACGTGCAAAAGCTCCTCCAGCCCACCCAAACCCGTAAAAAACTAATCGCGAATCAATTACTCGTGGCTGAGACCACAGCTAACATCCTAAGTCCTCGCTAGAGTCGCAGCGAGAAATCGAATCAAACATCATCCAGAACACGAACCGTGCCTCCAACTTCTTCCACTTGGAAGAAAGTCTTTGCACAGAAGACGACCCTTGTGTCACGTTGAGACTCTTTTGTTTGCTTTGTGTCACTCAGAAACTCACCGAGAGCGAAATTAAAAACTTCTGGAGAAAGTTCCTACATCAATTCGGCTTTTCTTCCAGTTTGGCATACCGACACTTGATCAGTGGCAATTTCGTGTAGGAGGTGGAGGTTCCAGGACAAACAAAAATCCGGTTCCCAAAATTCAGGACGAAGGAATTTTACGTCAATGCGAATAAGTTTAAACAAATTCTGGCCAGTCCGGAATTGGCTAATTTGGGCAATCCTGGTTGTGCGAGTTGTCTTCGGGGAGATTTACATGCCGTTGATAACGAAAATTGCGAGTATGAGTAAATTAGAAGGGCTAGGGATGGTTTCTTTGAGGAATGATAACGCATATCCTTTGGGAACGAGAACTGTGCTAATTCCGAAATTGCCACTTGCAATTAATTGGAGGCTTTTACGAGAGCTACAATTATCGTTACGTGTGGTGATTGTCTCAGGTAACGATCTGATGAAGCAAATGTTTGTTTCAATGTGTGAAGAAAGACTAAATAGCTCTTGTTTTAAGAATTTAAACGTATCTCTCTTTGTACTACTTTCTTATTAAAATAAAGAAATAAAAATTTTAAGGTGTTTTAGTAAAAAAAATATTTCGTAATTAAAAATATAACAATTTATTATTAAAAATTATATCTAATGTGAGATATAAATGTTCAAAAAACATGTATTAATGTTAAAACCTTATGATCTAATCAGGCAAGAATTCTACAAGTAAAAGAAAAAATAAATTATCCAATTAATAAATACAAATCCGATGTAAAAATAAAAAGCAACAGCGCTGAAAGACCTACTTTTCTAACCAAATGACTAAAACATAAATTTGTACACTGGGACTGAAACAAAAAATTTAGTACCATAAAATTTCCGGAAATAATTTGTTCTCTTCTCTCCAACTCGCTAAAATATATAAAGGCAACAATTTCATTATATACAAATAAATAATGAAAAAGATAAAATTAACAACAGAACTATGACTAGTCGTTAAAACCTATGAGAAACATTTACAAACAATTAAAACCTACCATCATTAACCCTAGTAATAAGGATAAATAACATTCAATAGCGTCGCATAAAAAATAAAAAATTAAAATATATTTTTTAATATCACCCATTTCATTAATTTTTACCATTCTCGGCTGGTTTTTTCCTTCTCCTCCCTCCTTCGAGAAGATACGACACATCCAACGCTTGTTTCGTTGGCATTTTACTCAAGAGATTCAATAAAATTTTATTCAAACGAGCTTTTTGCTCTACAGGAGTCTAAGACACAAACCAATTAAAAAATAACAATTACAACAACAAGCAACTTACTCTTACAACAGGCACGTGGACTGGCAGAGTTGGAATGACAGTTTCTTTATCTTCAGTTTCTTGGGGTTTGCGACCTCGAGGTTTCACTAACGCTGGATCCAAATCGTGAGGAGTGTAAGTCCGGGAGACTTTGAGTCGAGTTTCGAACCTTTCAAAAGCGAAACTTTTAGTACAAACAGGGAATTTTGATTTGGAGACTTTGCTAAACAATCGCGCGGATTTATCAACACGGTATTCGCATATGTAGATGTGCTCTTCGGGAGCACCGATGGGTCGCCCTTTGCAGAAAGTGTTCACATCCATGACCCAACAATGGGAAATTATTAGTTCGACGGGGACGGCTTCGTACAGCGGGACGCGCATCACCTCATTGGGGAAAAACCTAAAAAAAAACAATTTCGTACCTCATCAAGCTTTCTTTACGTTAAAAAAATAAGACAATTTGAACAAAAGAAGTCAAAAATTTTGTTTGTTTTATTAAGTTTTATTAACTTACTTTCTTGTCGGTTCGTGGTAGGTTTCATGGGGTCGTAAATAATGATGACCGTAAGCAAAGCGTTGTCCCGTCTTGGAATCTTTCCACAAGCGTTCAATCCTAAAGATGTCCAATTCGGAATAGTCAATTTTTCCGATCGTATCGTAAGTGTGTTTACGATCTGTACCAGGAATTGGAATGTCGCGTAAGACATAAACGGTGTCTCCTTGTCTTAGTTGCAATTCGCCTCGTAACAATGTCATGTAATATCTGTGAAAAATCGATTAAAACAGGAAATTATGTCGAGTGAAATAATTAACCTATGTCCGTGTTCTGTGAATTCGTCAAGGGGTATTTCGTAATCGACTTCTCTGGGTACACACTGTTCGCAGTGATAACTCTCGGCCGAAACATCTGCTTTCACACATTCGCTATGCTGCCACACCATGCACCTCTCACATTGTATCATCAAGCCTTCATCACGTGGCATCCCGCAGATACAACGGATGATATCTTCCTCTTCGTCTTTGCACTTGCTTCTATTTGAGACAAAATTCGAGGGTTTCATCCCTAAGACGTTTTCGAATTTGGGCAAACTCTGCTGTTTGGCTTCAACGTAGACTTTCTTCAGTTTAATAGCAGCGACGCCGATTTCTTTCGTACGGCCATAAAACTGTAAATAATTGGCAAACATTCGATTCATATCTGAATTGAAACTCTCAGGTGTCAAATAATAACCCGTGGCGATGTTTTGCTCGATTGTGGCGAGATCAATTGGATTCGTAATACGTTGGTAGAACTCAGGTACTTTCCGTTTCGACGGCATTGTTGTAAAATGTGTACTCAGCGATTCGTTATTTTCATCTTTGGCTTTCGTTACCGTATTCCAAATCTCCCTCAAAACCGCTGCCAACTTCACTGTTTTGCTCAACTCGGGATTATCCTCGGCTTGGGCCAATCGCCTCGTCCGAATATTCCTCGGTTTTTCCAATGCATTTAAATGATTAATAAAAGCCGCCCCCTGATTGGTCGGCGTCATCGCTTGTTGTCTAGAAATCAGCGAACTACTCGACCTATCTCTCATCCGTTTCACTTTCGTCAGATTCCTTAAGAGGAAACAGTGGTGTTCCAAAATGAAACATTTCTGTTGATGACTCATTGGTCTGACCTGCGGGGGCGCCACTATCGGTACTGTCGATTGCGGTAAGGGCAGGTCTTTAACACTTGTAGTCCTTTTAGCTTGATTTTTCCGTGGTCGACCCACACGTCCCGGATTTTTCCCGTCTTTGACTTCCGGTAGTTGACGAACTCTTTGTGACTTGCCTCCAATCACTCCACGGCACATTTCGCTGCCGCATTTGCATTCTTGGCCTTCGGCTGGATTGAAAAGAGAGAAGTTGTAGTCGTAAGTGAGCTCTTCGGAACTGTCGATGTCGCGAAGTGCGAATAAAGCCATGCGAAATTGGCCGTTGACTGACCATTTTTGCATCTCACAGTTTGGTTGACAGGAATGGTTGACGAAACGACCGTCGCCGCCCATTCGGTGGCCGTCGATGACCAAACCACCGTCTAGGTGTAAGCAGTAGTGGTGGGTGTCGTTGACGTAAATAGTAGCCATGCGTTCTTTGAATTCCTGGTCAGAGACAACCTCGCCGACGTATTCCAAGATGAATTCCCCGGCTTTGATGGGCAGTTTCGTGCGGACGCCCCAACCCTTCACGAAATAATGCTACATTAGCCTAATCTGAGCGATATTAAAATCGTCGTCTGCATTGATTGACAGTAATAAAAATAAACTTGAAAACTTAAAGAAAACGAAGGAAAAAATTGACAATTACAGTAAAGGTCAACATTGTGTAGTGAAAATTGAGTCAGATAAACTAAGGGCTGTGCTTTTACTTGATCAAATTTATAATTATTCCCTAAAAAACCCAAGATGGTCTGAAGTTACTTACAGTGCGTCATTGTATTGTCTGGAGGTACATTTCTTCAAAAGGTTATGAATTTGCGAGGAGTCTGTTTTTAAAAGCTCCATCCAGAAGAACTTTAGACAGATATATGGGAAATTCTCAAGGGGATCCAGGCTTGACTAATTTAATTAAAAACAGAATAACTGCTGAAGGCAATAATTTAAAAGACGTTGAGAAAATATGTTTTTTTTTTAAATAAATAAAATTATATTTGCGTATAAAATGTTTTAATTTTTGAAGTTTTTCGTCTATTAGAAAAAATTCAAAAATAAACAATTACGCATTTATTATTATACAACCCATAAAACACAAAAGTAAATTTTTGTATACAGGGTGTTTACGGTCTTGAGGTTGAAATTTAAATGAGATGATATTCACGGTAGAAGAAAACTAATACGCTATATAAAACAAAAATTCACGTTGTTAAAGTAAATTACTCATTTTACACTATTTGTTTGAGAACTGCTGCTTCGACTGCAACAATGGCCATTAGTATCATTACCTTGTGTTTCACAGTAAATCATAATCACGACAACCAAATTATTATTTTAATATTTTGCCATACATGTTCATAAAATTGGAGAAAAATTAAGAAAAACGAATCAAACCTATTGGAAACCATTCGCTGAAAGAGATTAAACAGATCTTCGAATTTTGATAAAAATTAAAGCAAAAGCAAATCAAATGATGACAGTGTCAAAACTATGAAGTGATTTTTCTCTTTCATTGTCATGGATAGGATTGTTTAATCTATTGCAACAATACAATTCTATCTGAACAAGGAAACAATTCCAGTGACCCTCAAACCGTGTACCAATATTTTGGAATTAAATAACATTCTTGATAATAACAATTGTGTGAGTTTTTTTCTCGGTTACTTTATTTCTGTACTCTTCTATTACTAGGTCAAATTTCAACTCCAAGACTGTATAAAAATTTATTCCATTGGAGCGCGGACTCGTCGCTCCCTCAACGGCCATTTTTTGGCATTACCCAGACTTTATTACTGTCAGTCAACGCAGACGACGATTAAAATAATCAAGTTATGGCTTGGATTTTTTTATAATCTAGTCTGTATTTGTTTTTTGTATTCAAAATCGGTTAATATTTACTTCACTTTTTTTGACACAAAATAACAAGAATTCAAACCAAACAAATGACATCGATATGAAATTAGAAAAAATTAATAAAAATAAAAAAGCAACCAGTTTTCTCGCACACAAAAAACGTTACCTTATTTTCGGTCATAAATTTTTCAAGTCCCGGCGCCCACTCGTGCCTTTGTATCTTCTGATTTTGGCACTTGTGGCTCGCGGGACACTCCGCCAATACCAGCCGATTGATACAATCATCCCCGCAATTCGCCAATGGCGTACAATTGCAAGTTTGCGGTTCGCAAGCTCCTGTCGTCGTCTTGACATTATAAACATTTGTCCGTATCTTCCGATAATTCCACGACGGTACGACATCCCTTCCAGGCAATTGCGAATGAGAATGTTGCCACCACAGATCGTACGGTAACTGAAACGGCAATTTGCGACACCGCAAATATTTGCCACAGTGATATGGCGGCGGTAATAGACCGTACGGATGCTCGGCCGGATTGTACGTCAAGCGTGATTTCGCCGCGTTTTCGCTCCTTTTGAGTCTACTAGTCTCACTAAAAACACACAATCAATAAACAATAAATTGGTCAATTGAAAAACGTACTCGTCCTCTTTGAAATAATCGGAGAAAAGTCCAGCGACGAGGTACCGTTTGCGCCATCTTGGGGCTTTCTTGTTTTTCTTCATTTCGTCGCCAGAAGCTGAAGCACGTTCCTCGCGTAAACGCCGGTCGATTATAATATCGATACTGCTGGCGGGTGATATGTCTCGTAGCCGTCTTTTCGGGTATCCGTTTAAATCTATTACTTTTTCAGCACGTTTCCGTTTCTTTTTGTCGAGACGCGACCTCAATCGTTCGATGCTCGCCTCGAGGGAAACCTCATCCATATCAGCGCCACTCTCAGCCCTGTCTTCGATCCGTTCATCTTGAGGAAGACTATCACACTCACTCATGACTTCCCATTTTGACAGTGAATCGTCAGTTTTGGTCGAGTCGGCTTTTTCAGTCCTTTGGATGAATTTATTATACTCTTCGCCATCTTTCGGGACACGATCACAGCTTATCAAAGGCTTATCTTCTTCGGTATCGACCGAATCTTCAACAGAAATCACTTTCTTTTTCTTCTTTTTGACAGTGGGGAAACCAGTGCGGTTGATGGCCCGACGTTTCCTAGGCTTCTTTTTTAAGTTATTATCGACGGAAGTTTTAGCGTCTTGACTAACAACTAAATCGACTTTGACAACTTGTAGATTTTCCTCCTGACTTGACAACCCTCTTTTCATCTTCAGTTCAGAAATGAGGGACTCTAGGGACAGTTTTGGCTTGACTTTCGGCTCAACGGTCGGAACGGCCGGATTCTCCTTCTCCTTGTTAATCACCTCCAACCGATGTCTCTTCTTCGGAGTGGTAGCCGTTATTGAATTATTATTCGCACTGACTTTCTCCTCTTTTGGAAGAATTTCCTCACTTTTCTTTCCATCAGAATACAAGTAATGTCTCTTCTTCAAGGGCAATCTCTGCTCGTTTAAATTCGCCACTTTATTAACCGTCGCATTCACACTAATTTTCTTCTTCTTCTGTTCCGTGGTTTTGCGTTTTTTCGATACTTTTTTCGCAGGTTTCACTTCGGGTACATTCTCTTTCGGCGGTTTACTACTTCCAATAACACAAAATTTCATAAAATCGGCTACTAATTTATCGATTTCGATCACAACTTTGTCGTTAGTCCCGGTCAAAGGTTTGAGAATTTTTATTTTGTATTTTTTGTGTTTTTTATGTTTGTGTTTGCTGTGCATCACTTTAAGATTTTTCAGAGTTGTAAATTTGACTTTGGTATTGTCGATTTTGTTTTTAGCTACGAGTACGGGCCGTTGTTCTGTTTTTGTTTTTATTTTATCAGCTTTATCGGGAGGTTTAATTTCTTGATTTGTGTTATTTGATGTTTTGTGTTTGGGGGGCCTACCCGGCCCTTTCTTTATTAAAGGAGGTCGACCTACTTTCCTCCGAGGAGGATAGAGGACCCGATCAGTGTTAGCATACAACAAACGATCGAATCGATTCGAAGTCACTGATAACTTACTCAATTCTTTCGATTTATTAACCATAGTTTTTGGTTTGTTTTCTTTCTTATTTTCTTCTTTGTTTTTTAAAGTAAGAGTCGGTTCGGGACTTGAAACATGATCGGGACTATTTTGAATCCCAGAATCTGGTGAAACATTAGGATCACCACAATACTCATTCATTGTTTTAGTTTGTGTTTTATTATCATTTTGTGCCTTGTGATTTTTCCTTGGTCGTCCTCTTTTCCTTTTAACTGTATCACCTCCTGTGTTATTATTATTGTTCGTGGTATTATTATTATTACTTTGATTTTCACAAGTGTTTAGGGGTAAGGTTTTGATTCCATCGGTTCCTGTCGGAATTACAGGACACGGTGCATTTAACAATTGGGTTTGAGCAACGAATTGTTGTAACAAACTGTTTGCATAAAGAGTCGAAGGATTAGGTGGTGCATGTGATTCGGATTCGCTAGAACTTTCTGTAGTCCTCTGTATGAGTGCATTAACCGCCTGTTGAGGCAACTCCATGTCCGAGCTTGACATGTCACCCGTTTGAGGTGAATTTTTATCAACCCTGTTACATTCAAAATCACCAAAAGCGTCGCATTCCTGCTGGTCAGGTAAAATCGCCGCTAGGTCCTCCTGACGGATTTCCTGCAAACTGCAGGAGGCTAGAATTGCCCTATCGGCGTCCGAATCCTCCGAATCCGAGCTGGTATAAGTCGAACCTCGGGATAAAGGCAACGACGCCGCCATCTGGAACAAATTCAAACTCTGTAATGTGTGTTCCCAATTGCAGAAAAGTTTTCTTTCTGTTGACTAATACCTCGATCGATAGTTTGATATGAATCACCACCACACATTTCGCGTGGAAATGCATGCACGCACGCAGGACACAGCAATTTTTTTACTTAAGTGGACGCGGGATACGTTCTAGTAAAGCGACTGTTTTACATTGACGGTCGTTTAACCCTCATCGAGGGTGTCCGTTGATCGGGGGAGTATTTATCACGCGATATCGCGTATTCAAACGCCAGGTGGAAGCTACGACGTGCAAGGTGTTCCGACTTGTTACAAGAAAAGACAACATTGTTTGGAATGTAACGGAAAACGGATCAAATTTGTGATAAAATAAAAATCTTGATGCTACCAGTCCTTGGCCATGAACAAACGGATTCATCAACGCGGAAAATCCTCTTATTATTTAATTAATTAAATTTTAAAATGACGGGAGATGTAGACCGTGATATAACATCCAATAATCCTTCGTTAATTCCATAAATAAACAATTAAAAAAGTTGTATACCATTACTCGGATTGATCAACGAATGATGTAATTTCTAATTAGTAATAACAATGCAGGGCCGGAGTGGCTGGTTTACTTTCTTAAAATTACAGAAAAACTGGCAACATAATAGAAAATCACGTTTACGATATTCTTTCTTCCTTATAGCAGTACATAAACAATAATATTTTTTACCGACATGATAGGCTTTTTTTCACCAGTCCGCCCCTGGTAACAAGCACACTCTGTCGCATTTCGCTTCGCATTTAACTTGATGAGACCTTTCTTTACACCTTTTCTCTCAAACGTTTTCTAGTCTAGAAGCAAATATTTGATAAAACCAACTCACAATAAAATTTTGTAACACGTTATAATCGCACCAGAGTCTGGATACACTTGGCAGTCGATTATGAAAAAAAATGCCAGAAAAAAGCGTCATTTTCTCAACAGATGACGAATGTTAAGAGATTTCGACGAATTTTATTGAAGAGGGGGCCTCTTGAGATGTGCAACACGTTTTAATATCACATGGTGAAATGTAATAACGCGCCGAAAAATGGACGTTTTGTGGTTATGTTCAGCAAAATACAATTAATTTCGTTGTAAAGATTCGCCCGCATATGGTATTTAGTTTAACGGAAAGGAATTTGTAATATTTTATTACAACGATCGGTCGCATTCTTGCTCCTACCGATTTCCTGATGCTAAATCCAGAAAATGCTTGTGGCATTTAGGAACTAAAATCGCTTAAAAATCAAAATATAAAACATCGTGAAAGTCATTTCGAAGCCAAGCCTTTTCGCATAACGTGTGAACGTCGATTCGATCGTCGAATTGAATGCATTTCTCGCTTTATACGATTGCCCATATATGAAAATGTTAGAAGGCAATGTTATGAAAGCGCACCTTTACTTGATATTTCTAAATGTCCAATCTAATTGCAGTATAAACTGCGAAGAATGCGGCGCGCAATTAGACTCAGAATCTATTTATTTTTCCAATGACCTTGCAAAAAGATGAGAAAAAATTCGGTGATTGTCCGGACCGGCCCAAAATTTTCATTCGAAAAACTCACCGGACCGGACGAGATGAATATTTTGACATCTCGTTCTCGATGTGGTGACATTTCGTTATTACAGTTGGTGGTTTGCTTCTGCATCCGGCCGAAGCAATTAATTAAGGCGGAGTATAATGAAAGAGCAATGGGCCGGTTAAAAGAATCGCGCAAGCCTTCTGCGAGACAACAATGTTACCGGATGGCCTTGACTTCAACGAGAGCAATGGTGAGCATTTTGTGATGCGTCGTCGCTGGAGGAGCCGGCAAAAAATACCAAATCTACTTCAAATTAAACCAAATTGCAAAAATTTACAATAAAATGACGATTAACGATGCGAATTTTTAACAGCCCAGTCGCATACTCCCGCGCAAAGGTTACCAAATTTTGGTCGTTTCCTTAGAAGCGTACTTAGTTCTCGATGTTGACATGTGGTTGGTCAACTCAAAATAATACAAAGTGATTGGACGAATATTGAGCGTATCCTAGGCAACGAACTTAATTTTTACCACTGTTGCTATGATAGCAATTGTCTTCTCTGGCTACTTTAACTGTCAAAAATAATTACTTAAGAAACGTAGTTAATAAAATTTATGATGTTGGTGTCAAAGTAACCAGGATAATTCCAAATCGCTTTCTTGATGTAAATCATTTTTTCTAGCAAATTGCATAATTTCTTCATCAAGATAAGAATAAATCAGTCATTAACTTATTAAAAAAAATCACATTCCTGGACAATTTGCTTTTTGTTCCATAAATTAATTGCACGTCTGTTAATCCCTCCGAGAGCAATTTTATATTCAATATAAACGCACAAGTATGACATCAATCTGGAATATTCCTTTAAGGTAGTTTCTGCATTTTAAAAGCCGACAGGTGATTCGCGTTTGAAATGTTAAAATATTCAAAGCATGTTTCTCAATCAGAAAAAGCAAAAATTACTTCTAAATCAATCACGAGCAAATTTCATCGCGTTTTTATTTACAGTTTGTCATTAGCAAAGTATTGATAAAGTCGAGTGATATAAAAAAGGCGCCTCATGCAACGTCGAGACGCACTAAACATATTTCATTACACTTTTATAGTTAGAAGTTTAATAAAATGTACATAAATATGAAATTAGCATAAAACTGGTTGAAATGCAAGGTTCATTGTTAAAATTTTGTAATTCCGTACGAGTAACGAATTAAAATAGTAAGTACAAAACGTTTGCGTGTTTTGCAAGCCTTGATTTAAATATACATCTACAAATTACAGGTTTACTGCCTTCTATAAATTAACATAATTTCAAGTTAAACAATTGTGATTCCACTACAAAATTAATCTTTTCCGCTTGGAGGTGAGATTAATGAACCGAAAAATCTGAAAAAATTCATATACGCCAATACTTCAAAATCGTGTGGGATGCTGTTGAGGTCGCGGCCTCGAATAATGACATTTTACAAGGTCCCAAATCTCGTGTCTTTTCTTCCAAAACTGGCTGCAAATTACCGACTCGTTCGAGTTAAACAGAGCACGATAAAGTAGGGAGAGTAACATTGACCTTGAAGCTTTATAAAGATAGGAGAAAAAATTAATACATTTATATATGTGGATACCGACAGACGTCTGGGAACGATTTCAAGAGTGGTAGTGATTATGAAGCGATGTAATTAGTCTCGGAAAACAAAGCACCAGACAGCGGGACTTCCTTCATTATATCCAACTCCCTTATCTTGAAATGAATCAAGAGGAAACGGGGCACCCCAATTCGACCTGGTTTCATTTCCGCTCGCTTTTTAAGGGGTGATCCGAGCCTTTTTCAATCTTTAGACCCTTTCAGAATTAACATTTAAACATCGCCAAAACACTGCGTCTTTGGGGATCGTCAACCCGATCCAAAAACACTTAAAAAGTAAATAAAGAATGTGATAGAAATCACAACTAACTGAAAAAACCTGGAGCAAAATAAAACAGTTCGTCACCTATTTCTTTTTTTTTCTGACCTGATACTGGAAGCTCTCTTCCATCTCCTTACTCCGATACGACTTAACCAAATGACTGACGTACTCCCAAACTCCCTCAGCTATGGCGCCGCTGTCCACCGGTGTGGCGGCGACGTCCACGTGTCTCACCATGCCGGTAAAAATTTCACGCACTCACACTCACGATACCTTTTCAGCTACTCGTTCGACGATCAATTAAAAACGAAGAGGTCGCGTGGCCTACCGGCAACACTCACGAAGGTTGTTGTAAACAACGAAGAGACGCGCGCGCCACGATCTCACGAATGACGATCAAGATTCAATTCAATAAAAATCATTGCAACAAAACAAACAAAGAAACAATAAGAAAGCCATATTGTCAATTTTCTCATAAAGAAATAACGATGCAACGATATAATTAACTCATAATAAGCATAGCCTACGTCTCAAAATTCGCGGTCTAAAGTAGCGACGACAATAATTTTAAATTGACCAATCAAAAACGCTCTCAAAAGCTAATTGGATGAATTGTGATCGTTTCCCGGGAAACGGGTTTAGTTCCTCCTACTGTTGGCACGATAACGAATGTTTGAGTCTTCGCGGTTGGCCAATTAATATAAAACACTAAAAGGTAATTGGAGGAATTTTATCGCTTCCACGGTGACGAAATATTACAGCACTGTGGTTATATGTTTTCAAAAAAAAGTGAAATTAAATTTTGAAACCATATTTTTTTTGTTTTTTGTAAAAGTTGTATTAACATAAAAAAGGTAGTCTAAGATATATTAAACTATTTCGTCTAACGTTTTCAAAACCGTTTTAATATTATAACATATTTTCTATTTATTAAGAAATAGACAACAGATGGAAGAATGGCATTTCTAATCTTAGACAAAAAAATACTTTCAATTGCAGAATCTAAAATCTCTTTAAAATTCGCGCTTGGGACATGCTGGCCCAAAGAAAATTGGACCAAACATGACAGTTTCCTAAGAAACGTGCTTAATTTATACCTTTGTAGCCATGGTAACGACTATAATATAACTTTTCGGTGACTGAAAAAATTTAAAATAGTAAAAGATCCTCCTGTAACGAACACATGACCTGTGGATTTAATAAAAACTAAATGGTTTTTAAAAGATTAGGAAAAACTTCAAGTAGAGCGCAAATGGAATGACCTGTATATTTTCGTAATTTCATCAAATGTAAATAAAAACTCATGGAAATTATATATTAAATTTAAACTTTCCAGGGTGCCTCAAACACAATTTTTCGGTTTTGTATATTCGCGAAAACATTCTTTACAAAAAATTAAATTAAATTAATTTTGTTTTATACCTTTTTGGTCTTCCTCTGCCTGGTCCTGGGCCTGGTGACTGGTCCCTTAGCAGGCGCCGCCTCCTTCTTGGTGCCCTTCTTCTCATCTTTCTTTTCAGACACTCTAGTTCGCAATCTCGCGGCACTTCTCCTAACATTATTATCCTTGGCACTTTTCACACTCGTCTTAACTGAACTTTTAGCACCAGAAGCTTCTGAATCACTTTCCGAATCAGAAGAGCACACTGAGTCTGATGAAGAACTACAATCACCACTTTTAGCCGCTTTAGAATTAGCCACTTTGCTCATTTTATCGATTGGTGGACTTCCTGTTGATTTTCTTACAGTGGCAATAGTGAGCCTTAAACTGTTGGTTTGGGAAGTGGTAACTGAAAATTCTGGCGAGGGGCTCCTTGACGATGATTCAACACTTGATGAGGAACTATCAGAATCAGAAGAATCGCTTTGACTGGAAGCTTCACTCGAGTTCTATAATTGTGGACTGTTATTTAAGATTTTGGAGATCAGGAAGCCACTTACGCTAGATTCAGGTTCCGAGTCGCTATCGCTGTCGGAATTTTCATTATTTTGGGATGTATTAGTGGGTTCTACAGTTAGTCCGGTACTGAAAGCGGCCATATCCACCGTACTAGGCAATTCAGACTCCTCGGGCTCTTCGCATGGTTGGTGGACCACCGAAGACCATAATTCTGTTTGGCTGGTTGCTTCATTTCCTGCCATTTTTTTACCTGAAATCCATTTCCCTCAAAATCAGATTCAAACGAATCAATATTGGCGCCAAAACAAAGCGTAAAAAACAAAAGATACGCCATGTTAATTTGATTTGACAATGCATAATAACCGTTAACAAAAACACGTTCCAAGTACCACAAAAAAACGTCAATAACGTTTAAATGAACGTGTTTTTGACTTATTTCTTGTATTGTTGCAGAAACGTACATTAGTCGTTGCTAAAAAAATCTATTTCCATGTTTACGTTCCACTTTACAAACAAGATGGCATCCAGCTGATTTTAGGTCGCGTATGCGGAGATTTTCATGGTTGTCACTTTTGTTTCGTTTCACTACTTCTACAGGAGTTGAATTTATCACTTATTAACTTAAATTATTTCAGTTTACACATCACTCGGTTTTTAAACTCCTGAAAATGTTACATGGTACGAAACGTCAATTGCGCAACAGCGTCTTGAAAACACGTGTTACCAACAACACGTTCTGAAATGTTACTGAAAAAGAGAAAAAATCTAAAAGTTTTCTAGAAAATTCCAAGTGTCATTTATTACAAAAGGATAACAGCAATTTTAATTTGAACAACAATTAAATCTGTAGGTTATAAATGATAAAAGTGGAGTTCTGTTACTCTAAAATGTCTCTTTTCGCGCGGCATCTACTTATTAATTTTAGAACCATTGCCAACACAGTGTGGTCGGGCTCAAAAAAACTGTACTTTGATTTATTGGTTGCATATAAGCTAGGGGTTTAAAATAAACGAAACACTAATGTGCCTCCCATTTAAAAAAAAGAAAATTTTCATCTACAATTGATTGGATATTGTTTTGTATAATTATATTACTTTGTGTTTGTTGTTTCCAGTATTATTTTTTTATCATCATGACTGTTAATTTAAAACAATTTGAAAAAGTATTGTTTATAAAAACACACTCATGACTAATGGCTAATTCACAATTGAAACCAATTAGCTAGGAAATCACTCGTTAATATATGTTAAATAATGAAAATATTGGAAACATTAGACAATTAACCATTAGAGAATCTTATATTGTTAGGGAGTGATCTGAAATAAAAGCCGCTGAAGATAAATCCTTGAAATCTATTGATTAATTCAGATAATGGCAATAGGGAAATATTAGATTATTCAAATCTCATTGCAAAATTATGTAAATGTATAAAACCCGTTTCAAAATCTTAGGTAAGTGTGACATAATCACTCAACACTACGTTTGGGTATTAGAGCAATTTTAACTTACAAAAAGGAAGTGAAACTTTCAGTTTTCGAAAACTTTGAGAGAATTCAGTTACAAATCCAGTCTAAAAAGGTATTTTCCAAACTTTGATTTCATCAATTACTTTACAAATAATATGACTCTTGCGTTTTTTCCCTCCCTATTCATTAAGCATTTGTATACACAGCGCAATGACCTGAAAGTTTCAATAACTTTTTCAAGTAATTTGAGCTTCAATGTAAAAACATGTTTTTTTAAAAGTTGTTTTTATTAGGGAATAAATACTACCTAGCACCAAAATAAATAGTAATTAGTAAATAGTTAATTTTCAAATTCAATAATTTTAATAATATTTGTTTTAAACTTAATATAAACTAATAGTACTAATATGCAGTAGGTAGATATAATGGTGTACCTATCCATTTTGTATTTAACTAAACTGTTTGGTTAATTAATATAGGTACATAGGTTTCAGTTTGCTTAATAAACAGTGTCTCAAAATTGACGCCCGTGTTTTTGGAATTTAATTCAAATCGAAAATTAACCTTCTGAAACACACCCCAAAAGCTCGGACGTCAATTTTGACTTTTGAGACATACGATATACATACGTAATTTTCATAAAGTTAAAATTGCTAATAAAAACAATTGTCTTAAAGTAAATTGTATCTTATTCAACTCCATATTAGGACGATTATACGTGTTTATGTCATAATTGACGATAAATTGTGTGAATTTAATCAATATTATATTTATAAACACAATACTGTATAATTACTACCTAATTAGGTACATTTTAGAGTGATTATTATAAATTTGAAGAATATCATTTTCATTATATTGGTAACCTTTCTAACTTTAATTATAAAAAGATCAGTGATTACGTTCTCGGGTAATTGTACAAGATGATCATTCTGAGAACAAATCTAATTATTTGTTTTTTAAAACGCTATAAATCTTTGACCAATGCAAGATTTAATAATAAACTTTTAGTTGAATATTAGAGTTATTTAATAATTACCACACCGTGGGTATAAGATAAATATCTTCTACTGGCGATGGCGTTGCCTTAATGACATACAGGTTGCGCCAGAACTCGCGCCCAAGAGAAAAATGTAAGGTAAGATACCAAGAACATGGTAAAAATGTTAAAAAAATTCTATCTGTAAAATTTGCACTATGACTATTTATTTCTGTTGGAAAAATAATTTTTCAAGTTTTTTTGCTACCTACAGGCTATTAGAAGAGAAAACAAGAAAGATGTATCCTAAATTGTAAGTCTATTTAATGTTACTTGTGGCTTTTATTAGCCAAATTTTTATATAAAATATAAAAACATATTTACAAGATCAACAGTATCATTAAATAGACATAAAAAAGTGTCAAATGTAAAAAAAGAATCCATGTTCCTCGTATCTTATTTTTTCTGGGGCGCGAATTCTGACACATCCTGTATGCCTAAAAGTAAATATCGTTAAGCAATATTTGACGAGGGTAGAAATGCGCATTAATTACAGATTGTTTAACTTTTGGTTAAACCACACATATTCCGTTTCACCGTTTCGCAAATATTACAACTTATATCTCATGTTCTTTTTGCAAAGTAATACCCGTCTTAATACTTTTGAAATAATTTTCCATCGAAGCGATGCGCTTGCAGTTTTGCTTTTTCCGAGTTAATATTTATACACAAAGTTCTTGAACAAATTTAGATCATGAAGTAAATAGTTTTACGAGATCATATTGCCCTTTCGTAAAAAAAACGTGTTTATGGCTTTTAAGTGGAACGACTACTAACCCAATTAAATTACTTGACATCATTGGAAACTCAAGTTACACGTATTGCTTTGAAATGTCGACATCAAATGCAAGAAAATGAGACCGAGTTAATTATTGCATAACACCAGTATCCGACAAATCCTTGAAATCAAATCCGGAAACGACTTGAATTTCCATTTATGGTGCTCATCGCCTTTTGATAACATTTTCACTCCTGTTGGTCACATAAAGAAAATTTCTAGGTAATTTCATTTGAGAAAATAGTATACAAAGAACGAGGAAAATTACACAATGACAAAAGTGTCAGCCTGTGGCCAAACTTAACTTAGCATAATATATTATCTTTTGATCTCCGTAATGTTTGCATTATAAGCATTTAAAATGTACACTTCGTTGGCATTTCGCTTTTTTGCTGTTTAAAAATTTAATTCCAAAGTTTTAACATGTATGTACTTTGAGTAATCACGCTGTATGGAAATGATGATGTATTGCCTTTATTTTATTAAAACAAGTTTCACGTTACCTGCCTAAAAAATGTATGTTGGTTACTGAAACTTTTACCATGATATTGACATGTAAATATCAAATAAAAAAAAATTGGGATAGAAACTCACGAACTTTAACGTTATCACAACATTAGTAGTTTTTTTCCATAATAAATTTTAGCAAGTCTCTTTGAAACAATCCACATCAATAAAATAATCGTAAATATTGGAAAGTCTTTGATTCGCAATTCTCTCCTGTTCCGACTGATAAATGTTTCATTAGGAAAACCTTTTATGACTCGATGAAATATGCGATTCAATTATTTTCTATAATTTCAGAACAATATTTTACCTTTGTGTGATTTTTTATTAGCAAAAGTCGCATTTCATTTTACCTAATGAGAAGATAAAAGCTTTCCAATAAAAAACCATGTATACAGCTACAGCTCCCTGTTGCACTTAATGTAATACAATGTAAACAATTTTAATTTAATCTGGTAGCTCTCAAGCTTAAAACACGAGTAATTATTTTTTTATCGAAAACATGTCACACGTGTGTGGCCCTTGATGTCACACTGCGCTTGTAATATCCGTAAAAAGGTAAAATATTAAATTTTTATTAACTGAACCTGAAACAGAAATCATTTTAATTTATTCCTCTGTGATATAAAGCATCGGAAATATGTGATAATATTTCAACCACCATTGTTACCGGCAAAATTTCAAATAGACTGTTTTAAACTTTTAGATTTTTTAAATTAAAGTAAATTAAATTGAAGTATACTTACCGTTTTCCAACCATGTTTTAATTAACAGTGGTTCCAAATGAAAACGTGCTTTAAATCAAAATTAATTTATCTTTTATTAAGTGAGTAATATTGACAAAAGTTCGTTCCATCCTCTATACCCAAATCGACATCTTTATGACACCTTATCAAAGCCCTGATCGGATAATATGGCTGGCTAGTCTATTTTGAAGATGTCCAATCAGCTTATCGTGTTAGAATTTCGGCATGGGAGATGACACTATATTTATATTTTATTTTCGTCCGAAAACAAACCTCGAAATGATGTATTACCACGTCGAGGGTTAAGAACATAATCACTCTAAGCATAATTATACTTTTACGGAGATAGTATTACATCACGTTTTGAATTTAGCTTAAATTCGGTTGAGATGAAGCAACAAAGGATTTTTATAAATTAGGAATGTGTCTGTAAACAGCTTCAAACACTCGCGGTTGTTTTGATTAAACTAAATTCAGTAAAATCCTCGAAATTGCGAATTTTTATCTTATTATTTATTAACATTGTTTTCAAGTTTGTAGGAAAATATTTCTCTTTCCGCTACACAAGTGCGTTGATGAACGTGCAAAATAACAATTTGCTGAATTATAAACTAAGTGCACTGCTGCTTGTTTGGTTGTAAACGAACATTTTTAAAAATAGAACTTTTGTAAGTCTTGCAAGGTAACAAATAAAAAAGTACTGTTTGTTTAAACCGAAAGTGTTCGCGTGTTATGCAGCAGACATAAATTGAAGATCAATCTCGAAATGATACCCTATAAAATATTTTCTGTATTGAATCCAACATAAGTTTATCAATTTTTATTATTTACGCACAAGAAATTTATTATGAGTGTCAATTTACAGCATTTTCAAATAGCCTATCAATATTCATGAAACGTCTGATTATTAACAGAGTATTCAGGCAGCGTTGCCCATTAAAGGGAACGTAAGTCAAACAGTTGGAGCATTTAATAATTTACTTACCCAAAACGGGTTCAAATTTAAACATGTTAAATATTTTTCCTGGTGACATTATGTATTCTCCGTGTGTGTTACAAATAAATCTTGCCGAATTTGGATGTATAGCACCGGTCACACTTATGTAAATTGGTATTACATTTTTAAAATTTACGAGTGAAATAGGTTAGTCGCGAAATGAAATTGCTCTGGGACACAAAGCGCAACTAAAACTCATTTTAATAAAATATTTTGATTACTGTAGTGCCTATCCTGAATTTATAATGTTGTGAAAAATAATTATACAATATTAGACGTGCTGCCTCGAGACTAATCTAAATTTAAATTTATAATTATTAACAACTATCAGATACACACTGTTATTATTTTGGGATTTGGGGATTATACCCTCGTATAAAAATAATCAAAGTTATATAATCGATGAAATTAACCAATTAATAACCCGGCGCATCCACCATTTTTACCGAAAGCCCTCAAATAAAACCAATATAATTTATCATTTCAAGATTATCAGTGCTGATTTAAAATAGTATTGATAGTCAGTGTGCCTACTCTATTCCTAACACAAAATTTGTAAGAACTATTTCTTGTATATCTTGATTTTTTTCTCTAAATTATCACTCTTTACAGCTTTAGTCTATTTTATTTTTATGTTTGCACTAATTTTACCTTTTTGTTTTTTATTTATATTTAAACTTAATACGGCCTTACCTTCTAAGTTTTTATTAATTCATTTTATGCATATTATTCAATTTATGCAAACGACAACAAAAATCAATTTTTTCTACAATCAATCATGTGAAATTGAATTTCACACATCAAAATCAATACAGAAACTTTCGTCGTTTTTTGTAAAGGGCGCGAAATTCACAGCAGTGCGTGAAGTACTCATTTCACACACTGGCGGCATTTCACGCACTCACAGAAATTTGACTACTAAATTTTGTATTTTAAATAATTAAATAAAATAAATAATTATCGAAAAAATGTTGTTTAATTATAATAGGTGTTTGATTGTGAACGAACCATCGTATTGAAGGTTATTAATTTTGACATTTGACACCTCGTCGGGTGTACCTATTAAAAATTGTGGTTCGTTCACAATACACTCAAAACACCGCCAACTATGATGCCAAAATTTACATAAACAATTGTTATTATGTATAAGTATGCAAAATTGTTTTTTAGCGCAAAAATGCCTTTATACGATATTTTATTGCGTTAAAAAACGGACTTAAGATGAAAATAACTGTTACTTGGCTATTTCTGGTCTAGAAAATCATATTTTAAAATTGGTTGACCGCTTTTTTATGCGTACGATAAATGTTTTATGTATATTACCCAGTTTTTCCATAAAAGTATGATAAATTGTTATTTAACATCATGTTTTACATCGAGGATTTTAAATTGTGTAGTTTATATTTTTATTTTAAAGTTTTATTCAACAATGATAAATTTAAAAATCAATTACTTCATCAAAAAGTTATATGAAACGTAAATAATTGAACGATTTCATAAAAGTATGACAATTTCCAGTTTTTCTGCATCAAACTGTCTGGAATTGCATGAGTTATGATTTCATTAGTGTCCCAAGGCGGCTACCTGGCGCAGTAAATGTGAAAAAGAAATTTGTCAAAGGCTTTTAAGATTTGTTTTGTCTCAACCGCGTCACAATTTAATAAAACTTTTCATTATTAAATTATAAAATGATTTATAGCAGCCAACAATTAATAATAATTATTTAATTAATACTTGCATTTGAGGACTCGTTTATAAATCGAAATTCTGTACAAATAAACTGAAACTTTGCTGAAAGTAACCGAGCGTTCGATTTTTATCACTGGACAAATAGAAGTGGGTCCAACCCTTAAGCACTTTTAATTTTTCACATGAAATCCCTCTATTTAACTATTCGTGTTTGTTCTTAAACCAATCAGAATAGCGGTGCGCATGTCTCTGGTTTCAGTTGAATCCAAAGAGATTCATTCATTCAGTAGGGGTGCGTTCTTTCCTGCTGAAAACTCCTCTCTTATTTGAAAACACATAGTCGCGCGCTTATTTAAATTCTCATCAACTTTTTAACGCAATGTGACAAAAATGTTTGTAATCTCGTTTTATGAAAGCGTTTGGTAAAATGGGCGAGGAACTTTATGATGAGGACTCTAAAAGTAACTTTAGTGTGTTAAATGAAACTTTAGACGGTTTTACTAACGAAACGGTCTCTCCCGACGTACTTTTCCAACAAAATTTAACAGTTATTCTCGTATACAGTGCACTGTTCGTCGTTGCAGCAGTCGGAAATTTGACTGTTTTTATTTCGCTGTTCAGGTCGAGACATCGCAAATCAAGAATAAGTTTAATGATTCGCCATCTTGCCATCGCAGATTTGATTGTAACTTTTATTATGATTCCAATCGAGGTAAGAAAAAACTCAATTTGAAAATAATTTCAATTTATTAACAACACAGAAATCGGCGCGAACGCATTTATTTTGCGGATAACAGCAGCGAAATATCGAAAATTACTTCTATAGCCACTTACCTGTCACTTACAATGTCGACATTTCAACGCTTCACTTAAATAACTCTTCACAAAAGCATAAGTAAGGGTAAAAACGTTTGCAAATTCAATTTCAAATAGTTAAGACTGAAGTGTGTGAAACAACCACTGTGCTTTCAATTATCGTCATTTGGTATGAAACACTATGTCACAGGCATTTGCAAATGTAATGGTTGTGGCTGAGCTTTAGTTTTACGTTTCACATCAAAAATTTTATCAGAAATATTTGCTGAAAGAAAAATTAGTTTTGGAAAAACTGAAAATAGGCTAGTAAAAAAACACTACAAGAAAATTTATTCTTGAATTGAAAAGTGTTTTCTTCATTTCAGCTGTCAATGCAATAAATAAGAAAATGATTGATCATAAGCAATTGAATGTCAAAGACACACACTAATTATTGCATAACACTTAAAAAAAGGCACTTTTAAAAATACAACCTGCACTTTTTCGGATTTGTTTTTTTTATAAAGGCAGATTGAACAATACTAACGTTGTTAAAGATATTTGGAAAAGGATTTCGTTACTATTAAAATCCTACTTTATATATTTTCTAATGTTGCAGTATTTTAACAAGAATTTTTTTAACGTCAAAAACATTTTATAATCTCACAAAATTAATTACTAATTTAAAATGAAGTACCTGTGTGCAAACTGCTATATTTTATTAACTGAATAGCTTTTAGCTTACAAGATCAATAATTAAAAAACTTACCCAAAGCTCAAATTTGTTTCCGAAAAAAACTAATTATAATTATGATTCATAATTCATATTTTACGAACTTCTGTTGAATAACTTTTGACAAAAACAAACTAGTTTTACGAAAAGTTTGATTTACCCTTTTTGCGTAAAACGTTATTGTTTACAATGAATGAAATCAAACCGATCAGGTTTTCGTGTTGCAAAAATATTTATTTTAAAACAGATTTTACTTTGTACTTTGTACAACTATAAATTTCGGCTTGTATTTGCTTCGGGCAAAGCATTCTCGTAAATAAATATGAGTAATTTGAAAAATTCGTATTACATTGTCGAAAGTTACATAACTACCTCAAACGCAAAAATTTGTACTTTCTTAAAAAGATATATCAAGACGGAATATTCGTTTTAATAAGATGTCTTCTTTGACATTTTATTTACACAACAAACTTATCGACAAAATGAGATACTTTTCATATCCAAATGACAGGCCATTCGTTGGAAAATCAAACGAAACTTTATTTAGGTATTTATTTCGCAGTTTATCGAACTAGTCAATGGAAAAGTACATTTAATTAGAAAGAAATCCATGCAACCGCGGAAGACATAGAGCTTGATCTATAATTTATAAAATCGGATGTTTTTGCTGAAAGACCGAAATCCCAGTTGTAATTTATTTACACGAACGTACAGTGTTTCAGCTAAAAAAAACCTCGTCATAAAACATCGAAGCGAGGAGGAATGTAAGAAATGCGTTGCAGGTTACTTACTCAAACAGGATGATTAACAGGGGAATATGCGTTCCCGTAAAAAATTTAATCAAATATTTTAATTAGTGGTGTGTGTGAAATTCCAATTTATTGATTTTATTTATTGACTATATTGGACAAAAAAGCCAATTTAAGAGCCAAGTTTTAACACTTTCTTTGGAGAGAGAAACCCTTATAATATCTGTATTTTTAGGACGCGCGTCTTAAAAATACAGATATTATAAGGGTTCCTATTCATTAATATGAAGCAATATTTGAACCTCAAAAATGACCAATAAAATGATGATGAAATTTGTTCTTTTTGTAATAACAACCAGACCATTTGAACAAATATTATAAAATTTGGAATATTACTTGCGAGAACATACCTTATAAGGTTATTAAAGGTTATGTGTTTTTCAAAATTGATTTTAAAATTGATTTATCTATTGTTTTGAGCAAAAAAAAATGTTATAAGAGGTGAAAAAAACGAAAAAACACAGAAAACATAATTTGCAACTCCTGGAACCGGAAATTGAGTAGATGTATCCGGTTTTCGTAATTACCAGTTTAAAAAGTATGTTTCCGCAAGTAACTATTCCAAATTTCTATACTCACATTCCGAGAGCTGTAAAATTCTTAAGAATAGAGATGGGACACGAGTTATTATTTGAATTAACATCATTTTATGGCTCATTTTTGAGGTTCAAATATTGCTTCATATTTATGAATAACCCTGTATACTGCAAAGTTTCTCCAACATGCTATAATGGATTAAAATACAGAAATTGACGAATGTTACAGACTTTGCTGTATTTTCTAGTCTTTTGTATGACTCGAAATTTTAAACATGTTTGAAACAAAGAAGTTTCAGCGAATTGATAACTCTCAACCAGCGTGATGCATAATTTTCATTGAAAAGCAGTAATTTTTTACATATACTTACATTAAAATACCATTTGGGAAACTTCGTGGCAGCTAACAAATTTGCATCATAGATCTCATGCCGTTGTAGAATCGTTTGAATAATTACATCATATAAGTCTCTTTAAAATACGATCTAGGATTAGTAGGTTTCATAAGCAAGGTCAGTCCATTTGCCCTAATTCCCCCACACTTTGACGATGATCACCCTTCACCCTCTGTTGAATTATTTCTAAGAGATTCCTCATTGTTCTAGCATTATTTCCACTACTGGCAGGCGTTGTAATTAACTAATTCAAAAATAGACAATCTATTGGAATTACAAAGTTATGTTTTGTTTTGAATCCCCAAGTTTCATCTAGTTTGGGATTATACAACAAATAATCTCTCATACATTACGTGTAATCAATCTTGTTCCATTGCCTCTAAATATAAAGGCATTTTTGAGGACCCTGAATTTAGACAATATATCAACTCATAATGACCTCAACATGACATAAATAAGCAAATAGTTGTTATCACAATTACCTACACAAACTCATGACATGTCACAAAAAATCTAACGCTCTTTGCAGCTTTTAATATTGATTTTCTGCTTAGAAAAATAAAAACATAATTAGCATCTAAAAACAAATTTAAATTTGTAAAAGATATAATGCCGAGTCGGCAATTATTTTTTAAAATTTTTACTGTTCGAGAATAATTTAAAATTTACGTTCAGAATTTATAAGACGAAAATAAAAGTCTTTGTATCCCGAACTAGCAACAAAGAATTTAATTTAGCTGCAGATTTGAATGCATTGTGCATTGTGAAAAATTGAGAAAGTTGGTTAAATCGAAGCTGTTTTAGCCGAAATAAAGGTTTCGATAAACAAATTTGAATTAGCAATAAGCATTCTCTCCGATTTGTAAATTTTCACATATATAAACTTTATATTAAATTCCATAAAAATGTGCGTATGTTCTACCAATAGAAATGAATTTAAGTACATAACTAATTTAAGTATTTAATCATTTCAGAAGTTAATTAAATAAATTGAAACTATATTAATATCGCCATTTTTGTGACCTTGATCCATTTTGACACACAGGTTAACTATTACCTATTATTACATTTTACTTCACCTATAAACATATTGGTTTGTTTTATTTTTAATTTAAACAAATAGAAAAAAAATGTGTGAATCTGGATAGGACTGCTTGTTCGATCTAAAAAATCTCTTTTTTTGTATGAAAATCCTTGACTGGAATACCAATAAGTGTGTGGGTGTTTCCACTTTCAGGCAATACGAAAATGTAAAATTTTTCAATTTTCCGAATGTTAAAATATTAGAAAAAGTTTCTTATTGTAATTTAAGGTTTCGATCGAGGTTTCAACAATTTTCCCCTTCTTGCTAAAAGTTGTTAACGTTATCATACAAATATATAAATAACGTATTTTAGGTGCTGAGGCACTACGTTAAAACTTAGAAAAAAAACACCTTGCGAAACTCACTTCCTAAATTACTATTTTAATTATTTCGTATTTATAATAACTACGAAAATTTGAAAATTTGTAATCCCTTGATGGCCATGATATGACATGTCTAATTATAAACACATAATCCGCCTGATTTAGTCTACTAAGTATTACGTAAATGAGTACCAATAATAACGTATAATTTATCACAATACTAATTAGAGATGAGCAAAAACATGTAGATAATAACAAGTTTCAAACTGGTATAACATTGAATTGAAAGTTCTTCCAAACAAGAATTGATCGAGATAAAAAGTTAAAAATGTGTTTCTGTGTGGAAAAACCTGATCAAGAGAAAATCGCAAAACTTTTAATGCCAGAAAAAAATACACGTTCACTGATTCAATTAAAAACGTTAATTTAATTAACGTTAGTTCGACAAACCCCATTTTAATTTAATTCGATAGTCTTTTATTTCCATTTTAAATATGATTCGATTTGCAACCGATCGGATTTCTCATAAAAGACTTTATTAAAAGTTTTCAGTTAAATTTTGTCAGTTTTCCCAAGCTAAAACAAGCTGCTGAAAGAGACTCACAACTTATCTTGAACTTTGCCACCGGTTCATTTAATATGAAAATATTTAGAAATTTATGTTAAGAGTTTATAACGTGATTATGTGGATACATTTCCGATTCGGGTAAACTTGTTTATACGATGGTAATAATAATCCGTGTTGCAAACACGAATGAATATTCATGAAGAAGTGTTTATATTGTTGTGGGTAAAAATATTAGCACAGCTTGGATCACTGCAACTGTAAATTGATGTTTGTGTAGTTCAACTTCTTGCCACTACAACTCCCATGTATCGATTTTGAAACCAGAAATTTAAAAAATAAACAAAATGTACTTCCCACCACCAAAAACTCTTTAAATTAGGAAAAAACATCACTCGTTTTGTGTGATAATAAAGTTACAAAAAATATTTATTTCAGAGAAGCTCATTTCGACTTTTTTAAACGCTATCATTCTTAATTACGCGGTGTGGTTCTCTGTTTTCGTAAATTATTCATGTTTGACCCCAACTTTTGTGCTTTAACCACAGATGAGTAATAACTGAAAAAATCTTATTCTCTTTATAGCACAAATTCCAAAAAAATATTTTTTTTCATTCAATTTTTCATGTAACATGACACTAATTCAGCGGGGGTGTTAATCTTGACGGATAATAAATTTCGTGGTCATAAATCTGTTTGCTGTGAATTTTTCAAGCGGAAAATATATTATAAATATTAAAAATCAACACAAGGTAAACTCGGTTTATTTGGACGTAAATCTAATACGACAGAAGAGGTAATGAACTGAACGCTTGCGTCACGAAAATTTAAGCAAAATAATTTCGTGCGAGCATATTAGACGATAAAATACAGCTGTTAGACTCTCGAAGATATTACAATTTTTTCGCAAATGTCTCCCCTTAAAGTGTTCCCGTCAATATTCTTCAAGTGTCTAGACGTGAAACTCGGCACGATCATCTTAATTCATACAGACACAAAATCTTTACAGAAATCTAGTTAAATAAAAAAATCACAATTCGCAGGTTAAAACTTGTTTTTACCGACTACAATCCAGTTTTGGACAAATTGAGATATTATGTATTGTTTTAACCTTTTTACTCGCCTTGTGTAAATTTTATTGAAATTGATTATTCATTGCATTTGCATTGTTTATGTCCCAAAAATGTTTGAACATACTTCAATATTAGTTTAATAAACATTCACGAATTTTTTAAAAAAGCTTATTTTTGCTGACGTTGTGAAATTCGGTTTTTACCCACTTCCAAGCATTTAACCTTACTATCCACAGACATTATCATTAGTGCACTATGCAAAAAATATTAAGCAGTTAAACCAAAATGTTTTATGTTTGATTTTCAAATGAACGAATTTGTCAATTGAATCCAAATATGAAATATAACAAACGTAACTTTTACTGCAAAAATGTTTATTCCTCTTTTATACCTAACATGTGACTGTACATAAAACGTTTATTACAGCCGTAAAGCAAAAATTACATTGTCCTGTATTTTTAATAAACCATGTTAGCAGATTTAATTGAAAATGTGCTCCTTATTCTATAACGTTGATCTCTTTTTTCCTTTAACATTGAAAAGGAAATGAACCTTTCTAACGCTTGAAAGATAATTGCCGACCCATTTTATACAATCTCAAATTTTATTAAGTATTTTCCGTTTAATCTCATTTATAAATTGGCGAGCAAATAAAGAGCACATACAATAAGATCTTTACTTGTATATAATGTTTAGTTAATTATTGAACTCATGAGCTTAAAGCGTTTTAGTAGGTAGTTTATTCCACCAAACACGTAACATAATATAACAAATACATCCTGACAATAATATTACTTCATTTAATTAAACTTATTCATTCCTAGTGGAGACTAATTAAATAGTTTTTTAAGTTGCCATTAGTCAGTACCAAATATTGTGCTTTATTAGTTAAAATCTAATTAATAAATAATTAGTCAACTGAGTGTAAATTTTACGAAATCATAAATTAATTAAGTATTTATTATTTAACACAATACCAGTGGGTGTAATCAATATTTGCTGGCTGTTGTTAATATTTACAAAATTAGACAAAAAGTAAACTACATTTAAATTCAGTTATAAGTTCAAACGTAAAATATTGGAAAAAATAAATTCAACATAACCTTAATTCAGGAAGTAGATAGTAGATGCCCATTTTATTAACATCAAATTAAATTAATTACATTAATTAATTATATTAATTAAATTATCTGCTGTAAAATGTAATTAAATGTAGATTGAGAATATTGAGGGAAAAATTCAAACACAAACCTGTTCTTAAAATTATTGAAATTTTTTTATAATAAAATATTATCAAAAAAACACCAAAAAAATCGGTTTCTGTTAAAAGACGTAAAGAAACTATTCAAAAATTAAATTAAAAATTAAATTAAACAAATATTGAGTAAACGTTTTAACCAATTTGGTTATTTTCCATGCTGCTTTCTGAAAGCTTTCTGAAAAATACGTCCAAAAAAACTGAAAAATTTTGTTTACCGAGTAGGTACGTCCTACGTAATATTGACTTTGAGATAACTAATGAGAATAAAAGTTTGTCGGCCGAGTGTCAATCTAAAGACAGTTTCATAACTTAAATTAGGTAAAGCTCTTAAACAAGAGTAGGAAGTAAAATGCATTACGTTGCTTTAAAGTTATTCCAACTTTGTTAACACCTACTTAAGTCGACTTTGTAAATTCCAGGTTGGTTGGAGATTGACTGGCAAATGGATCGCTGGCAATGTGGCATGCAAAGTATTTCTATTTCTTCGAGCTTTTGGGCCCTACCTTAGCAGCAATGTCCTTGTGTGCGTGTCCTTAGACCGATATTTTGCTGTTCTGCATCCTCTCAGAGTCAACGATGCCAGAAGGAGAGGCAAGATAATGCTTGCCTTCGCATGGGGAACGTCGTTCGTTTACTGTATACCACAGGTAAATACATTATAATTAATTCCCTTCTATTAGTTCTAAGTAAATCTGATTTACTCCAAAATGGGGGAATTTTAACCGAAAACAATACGATGCGTTCCAAAAAGCTCGCCCGGCGCATCCACCAAAATGTTTGGATAATATTATCAACGACAATATGTAAGAAAGCTATCAAATTTAAAACTTATCCTTCAACCAACAATAGACAGTTAACACACTCAATAAATCTAAAATTGCTTTATTCAGCTACTAGATATTTGTGCTGGTAAGCAAAATAGTAGCACGGGGTAGACAGGCTAATGAGGCGATTTGTTTACTTAAGGTTTCTATTAGATGAAAATAATTAGCTTATTGCTTCTATTAAAATGTCAGCGCAATTTCAATTAAAATTATAAAAAGATAATGGCATTTTTTGATCAATGTGAAAAGATACAATAAAAAGCAGGTTGATGTCTCCCGTTCAAGCAAACTTAATAAAATAAAAATTTTTAATTAGTTTCACTCCAAATTTGAAACATTTATGTAAGTACTCTTCATTTGTTCTATCTCCTGTCAATATTTAATCAGCGGTTTACCTTTGAAGGAATTGTTCAAAGGAGCATCGTCATTTTCTATAAGAATAATTTATGATTTGGACCTTTGTTCTATATACCTTCCGAGACGCATTCCTTCCTTCTTAGTTGCAATTTCCGTTATGAAATTTTAAACGTAAAACTTATTGTAACAAAATGGACCTCTAGCTTGATATTGTAAAGCAATGTAAGAAAAAAACCCAATAACAAATTCCTCTGCAGCTGAACCTTCAGTGACTAGTCTATTTATAACAAGGGCTCTTTCCATTTAATCAAGCCAACAGAAACACGATGCAACCTTAAAAAAATTTCTAAGTGTGATTTTTCTGTAAATATTAGATACGAATCTTGGAGGTTAAAGGCAAAGCCAATTCATGAATCTAATTTACAAAGCAAATTTCTTTGTTGTGAGCAATTCAACAGGTTTTGAAATAACAGAGTTGCGTGTAAAAACAAGGAGGCCATTAGTATTAATTAAATTCGGGACAAGAACCTAAAAATTCATACAGAGATCGAATATGCTTGCGGCAGCTGACATCCACAAAAGCGGCAAATTACCAAAATGTAAAAATATTACATTATATTATATTATTTTGTTCTTTACTTATGGTGTAATATAATTGGGAAAATAATATTTTTACATTTAACATTCAACGGCTACTAGTTGAAAAATTGAGATGTGTACCCCACCTCAGTCAAAATTTTATTATTAAATAAACAATGTTATGTACCGATGTACACATTATGACATAGTACTAATAATAATAATTAATATTGATACCTAATTATAATATTTTAATCAAATTATAGTTAAACACGTAACATGCAAAACATTACTAAACTATGCCACTTAATTGCTGATCTCGAAACAATGTTTAACTTCGTATTAGATCTAAACAAGCTCAATTATTCTAGCTTTTCCACTGTATCGATTACTTGAAAATAGGATTTGCGGTACCTGTCACTCATAATTGTATTATTTTGTAAACATAAAACAATTAAAACTTTTTAATTAGTTAAACAGTCGACAAGAAATAAATAAATACAAAACTCAATTTCCCATTAAAAATGCTCCCGAAAATTTCCAAAATTTTTAACCAACCTCAAATATTTGCAGTTGGTTTAGGAATAATTTTAATTACTTTAAAGTAAATTGTCCGATTATAATTCCCTGCTATTGCAGAAGCATTGAGGTGCGGTAGTGCACCACCTAGAACCTACGTTCTATGAATTGAAACTAGCAATTTATCGGAAAATTATTGTGAAACCTCTCTCTAGCTCGATTCTGATCGATAGCACATTACATTACTTCCATCCAATTATAGTCCAAAGTCACAGCAACTTTAAAATTTAACTGAACTAATTACTTGATTATTTTCATTTTCGTGAAGAAAATCGTAGAGTATAAATGTTCTTCAAAAATTTGTACTTATTTTCTTTAACATTTTCTCATGTTTATGTAGCCACTTTTTTATTATAATTTTACAGCACTAGATGTATTAGTAAAGTTTGATTCAAGTGTTCTTCATTGATTTAGTGTCTTTATTTTTGCAATAAAAAACCGTGACTAGAGCTAATAACTGAAAAAAGTTTTAAGAAACTCGATTCAGTCAGTTTCCAATTTACAGAGAGAAAAAAAAACTTGAAGGGAGATTACTAAATACCGAAACAAATACCGACTGACTCTAGTAAACTGAAATCGATTTCTGACGCATTTATTATCATTAAATGTTGTACGACCTAATTAAATGCGCATCTTTAAAAACTACCAACCATTATTACTGTCTTTATTATGTGGGTAAAAACGTAAAGAGTTTAAAGGTTATTAATGTCTTTAAAACATTTCAATAATGTTCCACAGTGTGTGCTCAATTTGTACTCGTTTAATCAATGTTATCCGCATTCACGTAAATAAAAACAAATTTTACTGAATCGAATGAGTTAAGCACTTTTCAGTTTTAACCATTCGGAAAAGTACAGTTTAATGTAAATTTTCTCAACAAGGGGTGATAAGTACGTCAATTTTATAAATGAATGTATCAAGGAAATGGCTTCGTTTCGTACAGCAATTATTCATTTTAATGGTAATATGATATCTCACAGCTGTGCCACTTTCTCAAAGTATCAAATAAAACTTTTAAAGCGAAAATATAAGCTTCTTTCCTATCGCGACTAGAAATAAACTATAGCAACAGTTTTGGTACAACACCCTGTACATAAAGTTTCATTATGTTCTCCGTATCGGTATAAAGCATCTATGTGAGGGTGTGCCTTTATAAAAAATCCCCCAGTCAACAACTCTTATTTATCATAAAAGACGTTCTTTGACCTCAAATCTCCCATTTAATGAAATTTTTTCGATATGCGCTAAAATTAAAAACTGCCAATAAATCTTCAATGAACCGTTGCGTTGTCTCTTGTCTCATTTCCAACATTAATTATGCAAATATTTATGTTCCAGAGCTTCGTGTTTCGAGTGAGAGCACATCCCAAGTATCCGAATTACGAGCAATGCGTCTCGTTTGGATTCTTTGAAAACACCGCTCAAGAAGTAGCTTACAATCTAATGTGCGTTATGTGCATGTACTTCATTCCACTTTTCGTCATCATCGTTGCTTACACAGCAATCATGTGCGAAATCTCCAAGAACTCTAAAGATACAAAGGGTAAGTTTTTGTAGAGAATAAACATGCAAGTTCTATTTGCATAATTCATATTAATTAATTTTACACAGCAAACATCCCCTCAAAGATTAATTAATTTGAGTTAGAACAAATTTGGGAATGTTATCAAAGAAATAAAATGTAGTTTGCGTTATAACTATTTGATCACTTCCATTTAAAATTTGTGAAGAATCTAAATAAAGATGAAATTGAATTTCGTTTGATATTTGAAATAAAAGAATATTAAACTTTTTATCACATTCAAAAATCTAACTGATACTCGCAATACTCTAATATCGATTTTTAGGCAAAGCGATGTTTTTTTGATAAATAATTTAATTTCGCACAAAAATTGAGTTGTGTTTTTAACAAGAGTGAATAAATAAATCAAATTTCTGATTTATTTTAAACGAAGTAATTTTTTTTTGTAAAATACGCACTACTTGTAAATGTGGCTCGAGTAAAGAGAACGTCTAGGAGATTTATTTTACTCAATTTTTTTTTGAGTTGACGGTGATGTAGCGAAGCATCAAGCCGTTTCTGCTCTGTAAATAAAATAAATTGGTACATTTTCACTGCTTTTAATAGATGAGTTTCTTTTATTAAATAAAGACTATTTGTACCTACTTAACAATAAATCCATCATACAAGAGTAATTTATTGTTCCTTCTGCTTAAAATAAATAAAATGTTCAGTTTGACCGAACACTGAACATAATTCACTAACTGTTAATAATTAGAACAAGAGATTGTGGACGGTGACATGTTTTACGTGTGGGTGAGGTATTCTATAAACTTGCCAGACATAGTTTAATTTAATTACGGCAGACAAAATTGAACTTACCACCACTTTATGCAAAAACGAAATTATTCTGCTTCAACTTTGTTCCACTGTTGAATAATTTAACATCTATTTTTCTCTTTATGATCCGGAAAGATCAACGACAATTCCTTGATGGATTTGTGTTTGCGGTCGGCTTTGATAGCAATCTCCTTCAAGACACAGTTTTAAAGTTTTTTTATGTGATACGTTACTTCATTTTCCCGGTAAATAAACACAAAAAAACTAGAATTTTCAATTTTCGAGCATAATTAAGTTCGATGTAGCTTTTAAGTTTAAAGAGCAACAAGTAACTCCGATTCTCATCAAAGGAATTATAAAACGCACTAGCTTAGGGCTGTTTATATTTTTCCACACCAACAAAGTTATGAAATTCTGTTATTTACAGGAGAGTCATATCGTACCTCAAATGGCAGGATGAGACTACGACGTTCAGATATTAGCAATATCGAAAGAGCTAGAAGCAGAACGTTAAGAATGACCATCACCATTGTTGCAGTCTACGTCTGGTGCTGCACACCGTATGTTATTATCACTATGTGGTAAGTTGAAATGTTACTTAAACGTATTGTTTCATTCTTATCTCAAAGTGAAACAGTTTTATTGCCAATACTCGTAGCGTAAAACTTAGAAATTCGATACATAAATTTGTTACTATTTCAATTACAAAAACTTTTTTCCAATAACTTTTAATTCATTATTTTTATTTGAAATCTTGCTTTCCAATATTTCCTAGCAAAATACACAAAAAAATATTTTACATTTTTTATTTTAACAAGAAATATATTTAGCCATATCTTTTTATTTTCAAAACTCAAGTTTATAATTGCGTCGCAGTTGGTGACAACAACTCAGAAAATTAAATTCATATTAAAATTATAAAAAAATTTAAACATAATAATTTAAAATGTTTTTCGTCTTCTGATTTTCATTTCTTTTTCATGTAACGTATTATAGCTTAGTTGCTACAACTCAAAAATATGTTGCACTAGTCTGTAAAAGCACTAAGTATGATTGCATAAGTGGTTAAATAAAACGTTAAATTTAAAAGTAGGTAATTATAGTGAAACTGCAGCATATTTATTTTAATCCTAAAATGTACAGGAACTTAAAAATCATCTTAGCGCTCATTTTAAATAACGTTGTTAAGGTTCCTTGTCTGGCGAGCTTTTATTTTAGTCATGTATAAAAGCCTCAAGCACCGTAATACTTACGCTTTAAAAAATTTAAAAGGTGGGCGTTTTATTATATTCAGTATTTACTTAACGAATTTTGGAAAAATTAGCACTTTTCAAGCTTCAATTTAAATTTTTAATTCGAATGAATTATTCAGTCCCCCGAGGTAATTTGTTTTTTTTTTTTTGGTGTAAGGGTGGATGTTTGCAAATATGTCAACTATTTTCAGGTATATGTTTGATCGAGCAAGCGCTACAAGCCTACCGGAATGGCTTCAGGACACATTTTTCATGATGGTAGTTTCCAACAGTTGCATGAACCCCATAGTTTATGGAAGTTACGTGATCAATTTTCGGCGAGTAAACTGCAACTGCTTTTGCTTCAGGAAGACACCGAGTGAAAGTCATCTCAATGGTAAGTTGAACACATTCCGCTTAAAAAGCTTTTTTATTTTCCTAGAGAAGCTTGTAGAATAATCAAATTTTATGACAGAAACGATGTTGGTATTAGTGGTTTCATGGAAATAATGAGCAATGAGGAATAAGCAACAATTCGCAAACTTTCCTTATTCCTTTATGCAAATAGACTTGGATGAGAATTTATAATGTAAGGTCAAATACAAAGATAGGCTTCAATAAAGTTAAATTAACTCAGTGTTGGTCTAAATTTATTAATTATTTTCTTATTGTATAAATCTCAGAGCTGCACAAGTTTATGTTACACAAAAAACCAAAACCTTTCAGAAAACCCTTTGAGAGCTTTAATTCAGGTTAAGGTTTGAAAGCTTTTAGTCACGCGTTTGAGAAAGTTAGATGCACATTAACAAGCTCATATTCTGATATGTAACTAACTATATAAAACCGCAGAGAGAACATAAACAATCCCCTGTAAAAATAATCAATAATAATACAATCAATTGTGGTTAAATTAATGACTCTTTTGTTGTATTAATGTTTGTCCATTACTTCTGTCTCTGACCGAAATCCCCGAATTTAAAAAACGGAAGCTTTTAGCGCTTTTTCTTTCGAAATGCTTGTTAAAATTATTAAAACACACTGAAGTAAAGTTTGTAATACATTAGCGCAAATGTTGGTAGATTAAAACGAAAGTTCCGAATTGGCTCCCTTTAATTTATGAGAGATAAAGTTAGAATGAGTTAGTAGAAAATAACTGTAATTGTTAAAAAACCGAATTTTGTTCCTTTAAACCAAATACTTATTCGAGTTCACTTTTCGCCGGAAAATCTGCATCACATAAAAGCCCCGACTTTCTACATCGTGAAAACTCCAAACGATGATTATATCAGGCGTAAAGTAGATAAGAGGTGCGCAAAAGCCGTATGTTTCCTGCTCGGCTGCCGCTTGCAAAAAATTTGTTTTCTTATGCCTCGCAATTTATTAATTGATGGTAAATTTCAGATGGAGAGGCGCAGGCGGCGGCAGGGCGGGGAAGGAGTTTAGCGCGGGGAGTTATAAAATGTGTCCTCAGGTTGCAGAAAGGTAAGAATTTAAAAGTTGTTAGGTTTAAGCTGACTTGCAAAGGAAACACAAGAAGGAAAGATTAATGTGTTTGCGTGGGAAAACGCTATAATTAAACTTTTGTTTGTTGGCACGCCTGTAGGATTTTTACCTAGCTTAACGCGATAGAAAAACGCACAATACAAGGGTTTTTCATTTTTTACAAAAATAAATTTTTCAGTTCCTCTGTGCTCTACACAAAAGTTACGATTCGTTTATGGCACACCTACCCACAATAACTTCCAATATATTGCAACTTTTATTAAAATGTTAGAATGACTTCAAAAATGTAAGTTTTATTACTTTTGACGGATATTTGAAAAATAATAATTCTGTTCGTTTGAAATTGCGTTATCCTCCACGTATCTGTTGTTTTAGGTAATTAAAACTGTTACTTAGCAACTTACTTATCAAATTGAAACAAAATTAATTTTTTTAATGCATTTTAAATCCCATTCTGCAAATGATTTCATGGTAATAAAACCTGAATAAAGTCTAGGTGCATAAACAACAATTTCGCAATTCCGGTGTAGGTCGATTCAAATTCTGTTTACATGTTTACAAAACGCTGTAACTCTCCCTTGATCTTAACACAAAACTCAATTCAGTTAAATAAACAAATCGGACTTAGCAAACTTTACAAGAATTGTTGTAACGGCTAGTACAAGATTAATGACAATATTATACCTGGAAAGGATAAAAGGCATGTAATGGATGATGAATGAGTTTCCTTCAAGTCATTTCACAAAACAGTCAATTTTATAAATGATGGTAAAGGCAAAGGCGAATTGTTTCAAAAATTTTTGCCGCTTTCAAAATGCATTATTTTTAGTAGGTTCAGGGGCCACGAGGAGCACAGCGATGGTCCACGGCGTGGGTGGGAATGGGTATACACGCTCGCCTACACCTAAATCAAACTTAAATTTAACAGGACTCCTTAGCAAGGTAAGCAAGTGCACTTCTTTCACTCAGATTTTTTATAATGGAAGTTTTAAAGTAATCAGCAAATCTTTAAAAAGATAGAGAAATGTCGCAAAACTGTAAACTTATCTGAACTTTCTAGGAAAATCTCTTTCCTGTTACATAAAGCAATTTTATAAAATGCAAAATATTGATCGTGACACAGGAGTGGGTGGTTTCCCACTTGATGCACTTTTTCCTCTAACTACCACCTACCACCAATATCAACGATTTCAGAAAATTGTATCGACTTGCTCTAAATAACATCCGCCAAAGTTATTTAAAGCAAATGTTTTTGCAACAAACAAAAACAGGAAATTTAAGGATTTCTAAAGACTGGAACACAATCTCCGACAAATTTAACTGATTTTTCAATCAAAATCAAAATCAAATCAAAATTTCAAAAAAAAAAAATCAAAAAATCAAAATTTTCCCTTTTATAAAAATTGATTGCAACTGTCCCCACAAAAATTTGTAGTAAAGACTTCGAGTCTTATACTTTATATTTTTATGGAGTTTCTATACAAAAAAGTCTGCTTTTAAGTAAAAAAAAATTACCCAAATAAAGTTGTAACAAACGAGTTTGAAAAAAAAGGTTCTTGTCATAAAGAACTATAAATTTTGTTCGCAAATGAAGTGCTACTTTAGAAAAAAACATTTTTATGCTTTTTGTGGACCCTGAGCTTGTCGTATCTTGTCCGCAGCATCATCTCCTTAATAAAACCCGAATTCCTCCTTCGTAAAATATTTCCCTGTTGTCATCTCGAAGCTCCATCCTATTTCCTAATCTAGGTTGCTGTTTATTTATTGATCATCGTCGTGCTTTTTCATAAACATCTTTCATGAAAACTAAGTAACATCATTGGCAAATCCGGCCGATGATTAAATTTTCATTTTATTTTCAGAGCCGTTTACCTGACAAACCTCCAAGTGTCGGTCATATTTCGTTCTTAAGCGAGCCACGAACCGGCAGGAATTACAGATCAAGTTTTCATAGCGAGCCATGTTCGAGATCTCGAATGTGCCCGGATGAACTTTGTCTCGACACTTCATGCCACAGCGCTGATTATTACAGTTCTGCTGTTTTATAGGAACAGGAGATGTCACCCAAGTGTGACATCAAAATGGGCATTAATGGTGCAGTGGCTTTGTATAGTTTTGAACCCAGATCGCGAAATATTTAGTGGTTGGAGGAGGGACAAGTGCCTGAAAAGTGGACTCGGGAATATATGTGCTGAGGTTGGAATTCTCCAGTTTTACTACAACAACAGGGTTTGGAAAGCTGTACATATGACAATTTTTTATTTTTCTATTTGTAAAGCATACAAATTCGTGTTTAACTAGGTAGGTAATTCAATCAATTAACTACTAACTGTTTAAATTAAATATCAATCAAACAAGGACCTACAACTGGATTGTATCTGTTTACTAAATGTTTATAAAATAATATTATCTGTGATTCTTTACTTTAAAAATATTTGTAATATAAATTATTCAAAATAAAAATCAAACATTAGAAAATGAGTGTTTTTCTGATTTCTGGAGTCCCTAAAAGTGTAAAAAACCGCATTTACAGGTGTGTTTAATTTTGCGCATACCTACAGTTTAAAAATAATTAATTGGAAAAAAGCAAAATCGGCAGATTTAAATTAATTCCAGTATAAAAATTAAAAGCAAATAAAGGCCACCCAAACTTCATTGAGAAAAGTCAACAAGAGATAAAAATTCATTTTTATCTTAATTCGCTTTCACAGTTTTTTAATTCATATTATCTCGACGCACACCTGGTCTAATAATTTAGTTTGAATTACTTAACACCCTTTACAGTTGGTTTACCTATAAATAGTTACCTAAACTTTATTGAATTATTTAATCTTGTCAATTCCGTACACGTCACGACGCCGCCGCCGGTTTCCAGTTTAATCTCTATTTATCCCAGAGTTTATATTTAAACCATTTGGGTGCAAATGTGGGAGGTTATTTCCGATCTAATAATTTAGCATAAAAAACCAGACACGCATAAAAACGGTAGAAAAAGCATTGTATTTCAACTCCTCAAAAAAGAAAACAAAAAATTAAAATTATGGATTGAGTGCCTCTAGCCTCTAATACGACCGTTTTGAGGTTACAGATATCGGGGGAAATCAAGTAAATTGATTACAGTAAATACATATTTATTGAAACAAAAAACAAAAAATGTAAAAAGTTGCTTCAAATCTTATAAAAACTGCTCTTTCAGGCTTGCAGCTATAAAGGTGTCCTAAAATATTTAGTGGAAATGTGATCATAATAACTTGAAAACCAAAACCCTATAGTTACATGATTATAATTAGATTGAAGTTGAGTTGAAAACATAGATGCAAGTGAATACAAAAGAAAAGAAAAACTTTATAATCTCATTCCTTTATACTTCTCTCTTACGATTGTAGGGAGTGAATTGAGATTTGAAATTTGAAATATTTATTTTTTATAAGATAAATTTAGTATGACGTTAATAATTTTTTTGATATTTCTGGTAAAAATTCACTAAATCTGAAGGATGTCTCAAACACGCTTCACGGTTTTGTAATCCTCGGATAATTTTCAACAGATTGCACAAGAAAAACCGCTTTTCACTTAATCCAAATCTCCCCGATTTTATTACACTTAAAAAAGTGGACCGAGCATTGAATTGACTCGTTCATCTAGTCTTGTATTTCCATTGTTACTTTTTATTGGCGGAAAAATCCAGCGAATTAAAATTAAAGTAAAGCACTTTTTCGGTACACAATAACAAAATGTTTTGTTATTTTACCGCACACAGAATTCTTACTGGAAATAACCATAATAACCCGCTATAAAGAAAATTGTCAAATGCGGAATGTATAAACAAAACAAACATCATTATGCGTCGGGGAAATTTTTCTTGATTTCAGATCACAAGATGCCATTGAAGAATATATTCGTAATTTTCCGCTTCGTTATTTTTACCACCAGTCTCTCTCAAAATAAAGTTCAAAACAAAATTCTCCAACAGTATATAAAAGAAATAACATCAACAAATCAACAACGAACACTCATATTAATCTACAATAACGTGAACACATTTCACAGTTTTTCATCGAAATTCTACGATCTGGAATTGCCTTTATACAACATTTATCTGGCACAATTGAGCAAGTTCAATGGTAAATATGACGAGAAATACGACATTGGTGTTACTTACGAGGAAAGTAAGTTATACTTTGTGGTTTTAAGCAATTTAAAACAGCTTTACTCTGACTTGCTTTTGATACGGAAAATTTACTTCTGGAGAGATAGAGATAAAATCGTTGTTTTGATTAATGAAAAATTCCAAGAAGAGGAAGCGAAAGCGACTTTTCGACACTGTTTTCAGTTTTACATAATTAACATCGTCTTCATGTTCCTGAAAGATAGCGTATCCTTCACTTATAATCCTTTCAGTGGGAATTTTCTCAGTCCGGACAAACCGGAGCATTTTTTCCCGGACAAATTCCAAAATTTATATGGCTACAACTTAAAAATATCAATGTTTCCGAGTGTTGTTAATATTTTTAGAAATAACACTTATCAAGGTCGTGATGGTGTAATGTCACGTATTATCGCTCATCACCTTAATGCAACTTACACCTATCTCTACCCTCGCATCACCCCTCTCGCTCCTGTTTTAAACCAATATGATGATGTGGCTGAAAGAATTGCCGAAGTGGGTTTCAATACTCGTTATATAAAGTTTAATTTTAAAAATTTGATCGAGAAAACCTACCCTCATGATCGCGACGATTTGGCTTGTTTGATACCAAAAGAATACGTGCAAGAAATCTCCCTACTCCGAACCAGCGTTTGGGGTTTGTCATTGGTGGCTTCTGGAGTCTTTTTCTTTTACGTTCTGATTACGAATCGACGTTTCGACGTGATTAATGTTTTAATGACGATTCTCTTGCTTTTGTTCAACAAATCCATCAAAGAAAGCCGAAATTTCAATTTCCGTCTAGCTTTAATTTCCTATTTGACATTCTGCGCTTTCCTCAATACTTTGATAGTATGTCGACTCGCCAGTGTTATGACTGCACCCAAATACTTCGCCGGCATTGAAACCGTGAAAGAGTTAGCAGAGACCAACCACCAAATCCTGACAATCGACAGATTTCAAGAATTGCTAAACGCCTCTTTAATATCATCGCTGCGTTTCAAAATTCTGCAGCGGCTCACTATCATAAAAGAAGAGCAATATTTGGATGAAATAAACAAACACAGGAAGGTTGCGTTTATATGCAAAGACCATTTGGCAAATTACGCTCAAATTCAAAAAGAGAATTATCCTAATGGCATTCAATTTTATCGAGTCATGAAAGAAAGGATTTTGCCAGCCCTCAGTTGCTACATTGTTAGCTATGGCTCACCGTTTTTAACCAGATTTGACAGCTTAATTCAGAGAATTGTCGAATCGGGGATACACGACTATTGGAAAACGAAAACTTGGGAGAAATTGGAAATTCATCACCAATTTCAAACTAATCAAGATAATTATAAAGGGAGAGTTGCTGAGGCTAGCCTCCAAATTATCCAAAAAATACTCGTTTACGGACTGGGAACCGCTTCTCTTGTGTTTCTTTTAGAATTACTGTCAACAGTCACAATTTTCGAACAAATGCTCTATTTTATTCATGGTAAATGGTTTTTAATTTTAAAGCTATTGAAAAAAAGTAAATAGATAATCTAAACAATAATGTAATCAAATTATTTAAAAAAATACATTATAATTGTGTCTAAAGTTGTTTATATTTTGCCTCTAATATTTTTAAATAAAACTCTAAAAATATTCATTATTGCTACAATTTTTATTTTTGTGTTAATTTTAATGCGTTTACGTCACATTTATTTCTTAAATACGTTTGCTAAGTTTTATGTTCTAGCGTTATATCATGGAGTTATATAATTTTCTATCCCTGAATATGCGTTGTCAATTTCTTATATTATTTTTTTCTCTATTCTTCTCTTTCACTTTTATCTTCTTGCATTACCTTACCACATTCCAACTCTTGCGTTCAAGGTGTTGCATTTTTAATGCCATCACTCTCATATTTGCAATATTTTTATAATCAACTTTAATTACGCTAAAACTTTGATTCTTCCCTTTACGACAAATAAGCAGCCTGACTATGAATGCAAAAGTTCCTTTGAAGCGAGTATGTGAACATTGTTTGTTCCTTCATTATTATTGTGTTCACGCAGCCGGCATTCATCTTCCAAAGTACGTATTCATATTTCGAGAAATTTAATAATTTCAGAATAAAAATAAAGACAGTAATTTTGCTTGAGACTGAAATAAGTTTCGACACCTGAGTAATTCAAATGGATAAAACAAATTAGTTTAACATTATTTCACCACCTGTTATTGTTCAAAGTCAAAGCAACTATATCAAAGCTTCATTCTACCAAATAGTTTTCATAACATTAATCTCTCTCTCATGAGAGATAAACCACATACATCGTGTCGTACGTTGAATCATAAAGCATTTGTATCGAAAAAAATCCATTTAAATTCTACAAGCATGAGAAAAAGACTACTTTAGTGCTCCTTAGTGTGCTACCGCCAGTTTTTTATTACATTTTATGCTATCCTTTATTTATCAGAACTCTAATGAGTATTCCTTCAGGTCTATTATTTCTCTACGTTTAAAATTCCCTTAATAAAATAAAAGAATGCAAGATGAAAATGATTTCATCTTTTTTCCATGAATTAATCAAAAAATTGCTTTGAAATAATGCATAATTTACATTAATTTCTTGAATTTTTAGAAGACTGCATATTTGTTCGCGTTATCCCAAATATTTCTTAAGGTATGCTTTCGCGGTATTTGTTTAATATGAAATTAAACAGTAAATTCCAAATAATTTTAATCTTGACTAAAAAAGCTAACAAGAGATTGTGTTTATTTTCAGTACTTATATTAATAAAAAGATAAAACTGTTATTGGTTACAATGTAAACAAAATCAAAAACAAAATAATTATAACTGGATGATATTGAAAACCCGTCAAAGCGTTACTTGACAAAAAACTAGTTTGAATTAAAATTTTGCAGTCTACCAATCAAAGTTTGAATAATATATTTGTTTGCAAAGCTACAAGTTGAAAATCACAAAGATGTTTTAAACCGTCAGTCAGTTTTCAAATTAAATGAAAAAATGGTAGCTCAAATTGCCAAAAATTATTAATTGTTTTTATGTATCATTAAAACCTTGTTTATTTTTTTTATATTTTAAAACAGAAATTTCACACAAAATTCAAAAACCAATTTATGATGATTTTAAAAGTGTAATACTAGAATAACTTAGATTTTAATAAAAAATTCATTTTAAANAAATGTTCAATTGAAAAAACAATCATTAACTTTATACTCATGTTATGATAAAAAAATATTAATTAATGTTCTCTTTAATAATTATTCACAAATGCATTACTAATAGCAATAGAAAAATTACATCAACAAAAAGCCGATAATGACAATAACATGATAGCTTACAGTAATAGTAGCTCACATGTTTATTTATAATTCCGGAAAATTTATTTGCGTCAAATCTATTCAAATGAATCATCTCATGGTCGGTGTGATCAGTCAAACAATTACCGACATTATATCAACAGTGTTTTTAGTCACTTTACCTTTTTCAGTACAAGGTCACAATAAAAATGAAAAATTATTCAAATAAAGATTCGAGATTACTCAATTTTACATAGTAATGACTCATTTACCTCACTCATATGGAGGCAAACATGTTACCTTTTTACCTACGCAATGGTTTTACCATAACAGAAGTGTTTTTTTTTTATACAAAGTGCTACTTGATGCCAGAGTGCACATTTTTACTAAATTAAAGAACAACAAATGACTTTCACCAACCCTCAACCGGAGGCGATTTTTCCTTTAAAGATAACACTTTCCCACATTTTTGAAATAGAATTACAACGGAAATAAATTATATTCTGATCGAAGCGTCGATTTTTTAAGGAAGGACAAGTGTGATCGAGAAAGTGGTAATACATAATTAATTTAGAAAGTTTCTTGACTCGATATGCGGACACTTTTAGCCAAAATATTAAATAATTTTCCACATAACAGAGCTAAGATCTTCAATGTAGGTAAATATCTACAACTTTTAGCCATGAAATAGCCTCATTTTTGTCTAATTGAACCGTTTTAGTACACGTAATACAAATATTCATTTCGAATTAGTTTTAAAATCAAATACTCAAAAATAAATAAATTGATAATAGAGGTGTAATCTTTTTAATAATTTTCACAGAAAACAAACAAAAAACTTAAAAAAAATATTTTATCCAAATGAATCTTTATATTACGTAGTACAGTGCGATCAAAAAGTCTTTCTATCAAATAGGCGTCCTAGTTGAGGACGTATGTTGCATGGCAGGTCGTATGTTATCTAGATGTCATAAAATTATTTTATAAAAATTAAAACATTGAGCTAATTAAATTGAATTATTCTATGAAACGTCTCAAAACAAACTGAAATAAGATTTTGTTGGTGCTTATTCATAAAAATCGTTCACCGCGGTTTCCTGTCATAATTTACATAAAAAATATTTTGACATTTCTCATTTGTCATTGTGACATTTTGTCTTCCACAGACATACGTTTTAAATTTGTACGCTTGCTTGATAGACAGACTTTTTGATCGCACTGTATCTACTCAAACATTTTAATAAAAAGCTTAGGAGTAACTTGGTCACAAAAAAACTCTAAGAAGAGTTAAATTTTTGAATGTTATGCATTTTTTTCAAAATAAGATGTAGAAATATAATGCAAAACATCTGTTTTTCTTAATTCTTGATTTAACTATTGCCAATATTTGTTTGGACAAAATTGCGAAACCCAAGTTAATGTCCAAAGGTTTGACAATAGTCTTTCACATTCCTAGATAACAAAACCGTTGCGCCACTCGGGAAATCGCTAATAACATATTTAAAACATCCTTACTCCTTTCACTTTCGTACTCTAGCTCTGCAGTCTGCTCCAAAACAGTACATGCAGCATGTCCGCGTCGAGATAAATTCTTTTTTGTGTGTGCTATTCAGTGTTAACCTTGTGTCGCAAAACGTAGTGTAATTATTCGCCACCGACATGACCACCATTCAGTTCATGATGATAAAAGCCCGAGAAAACAGATAATTCGCTTTAATTACATACATGAGTTCTCCATTAGTATTGTACTTTGTATTGTGTTTCTTATTAGTCATGTCGTTAAAAATCCGCTAATTATTGACCAGTCGATCAAATTAATATTTGGTGGCGTGAGCCCGCGATGGATACACGAATTTTTCTAGTGCTTAGTGTAGGATTGGTCTTCACGCAAGTGAATACCTTGGAAGTTGTGGCACCATCAATCAGTTCTATCGTTAATCGGATCACAAATACGACGTTTGGTGAGAGGGTTAAAACAGTGCCCAACTTTTGACTCATCGTGTATTTAGGGATTGTTCGCGGAGGGATTAGTATTTTCTCCCGGACGGTCGAAAGGATTATTACGACTTTTGGACGGGTCGAAGACAGGTTACGCGAACTTCTTGAAGAATTTAGGAGGCAAATTGTAAGGGGAATCCCCGAATTGAGCATACCAATTTTGGACCCGCTCCATGTTGATAAAATCGAATTTAATGTCGTCCATGAAGCAGCAGGGTAAATGCCTTAAATTATCACAACCTGTTCACTCCCTAGTGTAAAATTTTGTAAATTCAGCCCTAATTTTATTTTAAAAATGGCGTAATTATCTTGTAACAACAGAAAAAACTGTCCAAAATAATTCAAAGTATTTATTGTTGATCGATAAAATCATAAAATTTAAAATAGATAGAACAAAACCATTGTAAGAAGAAATTAAAAATCAAAAGACCAAAGATAGCATATAAACTTTGGCTCTCTTAATTTTTTATCACAATGACACGGTTATTATTATTTAAACTCTGCATTCAGTTGAATAAATCAAAATATGATATGCTGAAAAATTATGTAATAATTAATTACGAGTATAAGCGTTAACAATCAAAAAACAATAAGATTATAGCATATTATTTATAAAAGGTTGATAAAGTATTTATTTTGAAAACTTAAAGTTATAAACCAAGAATGAAGCCGATTTGAATTGTAACACGACAGAGTGCTTCGTATATGTCAGTATTTAAATTTTACAAATCCCAAGAAACAAGATGTCGTTTAAAAAGAGCTAAAACCTTTATATTTTCCTCAAGTACATACCAGGTGAACAAAAAAAAAATAATAAAGATGGAACCAAACGTTTTTTTTTTAATTTTTAGTTTTTTAAATGACAACCAATTATAAAACCTTTTTTACAAAAGATATAATCTAAGCATGACAACAACTATCTAAATTTTATTCGATTTTTATTGATTTTTTTTATATAAATTGCCATTAAAAAAAATTGCATACCCCAAAAACAAAACAAAAATTTCATTCTCCAGACACGACCACATTTTTATATGACTTTAATTTTTATTAATTATTATTTTCTGAAAGCTAATGATTAAAAAAAGCGTTTGATGGTTTTATACCTTTTGTTCACTTTGTATACAGGATGTTTCAGAACTCGCGCCCAACAAAACAATGCTAATTAGGTAAGATATGAGAGGAATATGGAAAAAAATGTGTAAAAAATTCTCTCTTAAAAAATGTTGACCTTTTTTATGTTCATTTAATGTTACCGATAATTTTGTATACCTATTTTTTTATATTCAGGAAAAGTAAAAAACTTTGTCAATAAAAGCCACAGATAAGGTTAAATATAACAGATGTTTATTTAAATTTGCCGTCATAGTCAGAGATGATTTAAGTGTATTGTGAACGTACCACAATTTTTAATACGTCCGATGAGATTAATAACTTTCAATACGACGATGGTTCGTTCACAATCAAACTTTCATGGATAATTTTGACGCCAAATTAAAAAAAAAACACCCGTTAGTTACGTACAATTCAGGATACAGTTTTTTTTTCTTTTATCTTCTAATAGCCTGCAGCAAAAATATGTAAAATTATTTCTCCAATAGGAATAAATAGAATCAAAGTGCAAAATTTAAACCCTCATAAGTTAGAATCTTTATAGATTGAATTTTTTAAATATTTTTTCAATGTTCCTACGTATTATCTTGGTATTTTCCTCTGAAGCGCGAGTTCTGAAAAACCCTGTATACAACAAGAAAATAAGCACTTTTAGAAAATAACAAAATACCTAAACAAACGGGCAATATGCTTCTAAATAACTACTCCTAATTAAATAATAAATTATAGACAAATGAAGCATTCGTAATTAAAACCAAAAATTCAATTATCAATAACACAATTTAATTATACAATCATTAAATAACAACAAATATTTAGTAATAAATATCAATAAAAGTTTGTGACACCAAAATAACAACAGACCATGTCAATAAAATTATAGTAAAAAATATGTAAATGAAAAACAGCCGAAAAAAAATGATCCAAAAAAAAACAAAAACAATAGTTATTTATTCGACGAGTTTGAGTGTAAATCGGACGGATTATTTCCCCGAGTGGGTTATTAAACCACGAGTGTAACGAGTGGTTTATCATCCACGAAGTGGAATAAAGCGTCCGATTTACACTCAAACAAGTTGAATACAACATTTTATTCTTCGAATTAGACTCAATAAGGCTTAAACTTGCTTTAAATCTTAAAAATAATCTGACGTTTCGTATTGAGAAATACTAAACAGTGTCAAAACTTCCTTACACGGGAGAAAAACCGTAAATTTTGACAGTGTCGAAGAATAAAATGTTTTATTTTAAGACCTCATCTTCAATAATTTTTTGTAACTTGTTACTCAATAGAAATAGTGTAACAAAGTCTCTGGATATAACAATCGATACCCCTAGTTAATTACAGTAATTTTCCTTGAAAACTTAAAAATGTGGTGTTTTCACAATTTGGTATTTTTTAACAATTATTGTAAAAATTGTTCACTATACTACTAATCATTAGGTCGGTCTGTAAAAAATCAAAAGGCAAAAACGCATTTTCTTGAACATGCTTTCAAGTAGAAATTTTGTTTGACCTTGAGTGAACAGGAACTATCATACATCGGTGTTATGTTATTATTTCGTAGCCTCAAGGGCAGCGTAGAAGACGTCACAGTCAAACACATCTCGAAATTCGAAATAGACGATGAAAAATTCAGCGATTTGGGAAATTTACGTTTCAAGTTAGATTTAAATTTAACTTTTCCGTATCTGACCATTGACGGCTTATACAAATTAAATGGGATAATTGGGGACTCGATTCCGGTATTTGGCAATGGTAAATTCTGGTAATTAGTTCGCAAGTAAATTATCAAGTATTATATCTTTCTACCACAGGTTACATTTAATAGATTTTAAATTGGCCATTTCGGCCATAATTAAATTTGATTATCTCAAATTAAGATTGACGTCTCTAAATATTGACATTAAATTAAGAAAATTAGAGAACCACTTCGATAATTTAATGGACGACGAAGAAATTGGTGAACTTTTCAATAAAGCCATTTCAAAAATGGCGCCCGAAGCGGTCGATATGCTTTGGCCAGACATCAAAAAACCGGTAGAAGAGCAAATTAAAAAAGTAAGCACTTGATTTAAAATTTATGACTGAATTAATTTTTTTTCGTTTCAGTACGTAAACAGTGTCCTCGAAAATGCCACTGTAGCCAGCCTAGCCAGAAGACTGTTCAATATTAGATAACTAGGCGAAATATTCTAATTTATTGTTATTGGTTTCGTAATAAAGTTGTTTTTACCTTGTAAATCAACTATCCACATTATCATTCCCCTTTGTCATTTATCTCTTATCATCGCAATCGCTTTTTACCGATAACACTAGTCGTGTCAATAAAATTAAATTACAAACATGTTAAATAAAATTTACGTTTTTCTGAGCTCGTTGGTTGTCGCTCAAGCAACTGTCAACGTTTGTATCCCTCTACATTCATCTTTTTCTGAAGAAGGTAATCTTATGTCACTGATGGTTCATTAAAACACACCTTTTGATGCGTCAAAACTATTCTCTTTAGTTTCAAATCCTGATGAGTTATTCAAAGAAATAAAAGACGCAATTGTGGCTCAAACCTCAAACAAGTCTAATTTGCACATTGAACATTTGGACGTAAATATCAGTCATCCAGCAATTAGGTAAATTAAAATAATAATAATATGCATAATGTATGCACCTTGATCAATGTAATAGGGTACTCGGAACTCTTGATGATCTTGATTTGTACCATTTTCACGAATTTGATATTTGTTTCCTGGAAAATATCTTCCTAAATTTGAGTTACTACCAATTTGATGTTTTCAATCTAACGTTCAGAAATTTGAGAATTGAAGGTAAATACAATATTACTGGAGATATTGGTGACTTCTTTGACATATACGGAGTTGGTGATTTTTGGTAAGATTGTAGTATTATTTCTAAAATATTATTTTTTTATTTATCGTATATGTAGGATAGAATTGCTAAACTTTTCCATCGCAATGACCAACTTTAGCATAAACGTAACCGACGAAATCTGTTTACCCGTCAATATAGATATTAATCTTCAACAAGTAAAAAACCATTTTGATAAATTTATGGACGATCCTGATTTAGAAAAATTATTCAACGACGCAATAATGGATATTTTACCTGAGACTTTTAACATTCTCTGGGCCGAAATGAAAGACATTTTCGATAAACCACTAGAAGATGTAAGTCTTAGGTACTAAAGCTTTTTATTGAAGTAAAATTCTTTTTTATTCCAGGAAATTAATAACATTATTCATCATCATAACATTTCGGCGTTAATGCATACATTAAGAAGGGCTCAAAATGTAAAAACTGCGCCCTATTGTTATTCAACGTATAATTAAACACCTGGCAGGGTAAGAAAATTCTCATGTTGATTAAGATATCAATTTTTATTTCATGTTTAGAAAACAAATTGTACAAAAATATTAAATTGTATCACACGTTTTTGAGTTAGCAATACTTTCCACTATGCCTATTTACCTCTTTTACGAATACAGGGTGTGTTAGAGGTGCATGTATCGACGACACAGACCATAATTATTTTGACCAAAATTTTTAACTCAAAAACAAATTTTTCACCATTTACAACATGCATTTCAAACACAGCCTATATATTGATACGTATCTGAGTTTTGGTTAAAGCTTTGGAACTATAAAAACCAGATCGCTGGCCGTTTCACCGGATTTTCATATCAAATTCATATAAATCCGGTATCTTTCTCTCAAATCTCAAATCTTTCAGCCAGCGACCGGCTACTAAGACATACAAATTTATAAATACAAAGTTTGCGTTAAAATTACGAAATTTGTTCTCAATTAAAACTTAGCAAAAACATTTATTTATTTTAGAAAGTCACAAATAAAAAGTAAATGGTCTACAGTGTTGCATAATTTTTGACATTGAAACTATAGTCTAAAGTTCGTCGTGTTGTAAGTGTCTGTTTTTAATTAAATTCTTGACTTGGCTAACGATTTCAGAGACGTTTTGTGTGTCAATTTCAATTCTTTCAGTTGGAGATAAGTATAAAAATAGTGAAGGATAACTATTGACACGTAAATTGCCGCAAAACATTCTTTCGGCCTCGCAGTCGACTTTGGCACTTCTTATAATACCTTCTAATCTCTACAAAAGGCACGACGTAAAAAAATATTTTCCAGTTTGGATTTATTTACATCTGCAACTTTTCGAAATTCGGGTTCGAAATGTGTACAGTGACCACACCACGGTGCATAAAACTCGACAAGCCATGGCGTCATAAACTTCTTTGTAAGGATTTGATCTTTAAACATTTCAGCATCCATTGAAACGACAGGAGAAGGAATCAAGTTTAAAACCCAGCGTTTAAGTGAGACAACATCGCGATTGCCGTTGTACATCCTATATTATTTTGCGAAATAACTATAATGGAGAAAATAAATTACTTACCCAACGGTATTCATCCCCTTACTCCCCAAGGGATAAACCCGAATCGTCGGATAACTCCGAACATTTTGTGCGTTACACAAATCCGAATTTGCGACACAATCCACTTGTGCTACTTTAATTTGCGGAAACTCAGTCAATTGTTTGGCAAGCTTGCGCCACTGGGGAGCCAATTTCTGGCACGGCCCACACCATGGAGCGAAAAAATCAACAACCCAAATTTCATCTTCCGGCTTTCGCATCAATTGGACAAAAGACGTGTCATCCAATGCAATAACTTCAAAAAATCGTTCTTAAACAGGAAAACTTGTACGAGACTTGCCTACCAGATGGCGCTATCATGTCTGAAATAAACTCGACAATCCCATCTTCAGATGGCGTCCCGTGAAACACCTGCGTCCGGGTTCCATTATACAAGATTGTTGTGGGATATGACGAAATTCCATTCTGTGAACACAAATTCCTGTGTAAAGTACAGTCGACTGTCCCGAATTGGACAATATTTGGAGCGAAATGATGACTCGCCCTTCGCAATTCGGGCATGAGACGCCGACACGGCGGACACCAGGGGGCGTACCAGTCAACAAACCATGCGCTGTTGCCATTTACAATGTTTGAGAAATCAGCAGGGGACAATGCGTGCAGGTTTTGGGCCTTGCTGCTGTCTCTAGCAAAAGCTGAAAGTTCGTGGAGGACGTCTCGGCCGTGGTGGAGCTCAAAAGCGCCGCCTACTTTCAAAATACCCCAATTTGGGTAACGCGAGATGTGGAGACTCGAACAAAGAGCCGAGTTTTTGCCACAATGAATCAAACCTAGTGTCAGAAATGTACCTTTTCGTAAAAAATAATAATATGGGGTACCTATATTTATAGAAGGAATCATAGATGGAAGACGTTTGAGTTGTAGATTTAAATCTGTGGCAGTGCCGAGGTAAAAACAAAGCAGCCAAGGATTTTCATCACCGCTACGTAATTTCGCTCTAATTTCCTAAAAAAAAATTAAACTAAGTGCTACCAACTTACAACAAAATATGTTACTATAATTTATCTATCCACTTACCTTGAATTGTTCTTCATTTAACGATTCAGGGTTTGGTAAAATACTTAAAATATTGTCAAGAATTTCTTTACTATCAGATCCTTCCACATTATGCAAAACTGCAAAACTTTCAGATTCACTATTCTTCTCCTTATCCACTTGCCATAATACTATAGGGTTACTTTTATGAGTATGAGAAATTTTATCACACAATTCCAGATCTTTTACAACTCCAACTGACATCAAACCGTCCTAAGTAACAAAATAAATTATTTTGTTGATAATAACTTTAAGTCTAAATATTACTAAAATAGCCGCCAGTTTGAGTCTAGTCTCGTGTTCAGGACAATTTGGATTATCCTCTGCACAAAGAAACAGCAACCATTGTTGCTTCCTTAAATCACGTTCCCAATTTTCTTTATCCACATTTTTTACACTAACAGTTATTTTCGATAAAACGTAATCTTGTAATTCATCAAGAGTTCGAGGGCCATAATAACGCTGGCCCTCGTGAAGGTGAGCCTAAAGTAAGATTTCACAAAAACTTGTGCACAAAACAGTAATGAAAGCAACCTCTTTCTCATAATAGAGCAAAGTGGGGTAAGATTCAATACTGAGTTGGTAACACAAAGACCAATCATCTTCACAGTTAACAGCACCAATTCTAATCACCCCCTCTAATTCCGAAGACAACTTACGCCAAGTTGGGGCTAATTCATGGCAGTGGTGACAATTAGGTGAGTAGAAATTTATAAACCAAGCCTGACTAGCATCCAAAATGTTCAATTCTATGACAAAAAATTATATGAGTGTAGGCAACCAAATATACACACCACAATTTTTTTTCTTAATTTGGTCAAAAAAAAGTAAAAAACAATGTTTAAATGCAATAAAATGCAAATATATACAGAAATAATACAGTTACCATAATCAGCCCTGCTTAACGTAACAATAAGGGGATCATCATCATAAATCCCAAATTGGTCCCTGTAATAAGTATAACTGTGATACTGATGTTTTTTCTGTGAAGACTCAGTATCTCCATGCAAATCATAATGTTTACGTGTGTCTGGATCTTTTAAAATCTCATAAGCTCTAGCAATTTTAATAAATTTTTGATCAGCCCCTTTATCATCCTAAAAATGACAAAATGACGATTGAATAACTTAGATTATATTAAAAACAAGCCTTATTCTTATCCGGATGTAATTTTACAGCTAAAACTTTAAAAGCCTTCCTAATCTCTTTAACAGTGGCATCTCTAGGCACTCCGAGCAATTTGTAAAAATCTTCATTTTCATTACCAGAAATATTTACAAAATAGCAACCGATAAAAATAATTAAAAAAACTGCGTTTTTACAAACAAACCTAAAAACAATGCCACGTAACCAAATGGTGAAGAAATAATGAAGAAAAAACAGATGTGCTAAGAAGGTTATGTCACCACAAAAAATACTCACATTTTTTGTTACTTCGTAATTTTAAACAACAAAACGTTTCCTGTATTGGTATATTAATTAAAAATAAAACTCTTTTGATAAGCCAATTAACTTTGATAATTTGTAACACTTTAAGCTTATCCAAACACACGACACCCACTTTACTTCCTACAATATATCCTTGTTGATTTCCTCCGGTTTCCTCTCTGTTGTATTAATTCCAAATTAGAATTGCAAATGTTCTATTTATAATCTTAATATAACTCACTAAATGTTCTATTTTCATTACAAACCCCATAAATTTTTGTTTTACTTTTTCCGGTTCTTGGTTAGAAGGCTAGTGTAGGCAACACGTAATACGCATGAAAAATGGAAGAAAAAGAGGGGAATTACCAAATGAAACAAAAGTTTATCTTTAATCAAATATAAATATTGTAGTCAATTACTACTTGCAACATTGTTTTTATAAATACAGCTAGGAATTACTAATTACATAATAAATTATTCAACTGAACGTTGTAAACAACCCTACTTACACTGCTATAACTTTCAATAAATATAAAAAAAAACGAAACGTACAATGGCGAGACATGTAGAGGATGTGTTTAAGCCTTGCCTATACATTTTTAAAATTTTTGGTTTATATTCATTGTGTATAGGGAACGAAGATGTGAAAAGAGAAAGCATACTTGGAGTTGTTTGGAGTTTGATTGTTGTATTTTGTTGCATGTCAAACGCTATTTATGGAATTGTACACAGAAATGTCCAATTTAAAAGTCTACTTTTAACATTAAGTGACACCATAGAAATTTGTACCGCATTCACAAATGCATCAATTTCAATTCTTTTTCTAATCGTAATCAGAAAAAAAGTGAGTTTTTTTCACGTAACGCACGCTGGGATTTCCACCACAAGCAATTTAAACTTGCTTTTTAGCTTTCAACTTTTTTACAACAACTCAGCAGGTGTGATGAAGAATTTCGAAAATTTCACAAAGAGAATTATAAAAAGACAAAGCAAATGAACATAATAATTGGTTTTATTCTGGGTTTGATTTTGGTTCTAATTATTTGTACTTACGTTTGGTTTGATACAACATTATACATGACTGAAATCAATTTTGTCATGATTGGAGATGCGATGGCTTATTGCTTTCCCTTCATTATTGGACTACTTGTAACTGCACAATTCTCCTTGATGACTTTATTGCTCAAGCAACAATTTGTTTGGATAAATGAAAAGCTAATTGAGACCAAAACAGGCGTGAATAGCGCATTAATCGAGTAAGAACTGTGTTTTTGTAAAATGCAGAACATTACTCAAGACTTGTAGTGACGAAGTTATCAGAACTTTAGAGAATCTAAGACGGAAACATGATATTTTGAGTAGTTTAGGATCTCATCTGAATAAAATTTATTCAGTACCAATGTTACTAGCAACTTCGCATCACTTTATTGTTATTATTGTGACGTGTCTCTTGCACTTGCAAGATTCGAAACCGTTGAAACAAGATCATTCGAGATTACTGTACAACTTGTACGATTGTTTAGTTATAGTACTGCACAGTGTTGAAACAGGAGCGATGGTTATGATTTGTTCCAAAACAAGAAATGAAGTAAGTTGGTGCAAAAATGCAATTTAAAAAAATGGATTTTTCAGGCAAAAAATTCAGCAAATATTTTGCATCAGTTTCCCAAAACGTTTACAGATATTGACAGTTTTGTATTATTAGCAAAATCCTTAAAAGCATTTATGAATGTATCTATTACAGATTCAGTTGTTTTCAATGCAATTATTGGATGAGGAGGTCGAGTTTTGGGCTTGTGGAGTATTTATTATCAATGAAACTTTATTGTTCTCGGCAAGTATTTGTACCTACTCGTACATAATATAGATAATTAATACAAAATTTTGTTTATAGATGGTTGGCGCAATCACATCGTATTTGATTATCGTATTTCAAATGGATAATGATAACAAATAAAACTGTTTTTATTCATTGCATGTTGCATGTTTGGAAAATAACATTTAAACTAATTGTCGATACAAAATGACAAATAGCCCACAAACCACAAACACTATAATTATTTTAAGCATGACCTTATAAACTAATACATAATAAATAAGACCAAAGATTCGACTGTTTTATTTAGAAACAAAATTAACTCATGGCTACCACTCCCAATATTTACAACGTAATAAAACCCCTACTAATTTTTTCAAAAATCTTTGGACTTTATCCAAACAAAATTGAAATGTCTGATACACAACAAATTACAAGTTGTTCATGGAGTAATGGTTTGGATGTTGTTTGGTCGGCCACAGTTATGATTTTTCTTACGTTCTATGCCATTTATACAATGAGAATGGGAGACAAACCGACAACTAGTAGTGAGTTAATTGCTAAAATCGGTGATGTAATCTATCTGACTGTCTCCCTAACTGATGCTTTTTTGTTATCACTTCTCAGTATAACGAAACGCAGAAAGGTAACTAAAATGCAGTTATGGCAATAGTGATTTTGATACAGATCTCTAGATTGTTCTATATTTGCAAAAGTTTGAAAACTTTGAGAAGAAAATGCATCAACTGGATTTACCTTTCGACACGGCTAACGAATATACAAAAGCAAAAATCCGTGTTCTTTTTGCTATAGCAACAGCAATATGTCTGATCATTTCTTATGTTATCATTAACATAATTCTGTTTTTGGGGAGTGTGACTTTTGTAGATATTGGAGCTGAAATTGTCACTTATGTTTATCCTTTAGTGACAATGATAACAATGGTTATGCAGTTTGGTACATTGTGTTTGCTTGTTAAACAAAAATTCAGATGGATTAATATAAAACTTGAACAAATCCAGAAACAATGGCAAGAAAAAAATAACAGTACTTATTCTTACAAAATTAAATTGGTTTCTCCAATGTAAAACACCCATTTTTTTCAAATTATTATTGAAATCACTAATTTTGTTACAGTCAGCCGACTAAAGCAATATCGTTGGAAAAATTAATTTATTTTTTAGAACAGATCAGACGAAGACATTACGAATTATGCTCACTTACTGAAAATTTAAACAAGATTTTTAACTTCCAAATCTTATTCACTTGTCTCAACTTATTCATTACTATGACTTTTACAGTATATTTCTATTTTATAAGTAACACAGAAGCTAAAGCTCGTAATCCGGTCCTGTATTCGACATACTATGCCTTGAATGGTTTTATAAATGTTTTTGCTTTATTTGGATTAGTCTGGACCGCATCTCAAACAAAAAAAGAAGTAAAAACAATTAACATAAGTAAAAAATCTTTAACAGAAACAATTGTAGGCCAAATATACAAGTCATATCCTACACACAATTTATGCCAGGAACGAAGAAGTGGAAAACTCGGTATAGATTTGAAATAGTAAAATCAAATTTAAATGATTTCAATTTTCAGATAATGCATTTCTCGTTTCAACTTTTACAAAGTAACGTCGAATTTTCAGGCTGTCGTGTATTTGTTTTAGATGAAACTTTATTGTTTTCTGTCAGTAAATAAATTGAGACAGATTTAAGAAAAAGTAACGCTGTATTTTTCAGGTAATTGGCGCCATTACCACGTATTTGGTTATTGTAATTCAATTTCATTATCAAAATTAAAAATATTAAGTTAAAAAATATTTTTGATTTTTCGAACTCTAGAATATCTAAAAGGTTTTAAAATAAAATGTGTTAATAACGAAAATCAGTGCACAAAGTATTTAAAAGTTATTGTCAAAAGGTTAATAATAATAATAATAATCGATTTTTTTAATCTTTTACAAGAGTCGTTTTACCTATGCGGGGACACACTGTATATTCAACCTTAAATAAATATTAATTAAAATAGTATTATTTCAATGAAATACAGAACCAAATCAGTTAATAGCTCAATGATGATTAATTACTTTCTTGACATTACTATGGAGCAGGAATAAAATACTTAATACGTTAAATGAATTAAACCATATCTAACTTGGAAACAAAAATGGCTAAAATCGTGACAAGAATTTATCTTTACAGTGCCATATATCCAGTTTTTTTAATTTCAAAACTAGTGGGTTTGTCCACAATTAATTTAGATAAAAATTATGGCTACAAGAAGAGTCCATTAGGATTTTTGTGGTGTCTTTTAATGTTTATTTTCTAGATTTATTGCATTAGTTTCCATTTATAATATTATAACTATCCAACAAGTGAAAAACAGTGAATTTTACATACGATTAGTCGTCTAAACATAAATATTCTTGTAACATCTTTGGCTACTCTTTCCTTAGTTATGATGAGGTCGGGCCAAAAGGTAAATTGCATTGTATTCAGCAATTTTCATAACATAATAATTTACAGATTGTCTCAATTTTCACACAAATAATAAAAATAGACAAAAAAGTCAAAACTTACAGTCAAAGATGTGGTCGCATAATAAAACTTGTAATTTTTTGTCAAATAATTCATTACATTTTTTACATCATTTTACAAGCCAAATACTTACCAGAAGCCACAAATTTCTCTTACATCGTCGCCACAACTGCAGGAACTTTAAATTCAGGCATTGTTGTACATCAATTTGTGGTTATATTGTTACTATTGAAACAAAAGTTCCAAGGGCTTAATCAAAAATTTTTCCAAGTTTGTCAACAAATTTCAAGAAATAACCACCAGTAAGTTATTAAATTAATTTATTCTTTTACAGTATTATTGTTACAGATACGACGAAAAAACGATTCTCGATTTTTTAAATTACTATTACAAACTTCATAAAAAACTGTGTAGCATAACAATTATGGTTGAAAAAACGTACGCAACTGCAAATTCAATAATTCTTATGACTGCTATACACTTCGTCATTGATACCCATTTTATCCATTACACTAAAGAAAAAATATTTATTTATCAAGTAAAATACCTGAGTAGTATTTGCACTAATATTTTACATATTTTAACACTCACCTTATTTTGCTGGAAAACAGCACAAGAGGTAAGTAACCAAGTCTTTATCAAAATAATTAAAACTTGTTTTTTGAAGGCAAATAAATTGGCAGCTTTGCAATCACAATTTCCGATTAAATCCAATTTGATTGGTCTCAGGGTAAATATCAAAATTAAAATTTCATTAAATACAGAGAGAATTCTAGATTCTGAATTTTATATTGGAAGCCAAACACGAAAAAGTGGCCTTTCGTGTTATAACTTATTTGTCATCGATGAATCGTTACTTTTCACTGTAAGTATTTTTTAAAGTCATTTTAATCTATTGTCTTTTTTAGATTACAGCCGCTATTGCGACTTTCAGTATCATCATTATCCAATTTGGGGCAACAAATTTTTATTCACTATAGTTTCAAAGAATTTATTAGTCAGAAAAACCGTGTTAATTTCGTGTCGACTTAAACAATCTAGAAACATTCACCTAAGTAATGAGATAAAATCGTTACAATTTATTAAATTGGCTATTACACTTCTAAAATCAAAGCTTACACTTGTTTCCTTTTCGCGTAATATTAATATAAGGCTGAACAAGAGGATGCATTTCGTGCGAGCTTTTAAACACTGTTAGGTCACAAACAACCGTTCCTTTAGTAGTAATAGAGTATTCCTTATCGCCTGATGCCATTTTGCCAGCACCTCCCTCCGCCATTGAAACCACGTGAACAGACAGCTTTTTACGAAATTGGGCGTTTTCTTCTAACAAACTCTACAAAATACAATATTTTTAGCAAAATTGTAATAATAACAGATGTAAAAACCTTATAAAAATCGATAATATCCTCCTTAGTCAAGGTCCTCAAATACGCGACTTCGACATTCGCCCTATCGAAATGATACTGCTGTGAGGTGATCTCTCCCCAAAAAATATTAGTTTGGGTGGACAATTGTTTCGGTTTTTCTAATCGCTGCGCAGCTAACGCCTCCCGATGTCTCAAAAACTCCTCCTCCGACATGTTCTTGACATAATTCTAAATAAAAAATTAGAAAAAGAATTTGATTATCGCACACAGACCTACCAACATATTCTTCAAAAACTCCTCGATACGTTCATCCAAACGCACTGGATGTTTATCAGATTGAACAATAATTCGCAATCCTTGTACCCCATTTGACCTCCTAATCCCACTAAAAACAATATAACCCAATTGTTCCTTAGTCCGTAAAATATCGAAACATGGCTCTTGAACGATTTGAGCAAACAATTCCAACTTCATGTTATTTTCCTTCGATTGGAGTCCACACTGGTAGTACAATTCGATACAAGATTCTTTGTGGACTTCATTTTGGACTTCGTAAACGTAATTGCAACCATCTTCGAGTTTTAATTCGCGGTTTAATAACAACTGTCGTGGCAATAATGGTGACATGTTTAGGGTAGACAAAAGCCTGTCTTCGACGATTTGTACCAACTGTAGTGCTTTTTCTTTATTGGCGTTACCGTGAATTAGACACTCGATGTGCATTTTTGATAAGATTTGGGGAATAAAAGCCTCCAACTTATCAATAGTGAGCTCTGAAATTACATAATAGCAAAATTTTACAACAAATTGTAATTTTACGTTCAGTTGCGGCCAAAAGCTCTTGTTTTGTCCACGAATGCTCGGTCAACAGAGCGGCCAAATAATAGACAGCGTGTTGGTAAGGCTGTTCTGCCGCAAAATTTTTCAAATTTCTGATATACTAAAACATTTCATAAACAAACAAAAAAATACTAATCGAACAATCTTACATTTTCTTTGCAAATTTCGAATCGTTTCGGGTCGATTTTAAAATTCGTCAATTTCTCCATTACTTTGTCTAAAAATATGTGTTGCTTATTGCTGTAACCTCCAATAGCGAGCTACAATTTTTATGTTTAAGAATGAAAACTTCACTGGAGGAAACCTTACTATTAAACCGTATTTCGTATTGATAAGTTCCCACTTTAAACCGGCAAGTTCGGCGGCATAGGCATATTCATTTAAAGCATCTCGAAACAACTGAACCAACATGTGGGTCAAATTACAATTGAGAGGATCTAAATATGCCAAAGGACTAAAAAAAAAGTTTTTATGAATTAATTTGGACCAAACAATAATCAAACCTGACGAAATCAAACATGACGTTTGCTTTCGGTAACAAAAAAGTTTCATCTTGTTTAAACCAAACTCTCGTCAATGCAGTGTCTTGAATAATTATCGGATGTTCCGTAACCTTATAAAAAAAATTGGTAATTGAATCAGATATTATTTACGTTCTTACATCTTTATCGATTGAGTACAATTCGAAATCGGTCGGAATAAACTCATTCTTCTCCGGTAACTTAAAATCATCAGAAAGTCCGCATTTTCGCCACCTATCTAATGTTTTTTCTGAAATCTGTGCCACCTTATATTTAGTACCGTACCAAGGTTCGACTTGATCCAATTCATTCTCATACTGTTTAGCCAAAACTATGATTCTACAAGTAGATTAATTATAACCATTTTCATTGGATAACTTGATTAATTACCGGATTTTTTCCGGAACAAAATCATTCCAGATTTGCTCTATTATATCTGGTCTCCATTCGGAAAACAAATACATACAACTTAACACATCTTCCATGCTGTAATCCTATTATAAAATTAATGGTACATAATTAAAAGATTAAAATAAAAATTACTTGTAACGTGTGAACAAGGCCTGCAATGTAACTCCTGGGAGATTCCTTATCTTTAAACCGAAATAGCATATTGCCAATGTCCCTGTTCTCATCCTGAACCCATTTTTGAGGTCCTTGACATTTCAACATGTTCAAATATTGGAAAATAAGTTCAACAATATCATCAATATGCTTTATTCCTTCTTCTGTTAAATCTACTGTAACTCCAAAAAAACCCAACCCGCGTGGTGCCGGTCTACTACCAGCGACTAAATTATTCGACCATCCTCGAGTTTTGAGAGTCGATAAAATACTACCGGGGCCCTCGTGTCCCATCAAGTGGCTGATGTAGTGAGAAGGCTAAAAAAATCCCGCCTTAATTTGAATTCTTGACATTTAAGACGACTACATAACCTCACTTTTTGGCAATTTTTGAGGTTGTTTTAAAATTATGAAAAAAGTGTCTGGGACTCATTTAATAATAAAAATTGTTTAGATCAAACTTAAGATTTGAGGCATTATCCACATTTTTGTCCCATTGGCCGGATTACATAATCCCACCTTTGGGAAATAATTATGGAATTTTGGGATAATTATGACCACGATGACCCAAAATTGACTTATATTGTGGAAAATATTAAGTCACAAGAAATAGAAGAGTTGATCAGTTACGAATTTTTGGGCTGCGAGTGTGATAATATGTGTACATCTGGCCAGTGTACGTGCCTTCAAAGAAGTGGGGCAAATTACGTTTATTCAGACATTTCAGCCTTGAAAAATTACGTTATCAGTGTAACAAATGAAAATAAACCGATTTATGAATGTAACAATAACTGCAAGTGTTGTACAAAAATGTGTGGTAATAAATTAGTCCAACTAGGACCTAGAAAAAACCTCAAAATTGTAAAAACTGAAAATAAAGGATTAGGCCTATTTAGTGCCGATATTATAGATAAAGGAAATTTCATTTGTGAATATGCTGGTGAGGTAATCACTCAGGCTGAAGCTCACAGACGTTTTGCCTCTTATGCAACAATGGGGCTCCAACACAATTACATTTTTTGCATAAATGAGAATTTTGGATCTAAAAACGAAAAAACCTTCATTGATCCGACGTTCTACGGCAACATGGGACGTTATATAAACCACAGCTGTGACCCAAACTCAGTTTTAATCCCAATCAGAGTGGACAACCTCCCAAAATTATGCATTTTTGCCAAAGAATCCATAAACAAAAATACAGAAATCACATTCAACTATGGCCAAAGCAGCTCAAACCAGAATAATAAACCATGTTTATGTTTATCAGCAAACTGTAAAGGGTTTATGCCCTATGATGGGACAGTCTAAGTACTTACTGAAGACTTGTAGTACTCTTGTAGGTCACGACAAGGAAACACTATATTCAAATTTCTGACGTCCTTGATGGGGTACATATAAACACAAGTACCAAAATGTTCATCTTTGAATGGGTGTTCCTCCCATCTGGGGGCTTCAATGGACTTGTCTTTAACCTCAGAGAATAATTTCACAACCATTGCTTCTAACTCATCTAGACTTTCTACAAAAAATGTTTCACTTCCAGTGTTTGTAATGCAATTTTTGTACCTTTTCCTAACACAGCTAGACACATGATGTTTGATGAATACCATTTGTCATGAAACTTTAATAACTCATCTCTTACGTTAATACTTTTTTCTTTTGGGAGCGTATCCAAAGTGTGTCTGTTGCCTAATTAATAAAAAATAATTAAAATCTTTCATTTTGTTTCATTTCACCTGTCCCAAAAGTGTGGTAGGGGTGCTTGGGGTCAGCTAAATGTTTATCCAACTGGTCCTTTCTCCACACATCATTTGGAATATTTTTCTCATGTTCAGAATTTACAGCATTCATCTCTCTATCAGTGGCTGATTCAGTAAATAACGGCGCGATAAAAAACTGCGAAAATCGATCTAGAGTATTATTCAATTCATCAGGTACTATGTCAAAGTAGTAAATTGTGTGATCAGGATACGTGGCTGCATTACTGCTCCCCCCATGTTCACTCAAATATTTGTTATAGTCGTTTTCATTGGGGTATTTTTTAGTACCCAGAAAAAGCATATGTTCGCAGAAATGGGCCAAACCAAAAACATCTCGTGGATCACTCATAAAACCTTAAAAACTACTAAACTTGTGCTCTTACGAGTGGTTTAAGTCTTTACCAACGTTGACATCCAACGCAGCGGCAGATTTATCAGTTGTGGGGTCACTCACAAGCAAAACTTTCATGTGATTTGCAAGCTCTAAACCTCTATAAACTCGCTTATCCTCTTGAGATTTTATAATATTTTCAACTCTTCTTAAAACTAAGTTTGGTGTATTTTCCATTTTGTTTGTGGTGGTCGATTTATTTGCGGTTAGACTTACAGTACTAAGAAAATACTCTTAAAACATGTCTATTTTAAATGAACTACAAACCTGTATAAATAAAACGATTTACACCGATTGTCAGTTAATTTCTTAACAAAAAGAAAAGTGTGTTTTATGAACTGCATCCAGGCGTTGGTTTTACCTAATTTTACACAATATAATAATGATATTCCTTTTTGATTATTGAAAATTAACCTCTGACAGTCACTTCTGACATATGACAGCCTATGACGTTTTGTTTAACCCACCTGTCACCAACAAATTTTTATTTCAAAATAAAATAATTGGTATCTGTCAAGTGAATCCATTTGAACTGTTTTTAGTGTCTCATTTAATGAGAAAAATGCTTTAATTTTTCCATAACCCCAACGAACTTAATTGCAAAAAGTCGTTCTGTGGCTACACAACAATTATTGCTAGATCAGGAATTTGGAGGTTAGATCCACCATGGATCGCAACAAGCCGGGGCAAAGTCAAAACACTCGGGGCCCTAAAGCCAAAATAACGCAGCAACCCCCTGATTTATTCATCGCATTGGGGGCGAAACAATCCTCTCCTCGAGATGACCCCAAACGTAGCGTTCCTCTTCCTAAAACTAGCGCTTCGTCCCACTTACAAGCAAGCACGAGTAAAGTGACGGATAAATTAAAGCGTGAAGGGACTTCGTCGAGTCTCACAGTACCCCCTTCGAAGAAATTAAAAGTTGCAATACCAGGAAGCCGGCCGGGGCCTTCCACTAGTAGTTTGATACCTGCAGAAAGAATGGGGGTTGAGCCGTGGGAGGCCCTAGCTGTTGATTGTGAATCAAGTGAATTGTTTGAGAATATTATGGCCGCTATTAATTCCGGCAATACTGATAAAGCTGTAATGTTTTGTTTAATAGTTTGAGGAAGGAATTAATAAGTTTGTTCTAGGTTGGGTATGTTTTAGGGGTTATTCGGTCTTTAAAGACTCAAAGGACTAAAATTTGTAAAGTGGTTTATTTGAGTCTCTTGCTAACTTGTAGTTGCAAGCCTCAATTATTTACAAATGAAAGTATTATAGCTGCTATTATAAATGTTTTGCGGCGTGATGTAACCTCTGGTTTTAAAGGGGTTAACAAATCAAATTCATACTTCCATATGTTATTTATTAATTTGTTGACTCACGCTTTCATCGATGTCGGTCAATGGCCTGAAGTTTTTGTCAAAGTAAGTCTCGAAAAGATTTAGACACATTTCTAAATAAATAATTTATTGTAGATTTATGTCGAGGATGCAGTGGCCGACCGTGTTTTTATCGACAATCCTTATTGTAAACCGTTCATTGATAACATAATCACTGCATTTAACACAAAATTGCCCCCTTCCTCACTCCTTAAATCCGAAACATGGAATTCCACGACTAGAGACACTTCGAGCCCTCTCACAATCACAAGCGCCGACGATGACAGTAAAAACGAAGTTATTCTTGAACATAAAGCCGCTGTTGAGAACTGGAACATCAAGGTGTACCCCCGATTCACTCAATCGCAAGAAAACGTTGAAAAAATCGTCCTCGAAGCCATTAAAGAACAATTAGCAAGACGACAACAACCGGAAACGATCACGAAAAATTTTGTCCGGTTTTTGAGCATTGCATCCGGACTTGTCGAAATTCGAATAATTGCAGTTTCGAGAATTGAGAGTTGGTTACACAATCACAAATTGATGAAGTCAGCGCAGGAACTCCTAGCTTATTTGTGTTACAATTGCTCTGCGAGTTCGCAACGAGATTTGGAAATTATAGCTCAGCTGAGCAAACTCAGACTGAAAAATAAACCGATGGTTAACTTCTTTAATAACTGTCTCAGGGAGATGGTTTATTCATTTCCGGAAAACTTGTACCCACTTTTGAAATACACAATTTATAACGAATTGTCGAATGCCCGGAATTCGAATAATTTAATCGTAGTGGGGGCCTTGTTTCAAGTCGCGCCGGAGGCCAGTGCTGATGCTTTCGCCGACATTTGTTTGGTAAGTAAGAATTTGATAAAAAATAAAAATCGCAATAAAATTGTTTTTTCCAGGAATTGCTTTTAAATAAAGACGATTATTTACGTTCGCTAAGGGCCCTTTTGAAAGAAATTACTCGGGTCCTTCGCCACGATTTCAATCTATTAAGCATCGTCCATTCGCTCCTTCGTGAACGCAAAGAGTTTGCGAATAACGTTCGCGATTCGGAATTTCGCGAGAGAATTTTTCTATCATTGGCCGATTTGGTCTGTATGTGTATGCTACTGTGTGTGAGTCCTCAAGTCCGAGACGCCTCAACTCAAAACAAACGCGACGTCACTGTCCTAAAAGCCTTTCAAAAACAAGTCAGTAACATACAGAGGGAAGCAGTGACTTGGTTGAACGATTCCGCTTTGAGGGTTTTCCGACCAAGTCTTAACGACTTTCACCACGCTTTACTCAAAATTTTATTTCTGGAACAAGCGGAACACTATTACAAAGTCGACTCGTGGCCCGGCGAAAACGAAAGGAATTTGTTTTTAAGACTGACGAGTGAAGTTCCCTTGCTTCAAGCAACTCTTTTGAGGATTTTACTAATTGGGAATTCGAAAGAACATCCGCTTAGTCCGACGGAAGCAATTGAAATTAGCGATCAGTTGATAAGGCGAGCAGCGAATTTGCCCCAAGACTGTGCCCCTCCATTGGTAGTGGATAATTTAGAAATAATCGGGATTTACTTCAATTTGTGTAGTTACAATTATCCAGAGAATATTACGCTACCGGTGGGATATGTGCCCCCCAATTTGGCAATTTCAGGGCTTTATTGGAAAGTTTGGTTGATTTTGCTGATAATAGCGGCTCATAATCCGTTGACTTTTGGAAACGAGGTTTGGAACAAATATCCAACCTTACGTATGTTCATGGAGATGTGCATAACAAAGTAAGCAATAGACGGCTTCCTAGATTTGTAAAAAAGAACTTGACCAAAACATAACAAAAAAAAGGAAAACTATTTTGTTAAGCAGCATTGGTAGTTGTCTTTTTAAACCTAGGAAGCTGTGGTTACGGATACCTAAAGACTAGGATACGACACGATGTAAAACAAAACGTCCCCGTTCTCGATAGTTCCGTTAGCGAGGCCATATAGCGCAGTTGTTCCTTTCCCGTTCAAGTTTTAATTAAAAAAAATGGTTGTATTTATATAACGGTGAGCAAAACGCAAATCAAAAAATAAAGGCAGATAGAGCATTAAATTCTCAATAATAAGAGACAAAAGTAATGCATAACTTTGATTGAAAATTATATTTAAAAAAATTTCAAACATTTAGAAATTTGCGCCTCGTCTCATATTTTTGAAAATGCTGCGAATACGGTTAAAGATACAAGAAAAATATAAAAAAAGTTGTAGAGAATAAAATTTCGCGAAAAAAGTTCGCGAGATGATGCCTCTATCTCCTATGGTTTAGGTCCTAAAGGCGTTCAAAGACGCTCAAGCGACGAATACGGCTCATTTTTACCGGTGGTCAAGAGACAGAAAAGTAATTTAAACCTAAACGGTTGAAGATAGAGATATGGTCTTGCGGACTTTTTTGTAGGAAATTTAATTCTTTACAATTTTGTTTCCTACACTTTTTTTATCTTCAACCGTATTCGCAGCGTTTTCAAAAATATCGAAAACATTATTAAAAATAAATTATAAACAATTATCAGTTTGCGTTCCGCTCAATATTTTTAAGAACGCTGTGAATATGGTTAAAGATACAAAAAGGTGTAAGAAACAAAATTGTAGAGAATAAAATTTTCTACAAAAAAGTCCGCGGCACCATATTTCTATCTTCAACGATTTAGGTTTAAATTGCTTTAAAGTGTCCCCCGGGCACTCAATCACCAGTAAAAATGAAACGAATCCGTCGCTCGAGCGGCTTTGAACGTCTTTAAGGCCTAAACCATTAAAGATAGAGGTATGGTGTCGCGGAATTTTTACTAGAAAATTTTATTTTCTACAACTTTCTTTCTTACATTTTTCTTGTATCTTTAACCGTATTCGCAGCATTTTGAAAAACATGAAAGGGAACACAGATTTGGATTTAGTGGTTCGTTTTTTACAGCTTATTAAGAATATAAAGCTCAACATTTTTGCGTTTTTTTAGTAAGCTGGTTGAATTTAAATTAATTAAAAACGATTTGATACTGAGACGGTATACTAAGCGCCCTCGTTTTTACTTCGCCGTACTACTTTTTTTGTGTCCAAAAAATCAAGCAATTTTGTATCTCGTTTCGTCTCCTAGTATGTAGTTCTCCGTAGCTGTGGTATTTGAAAATGTCTAACTCACTCCATTTTAGTCATTTTTCGTTCCCCCCACCGACCATGACCTCCCTAGACGAAGACTACCAATCCCGTGAGCAGCAAATTCTCGCCCTCGAGAAGCAAAAAATCCTCGAATTTGAGTCACACCTCGCGGCCGCCAGCACTAAAATGGAAATCACCGAACAGAGCAGTCTCCTATTACCCCAATTGATGGAACTGCGACCCGAAGGCGAAGCCCGACGGCCCCCACAAGCCGTTCTTGATCAACTTCAACACTTGAACAACACCCATCGTATGGGACACTTACTGTGTCGGTCGCGAAACCCCGATTTTTTGTTGGATATTATGTCACGACAAGGGGGCACCGCACATATGCCGTGGCTGGCCGAATTGGTCCATAATTCGGAGGGAGCTTTGGCCCATTTGCCCGTACAATGTCTCTGCGAGTATCTCTTATCCACTACTCCGACAGAGAAATTGACAAAACATGGACAGCTTTTGGCACATTTGAGGACAGTGGTTAATGAGAATGATCCTCAAACCGCGTGTGAGGTTTTGGAATATCTGTTTAGGAGATTGACATCGGATCATGGGGCGAGTCGAACGCAAGCCACGAAGGGGTTGAATTTGATTTTGGCCGAGGGGGAGGAAAGTGAGACTAATAATACGAATTGGTTGACGAGTTACATAACACATTTTCCACACTTTACGATGATTAAGCCAGTCCTCATACAGTTTTTGCGACAGGCGTTGCAAATTGAGACAAATCCGGCTCGAGTTTCTAGTTATATAAACTTTCTCGCCACGCAGGATTGTAACGACTCGTTCACAGAATTGCACGAATTGATAGCCGATTTATCTTCGGTCATTATTGAGAGACATAGCGTGGCTTCGTATGTTTTACCAGGACCGGATAATCAAACTTTGAAACATCTTTTAACCATTTTTGCGAATCATATTCAGAAAGCTCAGGAATTTTCCGAGGATATTTACAGTTCGATGCAAAACTACAGCGAGTATGTGTTGGTCACATGGATGACCGGTGAACAATGTCACATGCAGACTTTAGTAATACACGCGGCAATTGTTTTACTGACTTACGGTCCTTTGGATAATTTCGAGCCTTTTGCTACTTTATTAAATTTTTGGTTTCCGGAAAATGCCGAGCAGCCGCAAGCCTACACGCCGGATACAAACGAAAGAACATCGTATTTACCCGATTGGATGAAATTGAGGATGATTCGATCAAACGTGCCGCGATTGGTTGATGCAGCCATCGAAAAATTAGAACCTCCGAAATTAGTTCTTTTTATACAATCGTTCGGAATACCGACTAATTCCATCAGTAAATTGTTGAGTACTTTGGATAAAGCCACGCTTTTGGACCCGAAATTGGTCGTCGATTCGGTTTTGGATAAAACATACATGATTCAGTTGGTGGAAGTCCAAAATAAAAGAGGAGCGGTGGGTGGTGAGACATTTGTCAAAGCTATAGAGATGCAAATGCCGGTTGTGCAAGACATAGATGTTAAAATTGAAATCGAAAGTAAAAAGAATTTACCAAATTTGGTGAAAAACCAACAGTTTGTATCGAAAAATGGCGATATTGTCAATCTGTTGAATAATATCTTCAGTCCAAATTATGGTGGCTCAAAAGATCGGGACATTCTCACTGTGACTAAGGTAAGACTAAGGTCTTGAGTAATTATCACTAAATAAAATTTTTAGATGGCATTTGAGAAGCAATCATTAGATGTAATTTTCAATTATTTGAAATCTCTCCCAATGAATTTTATAGCACCGGTACTGCATAAACACAATTCGATTTCAACGCTTTTCCGGTTATTATTTTCTTCAAAGGACCAACTCATTGAAAAAATAACCATGGCAACGGTTTTTCTAAATCATATGACAGATGTTCACAATATTACTTACTCGGTGTTGAAACAATTCGTAAACGAAAATGAACAAAAAGTAAAAACAGCGGAAGAAGACGAAAAGCAATTTGTAAATATGATATCAAAAGCGAAAACACAAGAAGAAAAAACAGATATGTTGGTCGATTGGTTGTCAACAATCGAACTGGAAGTAGCCTACTCACAAAAAGGAAAGTTGCAAGTAATTTCTCTTTTTTTTATAATTTCGTGGGTTTAATCGAACTATTTTGTAGGAAGACTTGTTATTTTCGAAAGAAAACTTGCCGTTTAGGCCGCTTCTCATGTCTTTAGTCTTGCAAAGGGCGAGTTGGCAAAGTCTTCACGTGATAATGAATTATTTATTAAAAGAGGACAATTCGGATATTTGTCCTGTTTCTGCACTTGATTTTCTTTGTGCCCTGACGCAGAGTCCCAAATTGTGGCAAGGACGCGATAAAGCGATCCCTAAACATCACCATTCCGAAGACGTTTTTGATTTAGGCAAAGATAAAGCCCTAATTTTGGTTAATTATATTTTAGAAGAAAGTAAACTAAACCAGACGAATTGGTCGAAAAAAATGGAATCGCGTCTCGTTCTTTTACTCCAGTGTATCCGAAATTGCGCTCCAGAAATTTTGGAAACGCTTCTGGAAAAATCCAATTGTGATACGCACTGTCGGGAGCTCCTCTTGATGATTTACATGTCGCTCCCTTATTCCGGTCAAGATTTGATTAATAGCAAAGATAATATTTCGAAAGAGGCCTATACGAAAAATTGTCCAAGTTCGGCCGATGAAATCTCTCATTGTTTATTGAGTGCTTTAGCAGCAACTCCTCGCAGTAAAGATTGGCCACGAAAAAGTCAAGATTTAGAACTTTGTGCCCGAAAGTTGGCGGCAACACATCCGGTTTTGGTCCTGCGACAACTTCCGATGCTAGCCGGAAGTTTGAAAGGGAGGGCTCAGTATGACTGGGGTGTTTTGAAAAATAGAGGTCATTTGTTATTATTTGGACAAGTTTTGGGGCTTTTAGAATTATTAGAACCTATTGTTTTCGAGCAAAGTCGGACCTTGTGTGATATATTGGATTCATATTTTCTTTTATTACAATACCACGGCCATATGAAAGATTTGTCGGTTTTGGTACAAAGAATTATTACTTTTATACAAAACTGGATGACTAATGATATTAAGGCGGCGTCAAGGTATTTGCAGGAGCATGGCTCAGTTTTAGTGTAAGTTTTTTGAATTTTGCCTAAAGTGTATGTTTAAGGGTTTTTTTTTAGTGATATTCAAATGGTTCAACCAGGGGTTCGCCCCTTACTCTCCAACGTAACCCTCCCGGTGGGAGATTCTAGCACTCCTCCTGAACTACTCGTCCGTACTGCCATGTCCCCCATGATGGACTCCTTGCCGCCACATTGGCCGCAAATCCTCACAGCTATACAAACATCAGAAAATCTCACCATTCTTCAAGAACTGGACCATATAACAAACAAAAAACCACATTTGCTCGAAATACCGTCGCAGCACTTATATAACTATATTAGTTCGTCTAGTGGGGCAGTGCGGTCACTAGGTTTGACTCTAATCGTGCGGTGGTTGAAATTTAATCCAAAAGCAGCATCAGATGCACTTCCTGTTATCTTAACTTGTTTGGATAGCAGAAATGGTGATGTGGTAGCAAGTGTTTTGGATCGACTTTCGGATTTGGTTTCGGTCATGCAGGAGTATGGGAAGGTTATTCTGACGAGGGTTTTCCAATTAGGAATGGAGTCAGCGCTAAATACAACCAGTAATATTACTAAAAGTATTGATTTGTTAAATTTGCAATCAGGATGTTGAGTGAGATTTCAAGAAACTTGTAAATTTATTTCAGTTACAAAATACAAAAATTAAATATCCAAATCTAAATCATTTAAATCCTCCTGGGATTCGAACATTTGAAAATTTTTTATTGGTGTTACCACTTTTTTAAAATTGAATTTTTTCGCAACATTTTTTTTCTCAGGTTCTTCTAACATCGTGCTGGATTTAACATCCTGGAAAGATATTTCTAAAGCTCCACAAGTAGTTTCGTTAGCGTCAATAGTAGATTGATTTTCTTTAGGAACAAATCGAAATTTTTTTAAATCTTGTCTAATTTTTGAACGTTGTGAAAGTTCTTGATTTGATTTACTTTCTTGTGATTTATTTTCTTCACAGACAGATTTAAGATTAAGGTCTTCCTCCAACGCGTTATCCATTTGGAAAATGTCGTTAACACTCGGCATGGCGTTAAGAGCAGCTAGGTCGTCATTTATTTCATTTTCTCTTGATTTTAATTTGATCTTTTTTGGATTTGTTGAGCTTTTCGTTTTGTTTCGTTTGTTATTTTTGATTTTGTCTTTCTTATCTATTGTCGAAATACTACTATCTTCTGTAGGTTTTATCATGATGTCTTTTTCATTTTCATTATTCTCTGCACTAACTATTTTTATTTCATCATTATTAACTTTTGAAGTACTTGGGCTTGTCTCACTATTTTTCTTGTTTTTTGTTTCATTTTCAGTACCAATAGTTTTTATTTCTTCATCTTCATTAATTTTCGACGTGCTTGGTTGTGCCTTAGTTATTTTTTCAGAGCTTCCTGTAGTTTCCTTTTTATCATTTTCTTTCAATGACTTCGATTCTGCTTTAGGAGCTGTGTGTATACAACTGGAGCGCCCTCGACAGAGGTCACAAACACCCGATGCACGTTCGTTTTCAAGTAAATCACTAAGGTCCAATTTCTTAAGTACAATTTGGACCAATTCTCGGTAACTTTGTTCGGGATCAAGAGGAAAGTTATTCCTGGTATCAAAACTTAAATTAAAAACCGAAAAGTCGGATTCCATTGCCATTTCTACTAAAATCACAGCTACTACAGCATCGACAATTGTGACTTCTTTATGAAACATAAGACGAGCATGTCCTTGTGATAACCTGACCATTGGAAATATTTGGTTTCAAAGTTTATTTTTTGCACACACAACTTACCGCACTAGACTGTCTAAAAGTCTGACTGTTGTCCTTGATTTGTTTCGATGATTTTTCTGTCTTTGTGCTTGATAATAACTTCTCAATATTCTATGAGAATCGTCATTCAACATGGGGTGACTTTTTTTAATGATCGCAAAGTAGGCCTAAAATCAAATTACCCTGATTAAATTCAGAATTAAAAATTTATGTATTGCCAACTTGTAAAGTCTCAATTGTCCAATTAATATTTTCACTTAATTTCGATGAATTTGGATTTTCCTGTGAAGTCAAAATGTAATCAACCATTTGAGAATCCCAATCCTCATCAACTATATCTCTCATAAGCAAAATTAAATCGAAACGGCTCAATAAAGGGCTTGCTAAAGCCACATTCATATTTAAGGGTTGACTAGGATCAAGGTTTCCCTTTGGATTAGTTGCTGCCAGTATAGAACAACGCGTACTGAGTTTGCAAACAATACCAGCCTGAAAAACCGAAACACATACAATATTTTTTCTTTTTTCTTTCACGCTATTTACTTTCGCCACACTGATAGTTTGTTGTTCCATCGCTTCATGAATACTCATCCTGTCATGCTCCTTCATCGTATTAAACTCATCAATGCAACAAATCCCCCCATCTGACATTACTAAAGCTCCGCCCTCTAATTGCCACTCCCCATTTTCCTAAAATGGACCTATCATCTCCCTTCAATTGCAATTGTTTCATTACCATAACAGCAGTGACAGTTAGACCAGCCGCTGTAGACCCCACCCCGGTGGTAAGAACCGATCTCGGCATTATTTTCGAAGCAAACCTCAATAATTGCGATTTACCTGTTCCAGGGTCACCTACGAGTAATAAATGAGGCTCGGCCCGAACCCTCACCTTTGTGTCTGAAGTGTTGTGTTTGGTACTACCACCGGCTAAAACCACCGCTACAGCCAATTTGACGATGAAACGGCCGTAGAGCTGAAATTTGATTGGTTGGGATAGTCAAGAGGCGTGGTCTGACTCACTTCTGGACAAATCGATTTTAAGATGATGTCACGTGCGACGAGAGGCGTGGCCGAGTAGGTGTGCCAGAATGCTTGGAACATATCTTTGAGTACAGGGGTGATTGAAAGGACTGAACTATTGTTATTATTAACGTGGATATGATTTGCTTTGATCACTAGTTCGACGTCCATTTTTTTGCCGATAAAAAATTGACTTGAGCGTCGTTTAACTAAACCACTGGAATGGTTTCCTTAAGTGTGGTTGTAGAAAAAAAATTTGCATACACACCAGACCGTTATATTATCACCAGGTTTGCATAAATCAACTAAATCGTCTTCTAAAGTTATCCAAATTGAGTTAGGCATGCAACCAATGTCAAGTTTATTAACAGTTTCTTGCATTTTGACCTCTTGATAGTCTTTACAAAACGCAGGATCTATTTTTCCTAAACTTACAATAGTTGTCCCTTTGCAGCCTTCCGGGTTTGTACATTTTTTTGGCGATATTATAACATTTTTCATCTGATATTCAGCCGTAACTAGCATTGTGTGTTTACACTTAGTACAAATGTATTGTTTCTGATATTCCAACATTTTCATTTGGGTCATTCTAGTAACAGTCCCTGTGACTTGTAAAAATTTATTCACGTCATCGTTTTGTGGAAATTTCGTTCGATGTAATTCTGGATACATTGGTAGACTATAAATGCGACAATGGATGTTATCTTTAATTGTGTGTAAGTCCTCTTGAGATTGGAGCATTAAATTAGTTTGGACTCTTTTAAGAGCGTTGTTCCATTCCTCCAGTGTTTTTTCCGGCTCTCGTAAAAAATCATTGACTAGATTTGGCTCATTTCCAGACATTTCTACAAAACTACAACCCCCTTATTATCGCCCCAAAACAATAAAACAAGTGTTTTACTTGACATTCACTGAAAAGTGTTTGTGCTCATCCAGATCTTTCAGAATATCGATAATTTCATCTTTATAGTACGACAACAAATATTGGTCACACATTTTTTTGATAAATTTTCAAAAATTTGAGGTTATGACAGGGTTATCAGTAGTTTTGAAAAAAATGTGGTTATGTGGATCATAACCTCAAACCTCAAGACAAAAATGTAGTGGAAAAAAATACTGTTGAACTTGTAAATGTTTATTATTTAATAATGGATTTAAACCAGAAGTTATCTTCTCTTCAAGAGATTTCAAAAACCCTGCTATCAAAAATCTTCAGTTCTGTCCCGGGGACTAAACATATCGTGATTGAACCAAGTGTGATTCGCCCCCTTGAACGTGTTTGTAGTGTGAGTTGGCTAAAGTAAGTCTCTGTTTATTTTGAGTAATTTTTACATATTTTGATTTAAGGGGTAACGGCATTGAGAAAATATTCAAGTTGGAAGGGAACTGTCCCAATTTTGGAAACAGCCCCGTATTTTACATGATTTTCTGTAAATTAGCCACATTTAAACGAGTGGTTGATCAAATTCGGTCGCAAATCGATCAGGAAAATCCAGTTAAGAATAGGTTTCACATAATTATTGTTCCACGTTATTTGAATTATTTTCAAGACGAGTTGGAAGCGTTGGGCCTGTTTTCCATTATCAAATTACATTGCTTTCATTGGTTTCCTATTCATTTAGACGCGGGGATTTTAAGTTTAGAATTACATGATGTTTACAAGAATTTGTATTTGTTGCATGACTATACGTTTTTGCAGCCGTTGTCGAAAGCGTTATGGAACATGTTTTTTGTGATTGGTAAACCAAAGTTTCAAATAGCTGTAGGCGAATATTCAAATAAGATTTTGCGTCAAATTGACTTACTCTCGTCTGAGAAGGGTGAAACAGATAGACTTAATTCAGATATAGGAGCTTTAATCATAATTGACAGAAATGTAGATTATCCCAGTGCCTTACTTACACCTGGTACCTATTCAGCTTTATTAAATGAAGTGTATGGGGTTACTACTGGAACGGTGGAGCATAAAGAAGACGAGGAAGAAACGGCACAAGGTCGTCTCAATCCAGTTATAAAAAAACAACCAGTTAAATTCACCCTTGATAGCAATCTTGACTCGATTTACTTTGAAATAAAAAACTTGTATTTCACTGAAGTTACGTCAAGCTTGAGGACCATGACCAGAAAACTGAAATCCGAGGCACTCGAATCACGTGACATGGGCTTAAACGAAATGAGACACTACGTGCAAAAGCTCCTCCAGCCCGCCCAAACCCGTAAAAAACTAATCGCGAATCATTTACTCGCGGCTGAGACCATAGCCAACGTCCTAGGCCCTCGCTACGAGTCGCAGCGAGAAATCGAGTCAAACATCATCCAAAACACCAACCGTGCCTCCAACTTCTCCTACTTGGAAGAGAGTCTTTGCACAGAAGACGACCCTTGTGTCACGTTGAGACTCTTTTGTTTGCTTTGTGTCACTCAGAAACTTACCGAGAGTGAAATTAAAAACTTCTGGAGAAAGTTCCTACATCAGTTCGGCTTTTGTTCCAGTTTGGCATACCGATATTTGATCAATGCCAATTTCGTACCGGAGGTGGGGGTTCCAGGACAGACAAAAATTCGGTTCCCGAAATTCACGACGAAGGAATTTTACGCCAATGCGAATAAGTTTAAACAAATTCCCGCGAATCCGGAACTGGCTAATTTAGGCAATCCAGGTTGTGCGAGTTATGTCTTCGGGGGGATTTACATACCGTTGTTAACGAAAATTGCGAGTATGATCGTTAGTGCGACTCCGATTGATGAAATTAAGAGTAAGTTAGAAGGGCTAGGGATGGTTACTTTGAGGAATGATAACGCGTATCCTTTGGAAACGAGAACTGTTCTAATTTATTTCATTGGAGGGGTCACGTATGCCGAAATTGCCGCTTGCAATTTATTGGAGGCTTTTACAAGAGCTACAATAATCGTTATGAGTGATAAGATTGTTTCAGGTAACGATCTGATGAAGCAAATGTTGTCTTAAATCATTTTGTTGTTTGTTTCATTTTGTAAAGACAGTCTAGCTCTAAATGAGTCTCTATTTTTTTTAAAGTTTTTCGATTATTGTCCATGCAATTTGTAAGACGTTGTTTTGTTTTAAGAATTTAAATGTATTTGAAATTATAAATTTTGTACTGTTTTCTTATTAAAATAAACGAATAAAAAAAATAAAATAAATTTAAAGGTTTTTTTTAGACTTTTCTGAACTTCCACAGCGCGACACGAGAAGACAATTTTTGGTCGATTGTGTAAATTTTTAAGTTTTTATTGCTAACTTCACCAAGGTACTGTGACGTTTTGTTTAGCCCACCCACTCGTATTGAGTATGAGTTCAGTGAGCCCACCTGTTTTGAATTCCCTTGGTGCTTCCATAACCTCAAAGATTGACAGTGATCAAAACAACATAAAATGGTTTCGTCAAATTGGGGCTATCCAGACCCGGAAAAAACATCTGAAGACTTGTCCCCCAATAATGAAATTATCATGGCTACTGACACAGATACAGACGAAGAGGAAAATCCATATAATGACTATCAACCACTTCCAACAAACGACGTCCCAGAGGTGGAAGGCTCAAATAGCAGTGATAATGAAGAAGGAGCCGTAGCAAATGTTGATTCTTTGCCACCCATCACACCCATGGAAGAGACATTAGTGAAAGAAGTGTGGACGGGACCTGCCCCAAAAGCAGTCGATATTGAAATGGACAGCAATAAAGTAAACGAAGTGAAACAAGCAATGATCAATTTTGCTCTACCACCAAGCTCTATACCAGAATGGGCAAATAACATTCCAGAAGAGCAATGGAAACAACAGCTAATCAACAGGTTACAAAGCTTGCAGAAAAAATAGTTGTTTTATGTTGTATGTGATATGAAGTATTTATTATCATTATGTATTATTATGATAAACGTAAATAGAAAAAGTAGAGTAATATGGTGATATTTTATTTCCAACAACCCCTTTTCATAATACCCGTTTTTGATTGGTTCATTTGACAACTACTAATAAATGTCAATTGACAGATGTAGGTTATGTTGTGACAGGGGGAATTTATAGTTTATTTTTTGTTATTTATGAAAACAAAAGTTTAAAAAAATGACAGGCAGAGCAAAAAATGTAACCACTCGAATTGAAGTTGATATCGAAAAAAACAGAGAAGAAGGTAATTGGTTAAAGGTCATAGAATTAGCAGAACAACTTAAGGAAAAATCACCAGAACTGGGTAAATCCGTGTAACAATCACTTGTTACATAATACGAATTTATTGTCTTGTAGTATGTCTCGCAGATTTTTTAATAGGGGAAGGCAAATTAGAGAATTACTTGGAGGAATGGCCCCCAGTTGAAGCCAACATAGACAGGGCAAAAATTGGCCTAATTGATGCGAAAAGATACTTAACATTGGTTATCAACGATGCGGGTAAACAGGCAGGCGTCGCAATGGACGCCCATCTTCTCTTGGGCAAACTCCACTACGCCTCCGGCCAGTACTCCGTGGCCCTCAAACACTTCAAATCGGCTGAACTTCACAATCTCTCTCAGAAAAAGCTACCACTGTATGTCCCCCAACCTTTTTAAATCTCATCTAATTCAAAAATTCCAGTCGCAGTTTACGCATCGTTGCCGAATCGTACGCCGTTAATGGTCTGTGTCTCCAAAGAGACACAACCTCGACCAGCAAATTCAAGAAAGCTGAAAAAGAAGAAGAAATGTCAAAATGTTTCAGTCTCGCCTCCGACTTGAGTCTCCTCTACATGCAAAAACTCGAAAAAGAGCCAACCGGAACGTTAAGCACCACGGGGACACACTCCCCCCAGCCCCCTCCCTCACACAAATCCCTCGGTGTCATCCTGGAACAAGCCATTCAGGAGGGACCGACCCTATCTTTGCACCTGGGCAAACCTCAAGAGGCTCTAGAACGGTACAGAGCCTTTTTGTGTGCTGTTGAGACACACGGGGGGCACGCGATTCGCTTGAAATTCATGTGCCAAATGGCAGAGTTGATTTTACAGGTGTTAGTGGGGGATAAATACGCGCCACCGCTCAGTTCGCTACCTAAACCTGCCATTTGGAAACCCAAATATTACGCATCGTTAAACCAGTTTGTTCCAAGAAATGAATGCGAGGAAACACTTTTGTTATTACTGATTGCTGAATCTATGGCTGTTAGAAATGCGGTTTTATCGCAATCGCCGGAGTTTAAAGAAGTTAGGTTGAGTGCGTATCAAGACGCGACAAGGGTTTACGATTTGTTGACCGTGGCCACGGTCAGATGGGGGCAAATAACATTACTTCAAGAAGTATTAAAGGTGTTTCTTGTTAATTTCAACTAAATTGAAACAATTTTTTTCTAGTCTTTGGAACGCTCCATGAAATTTTCCTTTGAAGAACCCCATTTGTGGAAACAACATGGTCTTAGTCTCCTGGCCACCGGTCGCTACGTTCATGCTTTAGCCGTTCTCAAGGAAGTCATCCGTCTTGAACCTAACAACTCTAGCAACTGTTTACTAGCGGCAAAAATTTGTTACGAACACTTAAATCTAGCCGTAGAAGGCACCAATTTCAGTATAGAGGCTAAGAAGAAAGATATGCAATGTAATTCGGGTTTGCTCGGCCGTTGTTACCTTTACATAGGCATAGGTTATTATTTACAAGCAGAATCTTGTTTTCTGAAAAAAGATAAAGAAGACTTGATGAATCGAGCTTTAGACAATTTCAAAAACGCTGTTGATATCGAACCAAACGATCATTTATGTCACTATTACCTAGGCCTTCAGTTGGCGGTCCTAGGTAAGATTGGTGAAGCCCAAAACCACGTCAGAATATCCCTAGACTTACGATCGGAAAGTTCATCCACGTTACACCTTTTAGTGTTACTTCTAACCGCGGAAAGGGAGCACAGAAACGCTTTAACTATTGTCGAAAACGCCCTTGAAGAGTACCCTGACTGTCTTAATTTAATGTACGTCAAAGCCCACCTAGAGCTCCACGAAGAAGGGGGTGAGAAGGCTCTAACAACAGCCAAGCAAATGCTAGAGCTGTGGAAAAACCTCTATGAAGGTCAATTAAATTCCGACGTTCCCGAATGTGACCGAAAAAGCGATACACGTTCAGTCTTCCAGTTATACACGTCTGAAATGTCCGACCGAGATTCGAGTAAGTGTTACCAACCGCAAAATGTTAAACCCCCGTTTAGGTTCTTTACAGTTGCACAACACTGCGGCTTCAAGGGTCGAGCAAGCCTTAAGTGAGGTAGCGAGTTCGTTGAGTAGTTTTAGTCCGCGGCCTGGCCCACAGAGGGCGTGGATGTTGCAAGTTGAGGTGTGGTTGTTGTTGGCAGAACTGTACTTAGCGTTGGATCAACCTACCGATGTGCAACAATGCATACAAGAAGCCACGCAGATATATCCGTTAAGTCACCACATAATGCATATGGTTGGTATTACTGAAGGTCTCGATTTGATTTGATTGGACGTTTTATAGAAAGGGCTGTTGCATATGCATAAGCAAGAGTGGCCTGAGGCAAAATTGTGCTTCCAAAATGCTGTCGCAATTAATCCACAGCATGTCAAATCACTACAAGAGTTGGGGTTGGTTTATCACTATTTAGGGTTGCAGGGATTGGCTGAAACGACCTTTAGGGAGGCTGCGAAAATTGATCCCAAAAATCACATCACTTGGTGGGTTAAACGTTTTTTTGGTTCGAGTTGTGATGTTTTTTTTCAGGTACAATTTAGGTAAGGTGTTGGAGGCGTTAGGCGAGTATGAGAAAGCGAGCAATGCAATGGCGACAGCCCTCATGCAGGAAAAAAATAATCCGATACTTCCTTTCAATTCAGTTCCTCTTTGTTTTGAATGAAATGCGTTGTTATATTGTTATTTTTGTTGTTACGTAAATAATGGTGATTGTACTTAACTGTGTTATAGGTTAATTTGTACAATTTTAATCGTTGATGTTTGTGGATGTAATAATTAATGTGATAGAAGAACGATACAGTAATTTAATTTTCGAACGGGGTTTTAAGGTTGTTGTTAGTTTGCGTAATTAAGAGTAGAAACGAGTGGTGGCGCTACGATTCACCTAGATATAGTATTTACACTCTAAAACAATACTTAAAATTCCGATTGAGAAACAAGTATACAATAAAAATTGTTTTAAATTGTAGAAAGTTACTCATATGATGGAAAGATATTATAAGAGATTAAAACAATAATATTGTTTTATATTTTAGATATACTTTTATTATGATTTCTTTTCACTTTTCGTTTTTAAATCCCTTTGCACGCACTCGTGACGTTCGAACATGTATTTTTGGTCGCAAGGTTACTGATAAATCTTATCAATTTAAAGATCCCGAAGTGCTGTACAGATTCCTGCACAAATATTTCTTTACAGTAACACTACCGGCAAGAGTAAACATCTCATAAAACACGAAATTGCATTATCCTGAACTTTAATATTAACCTTGATGAAATTTTTAATAACAGACTTCCGACAATAAAACTGTTTTTCAAGCATTTGCATTACGACCTTTTTAAAACTCGTCTCAAATTATTATGGGCATGTGCCGTCGACCAATATTGGGGTATTGAAATATTTACCCCCGATAACTACTACTAAATATTATTATCGAGAGAAACGAAAAAGTCTAAGAATTTTTTTCTCAATCGTTTTTGTAAGCCGTCTACCTACTTAAAAAAAACGTTTTTTTTTTCCTTTTTTTTGTATTATGTGTCATTGATTTACTAATCACATATAAAAAAGTTAGCAATATTTATTTTGCATTAAATGACTCATGGCACAGTTCTAGTGAGAAAATATGTCACGCGACTGTTACGCACGGGTGAAATTTACAGAACCAATATCAAGGTCACGAAAATTTTAACTATTAATTTTAGGTTTGACCATTAAAAGATTTTAGAATTATAATAAGATTTTAAAAACGTTAACGCAAATAAAGATTCCTTTTTTTCGTTAAGTAAAAAAATATTTTGGTTATTCCCATCTCGTTTCTTCGCTCAAATTTACCGATCTTTTGTCATTTATTATAACCCAACTGTGCATCTTCCTGTTTATATCTTAAGTCGTAATAAATATTTATTGATCCAAAGCCTTGTTTCCGTTTCACCCTGTATATCCACCTTCTAGAAGGTAATTAATTGAATTAGACGCTATGTTGCGCAGCGTGTTATGGATGTCAATTTTCAAAAAAAGCCGATCCGTTTGCATCCCCCACACACCTCGTGCACCAAAGTCTTTCGTAAAACTGTTCCCGGTCCCAATCAGGGGGCGTTTCCTCTGTTTTTCGGCGGTGCGCCACTGCCGCACCCGAGCAGCGTCGCCCCGAAGCCGACGCATCACGCCGTTACTTGAACCACCGCGTGCATGGCTTGCTTGACGCATTGCAGGTACATATCGACCAATGGGAACGCAGCTCCGTACGAAAGTACGTTGTAAACAAGCCGCGCCCGACATTCAAACGTGGCGGACTCTCCGCATGGAAAATTAGATCTGATGTTTTTTCCTTTTTGGGGGCGCGATTTCAAAAAAGCTTCTTTGGGGTGGTTTGTGGAGAATTCTCGTATTGATTTAATGTGGATTCGTGGGGTTGGGATGCCGCGGAAGGCCTCGGTGGAGGCGTCCACGGCGTAGGAATATTTACTCGTTTGTGTCGTAGCCGCACTATTGCGCTTTGGCGGTAGTGCTTTCGCAGCCCCTCCACCCTCCCATCCTAAACAAAACGAGAAAAGACACAAACGCAGACAGTTGGCTGGTGCACTTTGACGCGAATAGTCGCAAGTGACAGTTGTTTTCGTGGCAAAGAATTGTTTAGAGTGCCCTTTTTACCGGAAATACAGCCATGGTAAGTACTCCAAAGGTGTAAAAAGGACGGTTTTGGGAAGAGGGACTGCGGATGGTCGCGCTTCGCGCGGATATTTTTGGCCTCTGATACTTTCGCAAATAGCTGTCAGTTGCCGTAAACCGGTAAATTGGTTTACCGCAATGCGGACAAATTCAATTTCAAGGGCTATTTTCGACGGTATTGCGAGATTTCGACGTTAAGGACTTGTATCGATCTGTTGCATGGGGTGTTTACTTTCTGATGGCTTGTAGGCTGACCAACTCACCGAAGAGCAAATCGCTGAGTTCAAAGAGGCTTTTTCGTTATTCGACAAGGATGGCGATGGCACAATCACGACCAAAGAATTAGGAACTGTTATGAGATCACTAGGACAAAATCCCACGGAGGCAGAACTCCAAGATATGATCAATGAAGTAGATGCCGATGGTAAGATCAACTCAACTCCGATAAACAAACGATTGTTTTTGACAATGCAGAAGCGGTTTTTGTTTTTTCTATTACCAACTTAAAAACCGTGTGACCGTTAAGACCATCTGTTGCCAGTTTGATTATTTGTCTTCATCGTTTGTTTTATTAAGAAATACGGAATGATGTAATTATTGCCAGATAATGGTTTATCACTACATATTATTCAAAGTGTACAGTTTAATCATTTATTTTTTACCAACGTTGATAAACCGATAATGTACTGCATTGTTCTCAAATATTCTATATCTATAGACTATAATCGGTGATAACATCGCAACTCTCGGTAATCCCAATTAAAAATTCTTCATAGAAACAAACTTATCTTATCGCAAAATACGTCATCGATATTTGGCCGTGACGGTTATTAATTAAACATCAAAAATCAATCAAAGTTTTTTCATTATAAAGTTGGTAACGAATTCAAAAAGTGACGCAATTATAAGTACGTTAATGACTAAACTTTAGAACTTAGGTGGAAAGATGAGTAACTTATGTCTACAGCATGAGCAATTTCAGGTTTATACCTACATTCATTCAAACAATATATGACTTTCCACATTTTTTTGGTACCATAACAAGAAAAAGTAGATATATGCGTTTTTATTTGTTGATAATTTAGGAAAGTATAATTAATTTTATTTTTACGAATTCTAAAAAATAACATAGAAAATGCCTTTTCAAAATTACGTTTCCCTGTATAGTTGTTTTGTTTGATAGTAATTATTAATGAATATTTAACTTCTTCTGGAAAATAAATAACTATTTAGTAAAGTCATAACTTTACAAGGGAAAAGTTGCCATGGAAACCAACTGCTGCCACTTTTTTCACTAGGATTATGACATGATTTCCATTAAAAAATCAACTTTATTCATTTATAGACTTCTGCTAGACATAGAAAAATCGTCCATCTGTATGTAGATCAGCGTCGGTCGAATCACATTAGCCATGAAATTACCCCGTGGCACCCAAGATAATTTGCGAAACAGCATTCATTTGTTATTCAATGACAGTTCGCACTCCTAAGCCAACGATGATGGTCCATAAAGGCTAAGATTATGCTATGAATTTTAATAGAGCGGAGTAACTGTGTGAAGGAAAATGAAAATGCCAAGTATTGAATATTTCAGACGTGAATATTGTTTTGAAACAGAAAACGTTTCGTTTAGTAAAGATTGAATCGAGTTCGAACGGGAGAAAACCAATTTTTTAATGTCGCTTATGATAATGTGTGGTTTTTTATCAAATTGTGACGGAAATTCCTGTTTTCTTAATTTATAATAATAAAGGCGTGAATGTTGACACGAGTACGTAGTGGCGCCACTGTCGCTGCTCATATGAAGGGCTATAATTTTTATAAATTGATTATTACTGCGCTCCCTGAAGTAGTATATAATCCCAATTGCTTAAGAGGAAAAGGTCGCATTTATTTGAAGAATTCTAGAATGTTTTTTGGAAGGATGTTATTTTCGTATTTATTGCTGTGGCAGCGCAATTTCGGGCCATGTTCTTTACAGTTTTAGTACCTTTTTAATTATCCTAAACTATTGAAGGATAAGTAAATTAAATTATTTTCCGTAATGCGCTTCCAAAAATAACAATTCGATTTGCGTTTTTTTTTCCGAATGACACAGTTTTTTGGTTGTTTAGGTAATGGTACAATCGATTTTCCTGAGTTCCTAACAATGATGGCCCGTAAAATGAAGGACACCGATAGTGAAGAAGAAATTCGCGAGGCATTCCGAGTATTCGACAAAGATGGTAACGGTTTCATTTCGGCAGCTGAATTGCGTCACGTGATGACAAACCTTGGTGAGAAGTTAACCGATGAAGAAGTTGACGAAATGATCCGAGAAGCTGACATAGACGGCGACGGTCAGGTCAATTACGAAGGTAATATTTTTGGAGTGTTTTGTCTGTTGAAAATTTATTATTTGTCGGGAATAGTGTAGTAGGCTTGGGACAAATCACGGGTCTTTGAGTTTCGTTTGGGTTTTATGCGAATGTAGCTCTCTTTTTTTTTGTTCTTTTTTTTTGAAGATGTGTTCTAGGCCAGGAAGGTATGACTGGTAGTGTTCCTTTGCAGATTTCCGAGCTCTAGCTCTCATAGTTTTCAGTCGATACTCAGCCACACATGCTTCGAGCTGGTCAGTTGTAGTCTTGCTTTGGGAATGTGCTTAGTGGCATGTTATTCTGTTACTGTTCTACCTATCACTGTCTTGAGCACTCTTTAATGATGTGTCTATTCGCTTTTTATGGTTAGAATTGTTTTTGATTATCAACAATGAAGCACATTTCCAAAAAAATTTGACTGCATCTTTATTATTGTCGTAGAAATAATTAACAAAAACTAATTAATACAATAAAAACATAATATGCGTATTACGATTTTCAGAAGTTTCCTGGCTAATACGAATGAAAATTATTCGTACCAGTATTAACGTTTCACTGATATCGATGTAGTGCACCCAACACTGTTGTTTATTATGTTGGGATTATGTTGTGTTAGTTTTGTAGTTTTTATTGAGAATATTTTTAATTAATTTTGGTTTTTGTTTTTCTTTTTGATTTCAGAGTTCGTTACCATGATGACTTCAAAATGAAGAGTAGAGCAGTTTGCATTTCAGCTTTCCATTGTTTCATCCCGGCCCATTATCTACAATTTCAACATCTTGAACTTTTTGCTTGGCTGCCGGGCCACTAAAGTGAAAAACTTAATCGTTATTTGATTTACAAGACAACTTTAATTAATAATAAATATTTATAAATTAATATAATTGTGTAAATTTTTGTAATATATTTGTTTGGAAGGTGCAACACCAAGCATCCTCTATACTGTTTCAACTTCTGTGCTACATGTCTAGTTGAGTCGTTCTCGTTATTCACAAAGTATGAAATTGTACTTATAAGTCGTTCTTTCGGTGTTAGTTTAGGGGATACACAGACTTAGAATACACTCAGAGTTTCATGTTTCATACTTTGTGATCCCAAAAAAACATACATCTGTGCACTTAACTATAGTATGTATCCCCTTTGTTTTTATTATAAACGAATCATTTGTTCAGTTATCATCATCCCCAGATCTACTGTACTGTAGGTTTTACATTTTGAATAGTTAGAATTTTCCAGTGTATAACCAAATAGACACTCTTTTTTCGTCAGCCTTGACATTTTTTATTGAACTGTTTTATTTATTTTATTATTTATAGATAAGGACATCGGTTACAATGTGAAATTATTAGATGTTTAAATTTGAAATAAATGTGACTAAAAATTATTTATCTAGTGATTGTTTATCATCCCGTTATTAGATTATTACGGCTACATTACTATTACGATTTTTTATGTTAATTTTCCTTATTTTAAAAATAAACAATTTAAAGCAATTATCTGTTCTTATCCGACAACAAACACCATCTTGGCCGCCGCTATCATATTTAATTAGCAGTAAAAAACAAAATGAACACATCGTAAAAAATGACAAAACACCTTTACGAAATAAAATGACCTAAACAAGTAAAACAGGTGTAAAAATGCTAAAATTATGCACGAGTACAAAATTGTTAAAGCCGATTAATATTAATGTAGATAATGGAATGAAAGATAATGCTTTTGAAAGAGTAGTCAGGTTTTAAAAGATTTACTTCGCCGAAAAGAGAAATGATAAACGGTGTGAACGAATAAATGAGGCGATTTTTATATTTCTAACCGACATGGACAGGAAAACTTTTAATTTACTCTTGTTTCGGTTGATGAAAAATTTTCCCCTTGGCAAATCTATTAAGGGGGTTGCCCTCCGCACCCCTCGAGTGATCAGTAGTAGGTCATCAGGTGCGCCACCACTGACCTACCGCGTGTGAGTAATAATTCCGCGCACCTTTTATAAATAGATGGATTCGTCCGAGTTGTTTCGCCGGATTGAAGTCTTCAGAAGTAGCGTCGTTAGCGTCGCGACGCCGTGACCGTGGATGCTACATCTCTAAAAATAGTGTCAGGTGTCGGCAATTCGTTCTTTACCTTAATGAGGCCTTATTTACGAATTGCCCGAATCAATTTGTCAAGGTAATATCGATTGGTGATTTCATTTCGTTTGTATAAAACATTGCGCCTGCCCTACACATGTCGCTATATTTCAGACTGTTGTAAAAGCCACCGTCATCATGAATTTGATGTTCCGGAAAAACTTCCGGGAGCAAAAAAGCGGCGTCGCGAGCAAAACTTCAAAAGCTTGTGCCAATAGACATGCGAGCAAGAGGTCCAGTCGAGAGCAGGGGTACACCCCCATGGAGGAACATCACTATAGAACACATCTTTTCTTCAACCCTTCGAGATGTAGTTACGCTCAAGCGGCTGAGGATATGGACGGTACGCTTCATTTATCTTTTTATCCCCGATAACACCACCCCCAGTGTACAAAAAATACCTTTCAATTGTCTTTCACAGGGACCACTACAGGTAATAAAGACAAGGAAAAAGCAGTTTTGTTTCTATCAAAGGTCAGATCGGGCTGCTTTGCGAGTTTAGTAAAGAGATTAATCATTAAAATTAGCTTGTATAAAAGGCACTTGTAATTAGATGTAAACAGCAGCTTGAGACTATAATAACAGCATCAGCGTTTAAAGCTTCCCTCTGTATATATCGAAAAAATTGTCATTTTATATCTTGATAAGACAAGTTACTGGCCACTATTTTGAATCAAACATGGCTACCAAAAATTTTGACGTTTCTTTTTTGCCGCCATTTTGAAACAAATGTAGCGACTAGAATTTTTGATGTTCCTTGAAGAAAAAAAAAATATAAAAAAAAACATTTAAGTTTCTTTTATCCGTTAAGCGATATATTTGCCTAAATATTTTGACAATCTGTCCTTACACCTTAAAAAAATATGTTGGATATGGCCTTCAAAATTCCGACACTTCTTTGTTCTTTCGCTGAATCTAAAAAAATATATTTAAACGTGTACTTCCCCGTGGGTGGATTTTCTATTTATAAAAAGCTAAATAAAGCGAACAATCATATGAATGTTTATTTTGACAAAAATTTTCGTTGCAATTGACATTTGGCGGAAGTCTAATTTTTCAGCGACCAAAAATGTTAGTCCTTGAACGTCTGAAAGAGTGTTGGCAGCAGCTGCAGGTAAATTGAATCAGTAGCCTCTCTATTTTCTGCAATAGACGAGCTTCGTATAAGTATTGACACGCGTAAAAGTTGGCGAGTGTTGTTTGAAGGTCCATTTTCAGGCGCAAAAATCGAAAAAAAAATTGTAAGTTGCTTAAATCACAAATCAGATAATTGTTTTCTCGGGTAGACGAACTTGTCGGTATTTTGACAAACACAAAAATACATTTCTTACAAAAGTGAACGTGAGTATAAAAATATCTCGCCTTGCCAAAATATTGTGGCAAAATTCTCGAACCATTCGACGTTGTGCAAGAAGCGTCGTTCTCACTCGCGCACATTTTGATTCATTCGACAGGTGGCCAACCAAACGGCCTAACACTAATTAAGTATCACAACACGGGGAATATTTTTTGGGTTGAATAATTTAGTTTAGGTTCACCGTTTTTGCACGTTCGTCGACACACACTAACCCCTTTTTTGATTAAACAGTAAATAAGTAATGTCCCTTTTCGAGAGAGATGCATGCGCGCACTTCAACACTGTCCTATTATTGGTCCATTTATTTGATTTTCTTTCGTATGAATCCGTTTGCAGAACCGCGTTGCGGTCCTATAACTGGAGCGGGCGGGGAACCCTTGCCGTCTCTGCAGTCGTCTGCGATATCTCCTCCGATGACGGAGTCCGACTTGCCACAGCCCTTGGTCGTTAGAACTCCTTCCGTATCGATGATGAAGTGGCCTACCACGCCGTCGCCCACCAAAACCACCCCCACCAGACAAGTAAGATTTAAATAAAAACCCGCATTTTTATGAGTTTGCAAGTCATAGAAAAAATTCTTATGAAATCCGAGTGTGCAAAGATCAAAATCTACGTTTCCAAATTATTTACTGAGTCATATAAATTCCTTTCAGTTGTTACTTATTAGTAGTAAAAAAATATTGTATGCGCGTCGTGAGAGAATACATCTGTTTCCAGGTTAGTTTCAACTACGGTAATGGAAACACGGAGACTGCTAGGACTTTGTCTGGTCTTGAAAGAGATTGTTTTATCATCCCAGTTCACAGTTTAGATAGGTTTCTTCCAGCAGGAGTACCAATGCCAGTAGGTACAAACACGTGACCTACTCTTGGTAGGTTACTAAATATCTTTTTACAGAAACCCCCGTCTAATGGGAATTCTATGGATAGAAAGTCTCAAGGGAACTTACATGTGATGGAGGTTAGTAATAGTAGATTACATACCGAGGTGGAAGATGCTTCATTACCTAAGCAACGACCACCAAGATTTGTATACTATTTTATTCACAATCATCCTCATTAAAGAACAGAAAGCTAATAAAGAAATTATCAAATTTTGAAAAACATGATATATGACAGTTCAGGTTGGCAAGTAATAACTTCCTTATCAGTTTTCGGGTTGGGCCTTTATTCCAAACCTGAACTGTGTATTTCATATCAATTGCTAAATGAAATGTCATACTTTCCAACTTTTCCCATGCAAGGTAATTTGATTATTATTTTTATGATTGTGAATAAAATATATTTTTGGTAATTTTATTTCTTTCTGAATATATTTTACGATATCATAAATAATTTTCGTGTATACGTAATATAAATTAATAAAAACGCGCATAAGCGATTAAATTTGTAATAATTAAATCAGGTTTTTAACTACGTAAAAATTAATTGGCAAAGGTATAAGACAAAAAATGTTTGGTTTAATCTTCGAAAATGTATAATTTTTTTAAAAAAGGTAAAAAAATTCGATAGTTCTTACAGAAAATAATGGTTTTTACATATTTTCAAAAAAAAAAAATGGTTAAAATGTAGGCAAGAGCAAAAACATAATTGAAAACTGTATACACGGTGCGTCAGAATTCGCGCATGTTTTTTTTTCTCCTGGTAAGATACCAGGAACATGAAAAAAATGTAAAAAAAAATCTATCTATAAAAATTTATGTTATGAGAGTTTAAATTTTGCACTTTGACTCTATTTATTTTTGCCGGAAAAATAACTTTCCCAAGTTTTTTTGCTACAGGCTATTAGAAGAGAAGCTGTATTTATTTGTGGGTTTTATTGACAAAATTTTTGTACCTTTACTGAATAATTATAAAAAAAAGCATATACAAGATCATCAGTATCATTATGTAGACATAAAAAAATGTCAAATGTCAAAAAATAAATATCAAAATTTTTGGACAGATTTTTTAAACATTTTTCCCATGTTCTGGCATCTTATCTTACTTGAAATTTTTCTCTGGGGCGCGAGTGCTGACACACTGGCTGGCAGATCTGGCAATAATAGTTTTTTTGTTTTTCTTTTGTGTAACAGAAAACATCTTCCAAGCTTTTCTCTTAGCCGTTTTTTACTTTTTTTGAATATTTTTCTTGTCTTTATTAATCTGTTAATAACCTTTTTACCAAGTTATTCGTGAAACACATTTAATGTTATTATTTTTCATTATCGTAACACGACAGTTTGGTACTAAAATCAATCAACTGTATAATAAGATATACTAAAATGTTGCATGTCTAAGGCTCTCAACATACATATCGTTAAGTTTTGAAAACTGCAGTCAACTGGAACGATTCTGACCTTTCTATAATAAAGATATGTATTTGAAAAGCACGTGATGCATAAATACATGTTTCAAAAATACTTTCTTCTAAACAAATTATTTCTAATTATTTACATGTTAACGTCTACTTGATTTGTTCGTTTAACATCTATTGCCTTAAATATTTACAAATCTCCTTGTAATTTTGCGAATAAATATATGGGTTTAAATATTTATAGAGCAGTAATTTTATTTCGAAGAAAAAACAAAACACGGATGCGATTAATTACATCCGGTAATGTAATAATAATAAGAATTTTTCTGTTTCGGTGTACTAAGCAACCACAATTATCGTTTTTGTATTGATTTTTATCAGGTGCCTGATCCCAAACTGTGTGTCTTATGTCATTTAATGAGTCCCTTGGAACCCATTGACCCCGTTTTGGAGTCACCCTTAGTCCAACCCTTATTCAAACAAAGAGTAACAGCCGGGGAACTACTTAACGAGATTTCTCAATCGAAAACGGCGGTTACTGGGATGCTATTAGCCAACATGGAACGCAACGGTACTTTTCAGCAATAGTATGGAGTGTCATAATGGCGACTCTTTTGCAGCCGAATTCCCTTTCATATCATATTATGTGATAAACACTTCACAAACAAATCCTGTGATGTTTTACAATAATATTCGCACTGCCAGCCTGACCAAGTTCGATCCTCGACAACTTAGGTATACAGCAGCGCATACTCTAGATCTTTACACAGGTCGGTAAAGTACAACTTACGGTCCAGTATATAAATCCGATTTTGTAGAAGTGGCATCCATTTGTCGACCTCCGGTCCACGAAATCGGGGTTTCACTCACTAAAACGCACACTTCGACGACTGGATATATGGTTTCGGTGTATAAAGTGTTTGATGGAGATGATAGGGAGAAGTTTGAGAGGAATTGGTTGTACTGGACTGGCGCCCGGATGATCTATAGGTATCTACCGGCGGCGGCCGGATTGAGAAGAATTTCTCTTCACAAATCGCTTAGTCCCAAAGGGGATAAGATGTATATTTTGCTTTGTGAATGTTGTAATTTACTGAGTGATGTCACGGTTTGTGCGTTGATTTTACCAGCTTTGAGGGCGCGACTGACAGGGTACACCGGAATTTTTAGACCAATACAGACATTCTAAGAGAATTTTAGACATATCATAGGCACTGGGGAATTGCTGGGGACTTTATTTATTAAAATCATCTAAATGAAATATTTGGTTTTTGGGTAAAAATGCATTGCCGACCTGTCTTATTGGTAAATGGATCATTCGGGCGACAATACTAAAATAAATAAATAATTACAAATTTTGACGAGCTGTGTCATTTGCAAAGTATATGAAAAAAACCACTTTTCAAACAAATTGGGAAACTATTGTGTAAAGATTGTGGACTTAATTCGGTTGAAAATTCCTTATTAGACTACTAGTCCTGTGGACAAAAAATTTTTCAAAAAATGATCACTTTTGAATATAACATTTTTACATTTCTTAAATAAAATAATACAAGTGCCCCTGTTTTAATCAAAACTTATTGAAAAAAGCTCGAGAGAACATTTTTCCCATTTTCATAGAAGTTTTATAATGAATATTAGATCGCAAGTTTGAACTAAGCTTCTTGCAAACGTGCCTATTTACATTTTATTATAATAAAAACAATCAAAAAATATATTTATCAAATTGTTTAGTATTAGTTATAGACATTCCCTCAATTAATACCTTGAGCAAACTAATTGTAAGTTTATTTTTTTAAACGTTGAGGTGTATAATTGAGGTTTAAATAATGTAATCACTGTTGAATCATATCTTGTTGAAAGAAAAAGTGATAACAATATAAAACTAGTACAAAATTTCCAGCTTAAGAAGTTTTCTTAATATTTATGTAATGTTTGAATGTATCAAAAAAAATTGTTGCGGCATTTACTGCCAGTGTTATCCACCTATGGCTGTATTTTTTATCAAAACCTCACATCAATAATGTAAACACCATTAAATGATTGTAAAAATTCTTTTACAACCTTTAGACAACAGGTCTTCCTTAGTTTCGCTTTCAAACAACAGCAATATAAGAGAAAGATTTATTTAAATATATGCAATGCTCAAGAGAAATCCAACTACTTTATTTGTTACCTTTATTTAATACCCTTTCCGTCCTCGAAATCTTTGTCGATTGTCTAGCTGTAAATAAAGTGTAACTTATATTTATATAATAAATAGATATTTTCATTACCATTGATCTTTTGCATTCAAAAAACGTATTCCTCAAAGCTAAACATTCATTAGGAACCTCGTTTGACCTTAAACATTCGCGAGGTGTTTTCCTATGCTACAAACCCCAATAAATAATTAGTAAATGATAAACAACGGAAAAACTCACAATTTTGCAGCAATCGCTTTCCAGAAGACACATTTTCAGATCAGCCCTAATACCGGCACACGCCGATTGATCCGCCAATCTTTCATTTTCTTCAGTATATCGCATCATTTTGACGAATTTACTTACAAATTACACAATTCAAATGAAACCAAAAGAATTTTTGCGCTTATTTTGGCCCCTTTTCAATGTTATATAACCTCAAAGAACAGATGACTGTCACAAAAACAAAACATAACCGCACTTTTATATCCAAAAAGTCGATTAATTAATCTTAGATACTCAAAAAAATGCAGGTAATTGACGAAATGTGCCGGGTTTGTCTTGGCAAACACCGCCTTAACCCGATCTTTGAAAAAAACCGTCCAGAAAAAATTGTTTATTGTGCTTCAGTTCAGGTAAGGAGATTTTTGTTGGTAAATTAACTACTTTTTGTGTATTTCGTAGGTATCAATCGACGATGAGTTACCAAAGATGATATGTAATCAGTGTTTGTTTTATCTGGATGTGGCTTACTTATTTCGGACAGTATGTGAAGCCACTGATGCTAAACTTAGGAAACATATTTCTCAGCTTAAAGAAAAAGCAGTGCAAGACAGTTCTGATGATTTTCACTTTAATAATTCTCCAGTCGCACACGAAGTCGTTATTGGAGACGACGATAAAGAAATTGAAATTAATGTACCGCCACCTGAGGAACATCCTGAAAAAACAAGAGACAAACCAAAAGTAGGGCGCCATGTTGCGAAAAAAAATGCCGGAAAGTACCCCCAACGTGTCCCTCCTTTACACAACACCCCAAACAGTAAAAGATCCGGGGACAAAACCTACCAATGTACCACATGTGATAAATTTTTCTCCTTCAAAAGCCACTTAGTCCGTCATATGAGCGTCCATTCTGACATAAAAAAATACTCATGTTCCTATTGCAACAAAAAATTCATCAATCGGTACAACCTAAGCGTCCATTTGCAAAAACACACCGGAGACTTTCCCCTCAAATGTAAAATATGCAACCGAGGTTTCTCTTCCCCTAGTCTTCTCAAACGCCATTTAAACTCTCACGCTGGTACCCCCAAACTCCAGTGCAAATACTGTCCCAAAAAATTATTATACGCCAGTAGTTTAAAACTACACGAAAAAATGCATCTCTACCGCCCTTCCTACACTTGCGATGTTTGTTTCAAGGTTTTCGCATACACAAATTCTCTCACTGAGCATAAGAAAACACATCAAGGGATCAAAGAATTCGCTTGTGGTGTGTGCTACAAGACATTCACTAGAAAAACATCATTGCGAAGACACGCAGCTGGACATTCGCAAAGAGGAAGAAAAAAAAATCAGAATAGTATTTAAAGCGTAATAAAATTATTTTAATAAAATGTTTCTCTTTGGTACCACCCTTTCGGGTATTTTCTTATATGCCACTTGCGGTATTCATCGTAGAGTAGTAACAAAATGGAGAATGGGAGTGCATAGATCCACCTAAAACGTAATGAAAAGATGCGATTTTTCTCTATTATTAACTTACCACCACCAGCTTAAGGGGTAGAAACTGAGATAGTACATATAGGGGGTATAGGAAAGTATAGCTGTGAGTAGAGTTTCAACCAGCAAACTCACGTTTAGTACCATATTACCCATTCCTTGTACAAGAATTGAGTTAACTCGTGTTTTACAAGCTACTAAATTCGTCCACTGTGTCACAACCACGGACATCATAACTCCCGTGCTACAAGTATTTTGTACAACTTTTCGTTGGGAGTGAGTCCAGGGGCGACCATACGAATCGTTTAATTTTCTATAGGATTCCCAGTCGTCTCGTATATCTAGTACCAACTTGTTAAAACGAAAATCACTGACAAGAGTTACTCACTAAGTAAACGTGCAGGCATAAAACCAAATTCCGCCATTATTAAAAAATAAACTAAAAAAGCACCCAATGCTTCCAACATTCCCAAGTTACCGTAAGCTAAAAAATATAATTTCCGGTTAACCAACCGGTCTCGCAGCGGGTTCCGAGGCGGTCGTAACATGATATCAGTTTCAGCTTTTTCATAAGCCAGACTTATGGCAGGCATCATGTCTGTTAAAAGATCTATGCAAAGAATAGCAACGACACCTTAAAACTTTTCAATTATGTACAACAAAATCAATTTTTGCTACAAGTGACACCTAGAGGAAGAGGAATTCCAAGAAATGCGTAAGCCAAAAATGGTAGAATTTCAGGCACGTTTGAGGCTAAAGTGTAAGTTATGGATTTTTTGAGATTATCAAAAATGCGGCGACCTTCTTCTATTCCTATGATAATGGAAGCGAAATTGTCATCCATTAGGATAATATCAGCAGCTTGTTGGGACACTTCCGTACCAGCAATACCCATGGCGATACCAGTATCTGCTTTTTTTAATGCTGGAGCGTCATTAACACCATCTCCAGTTACAGCAACTTCAAAATTTTTTGATCAAACTAGGTTTAAACTTCTTCTTGGTGTTTTTAAGATCACGTGACCATAAGTGCTACGTCACATCAAACTCGCATGCCCTTACTGACCTATTTCCCCCAGTCTTTGGTAGCCTTCAACAATTTGAAGTTTTTGCGTCGGTGAAGTTCTGGCAAAAACAATTTCGGGATGATCAAACAAGAGATCATCGAGTTCCTCTTGAAGCAATTCCTTCAAGACAAGTCCATGTACGACCACAGCTCCGGGATCACTATATCGAGTCTTAAAATTTCGTACCGCCTGAGCAGTTGTAAATTGATGAATAAGACCTTCGGTTATAATCCCCACTTTAATCGCTATGGCTTTTGCTGTAATCTAAAACGGTTTTTGCAAGAGTGTTTCGTTTTTAAACAGGGAATAGTTACGGGATGATCCCCTGTGACCATTGCAATTTTAATCCCTGCCGTTTTACACCTGTTAATAGCGTCAGGCACTTGTGGTCTTGGCGGATCGATCATTGCGATTAATCCTAGGAATCGTAAACCGCGTTGAGGAAAGTTCGCAGGATCGACTGTAAATTTAGAATTGGGATTATAACTATCGTCCAGTTGCAAATCACAGAATCCCAAAACGCGTTGCCCCATTTCGGCGAATTCCAAACACGCAGAGTTACATTGTTGTAGCAAATCAGGAGTCATTTCTTTTGTTTCGTTTCGGTGGAAGATTGAACTGCAACGTTCGAGGACTACTTCAGGGGCGCCTTTCATTGCTACTAGACATTTCTTGTTCTCCAAAGCGTGTACACTTATCTGAATCAATAATTTTTACTTGTTGGTAGTTTTTGTCATGACTGACCTGATATTTTGTTGTTGAACTAAATGGGATTTCGATCAATTTCGGATTTGAATTTTTAAAATTTTTGCCTAGGATATTTAAAACTTCGACAAATTTCAAGATGGCGCCTTCTGAAGCGTCTCCTCGGACTTGTCTTTGCAAAATAGGTTTATTATCATCACTTGATACGAATTCAGCGCGGTTACATAAAGTAGCACACCTAATTAAATTCCTGAAACCTATTCAAACTAACAAAGTATTACCATAAACCTACCGGTACCTAATTCAGGCGGTTTTGGAATTTTTCTCAAATTATTAAAGTCAATCTCCATGACTTTTCCGTTGTACCATACGTGGCAAACTGTCATTCGGTTCTGGGTTAAAGTACCAGTTTTGTCCGAGCAAATTACAGAGGTACAACCAAGGGTCTCCACCGATTCTAATTTTTTGATCAAACAATTCTGCGATGCCATTCTTTTGGCGGTGACAGTCAAACAGACGATAACAGTGGCCAAAAGACCTTCAGGCACATTCGCCACAATCATTCCAATGGAAAATAAAAGGGTTTTTATGACCGAATGTCCCAATATTAGACAAGTCACTCCTAGGACGACTCCTAAAGTAATGGCCCAAATGCTTATAATTCGCATAAATCGCTCAAATTCTTTCGCCATTGGTGTTTTGTTAGGTTGAAGTCTGGCAGTCAAGCCAGCAATTCGGCCCATAACAGTCTGGTCACCGCACGCTATAACAATCCCTAACTCCAAGTTAGAGAAAACATGTTTGGTCATAGTTACCACGACCGGTCCCTTCGACCACATTTGTAGAAAAAAAAGCAACATTTCGTGATTCCAAAAAATTATCTTCACTCGAAGTAGTACTGCGGGATTGAGGTTCAGACTCGCCGGTAATGGGAGAATTATCAACCTTTATCAAACAAATTAGCAAGTACCAAATTGGTACTTAACTCACTTTAAGACTTTGGCATTGAATTATTCGTACATCTGCCGGAACTCGATCCCCAAACTTCAAATCAACCAAATCACCCAAAACTACGTCACGTGACTCAATCGTTACAGGAGTACTGTCTCTAATAACTGTAGCTTTGGCTGGTACCATTCGCGCGAATGAATCCATAATCTTAGTTAAATCAAAATAAAAGAAGTTTATGATACGGAAGTTGTCTTACAGTCTGACTTTTACGTTCTTGGTAATAGGTAAAACTCCCAGTGGCTATTACCACCACGATAAGTACCGCCCCTAACACAACATTGTCCATATCCATTTTTCTTTTATCGCTGTGCAAATATTGGATTAGAACACTGATGTAGCACAGCAAAGCTCCAATCCATAGCAAAGCCGAAAAACCTTGAAAAAATCTAGGGTTCAAGTTTAAAAGACACTATGTAGTACCATGAAAAAGGGTTTCGATATATTTGATAATTTGTGATTTTTTTTTGGAAGGGGTTAATGAATTGGGGCCGGTTAGCAGGAGGACTTCTTTGGCTTTTGCCGGTGTTAGGCCGGCAACGGGGTCGGTGTCGAACCGGTTACAAAGTTCCTCTAAAAACGGTTTTACCGATTTGAGAGATTTTGAAAGAGTCTCACCTAAAGGGATAGTATGACAATCGGTTGAAACCTCTTTTCGGAAGTTTTCAAGACGTGCGGCACTTTGCTCTTTCGCTGATAGTCGACCTTTCTGTTTGTAAAGAATGGGCATCTTAAAAATTATTTGACATTTATGATGACAAATTTGACGCGTATGAAAATGAATCAAGGGTAACGCAAGGACCTGTTTGGAGTCCAATTTTATTTTCGTCAAATACCCACCTGTTCTATTTAAGCTTTTTCATAAAATTAGGAACAGGTAAGGGAGAGTAATGTGCGCAATGCAATCCTGACTTGATTGAACTGGAAAAAACTCATCCTTTGTCAATACTTCCCCCTCTAGACTAAGGTTCGATAAAGAGGTGGGGTTATTTATAAGCCACTTCTTATTTGCTGTTCATTCTGAAAATTTTCGCATCTATTCGAAGCGCGTAAGCTCGAATTCAGCGTCGCTGAAAAATTTACTTTTTCACAAATTTAGCATAATGTCTGTAATAGCGCGTGCCTTGAGTTAACACTTTCTAATTAAATTAAGATGGTTGGCTGACAGTTCCTCGGTTTTATTTATTTTTTTTATTAAAATAATTTGTGGTTTGTGAAAATGTCGACGCTGTTTAAGAAGAAATTCGAAAGGAAAAAATCTCTATCGAGGAAAGAGATAAGTCTTGCGCGCCTCGAAAATTTCAGGAGGGAAGTTATAACAGACACCCATTCGGCTGCCTTAAGTAAGTTTGAGTTTTTTCCGATTGATTTCTGCTTTATTTGCTTAATTAAGGCGCACCTCTTGAGAAAACATGACCCATATTGAGGACCAGCAAAGTAATGGCGTTCGCCAATAAATTCCCAATCATTTTAATTAAAATCATTTTATTTTTAGCGCAAATGGGGTCGTGCAATACGATCTTCCCAAACAAATGAATTTAAAACACTAAACATTGCTTTACTTAAATCGTGAAACACTGTTCAGTATAAATAAGAGTTTTCCACTTTTAAATCGTTACTCATGTGATTTATAGCATAAACCGAGAGAAAATCATTGTTACTTTACGATGTTTATAATTTTTTATATTTCGAATCGAATTACTGACGTCATACAATGTGAGGTCACTCCATTTTTCAAAAACATTCCCGAACTTCTAGTAGGCCACGTGATACAGCGCCAAATTCAAATTTCAGGTGATTTGTGTCGACGGCTCGAAACCGATCGCGAAAACGGCTTAAGCCCCGAAAAGGCAGCGGAAATCCTCGCCAAAACTGGACCAAATACTCTGACACCTTCTACAAAAACTCCGGAAATTATCAAATTCATACGAACTCTAACGCATGGTAAGATATCTGCCGTTAATCATCATTCGGGCCAAAAATAGACCAGTATTTAGGCTATATTTAAAATTCAACTGGTTTAGGCGAGTTACTAGGAAGAAACTCTGGATTTTATAAAAGAATGTCCTATTCATACAAAAAATCACATTTTAGGCTTCTCGCTGTTGCTATGGATTGGAGCTTTTTTGTGCTTCACGGCTGTTATCATTCGAATGATTACCACACATGAAACGGATTCAGACAATTTGATCTTGGGATGTGTTCTGGTCACTGTGGTGGTGGTCACAGGATGTTTCATGTATTTTCAGGAACACAAAAGTCAAAAGGTTGGTACAAAATGCGTTTGCGGCATATACATATGCAAACATAACATTTTTGTGAGAAACTCAATTTTGCCTTCGCTGTTATCCCAAATACACCAAAGTTGCAAAATTAAACACTCCAACACTGTTTTATGTAACTCTTTTCAACTTTCCACTTAGATAATGGAGTCTTTCGCCAACATGGTCCCTCCCAAAGCCACGGTGATCCGTGGCGGCGAGACCATGACCATAATGTCCAAAGACTTGGTCGTCGGTGACTTAGTCGAACTCAAATTTGGCGATCGCATACCTGCCGACATCCGCATAATCCACAGTCAAGGTTTCAAAGTTGATAACTCAGCCCTCACTGGCGAATCAGAGCCCCAATACAGAGGCAGCGAATGCACCAGCGACAACATCCTCGAAACCAAAAACTTCACTTTCTTCTCAACAAACGCGGTCGAAGGCACTGCGAGAGGCATCGTAGCGGCTTGTGGCGACCAAACTGTTATGGGACGCATTGCAGGCCTCACTGCAAGACTCCAACCCAACAAAACCCCAATCGCTCGCGAATTGGAACATTTTATGAAAATCATAAGTGTTTGGGCGTGTTTCTTGGGGATTGTGTTTGGAGGGGCTGCTTTAGCGATGGATTATTCCTGGATTGAAGCCTCACTATTTTTGATTGGGATTATAGTAGCGAATGTGCCGGAGGGGCTTTTGGCCACTGTCACTGTATGTTTGTCGGTGACGGCGAAAAAAATGGCGGCGAAAAATTGTTTGGTCAAGAATTTGGAAGCTGTGGAGACTCTAGGGTCGACTTCTGTGATTTGTTCGGATAAAACAGGAACTTTGACTCAGAATAAAATGACTGTTTGTCATTTCTGGGTTGATAATAAGATCATTCACGCTGACTCTACCATTAAACAAGAGGAAGCGAAAGACTATACCGGGAATGAAGGTTTTAAAGTGTTGATGCGTTGTGCCACTCTTTGTAATCGAGCTGAATTCGTCCACGGTGAGGAAAACAAACCAGTACACATGAGGCAAGTCAGAGGAGACGCTTCGGAGGAAGCCATCTTGAAATTCGTAGAATTGACACAAATCGAAGATTCGCCGTCCAAATTTAGACACAATAATCCCAAACTTTTGGAAATCCCATTTAGTTCCACTACCAAGTACCAAATTTCGATCCATGGGCTAGAAAATGGACGTTGTTTGATAGTCATGAAAGGGGCCCCTGAGCGAATTTTAGCCCGTTGTACTAATATTTTTCTCAATAATGAAACAAAAATTCTCACGGATGATTTGAGACGGATTTGTGACAAGGCTTGTACGAAAATGGCCGAAAAAGGGGAACGGGTTTTGGGATTTTGTGATTTGTTACTTGATCCTAGTTACACCAAAGATTATCAGTTTTGTGCAGAACCTCCGAATTTTCCTCGTCGTGAGATGAGATTCATCGGGTTTATGTCTTTGATTGATCCTCCGAGACCACAAGTGCCTGATGCGGTCGAAAGATGTAAAACTGCTGGAATCAAAGTCATAATGGTGACAGGTGACCATCCGGTGCTTAATTCAACCTTGTCTTATTTTCTTCTAATTAGAAGTGGTTTTAGATAACGGCGAAAGCAATAGCCCGTCAAGTTGGCATAATCCAAGCCAAGGAAACCATCGATGCCTTCAACATCAACATTATTGAAACCATCCCAACCTTCAAGGACAAGGCTATAGTGATCCATGGTTCGACACTTCGAGATATGACAAACGACGAATTGGATCACGTATTGCAAAACTACAGAGAAATCGTCTTTGCTCGAACTTCCCCGACACAAAAACTCCAAATCGTTGAGGGTTGTCAGCGACTTGGCGAAATTGGTAAGCAACCATGGACCGAAACTAGCACCTTGCGGCACGCCTCAAATTTCAGTTGCGGTGACTGGTGATGGTGTCAATGACGCTCCCGCGTTGAAAAAGGCGGATATTGGAATTGCCATGGGTATTTCCGGGTCAGAAGTGTCCCAACAATCCGCCGATATGATCCTCTTAGACGACAATTTCGCGTCGATCATCACCGGAGTCGAAGAAGGTCGGAAAATTTTCGACAACTTGAAAAAATCTATCGCTTACACTTTAGCCTCAAATGTCCCCGAAATTTTACCGTTTTTGGCTTTCGTACTTGGAAACATTCCTTTACCTTTGGGTACCACCCGCACCACGTTGTATCCCCCGAAATAACAATTTTTTTAGGTGTCATGGCTATTCTATGTATCGATCTCTTAACTGACATGTTACCGGCCATAAGTTTAGCATACGAAAAAGCCGAAAGTGACATTATGCAAAGGCCCCCAAGGAACCCAAAAACTGACAATCTTGTTACCCGAAAATTGTACTTCTTGGCTTACGGTCACATCGGAATTGTCGAAGCGACCTGTGGTTTTTTCATCTATTTTGCCATTATGGCCGAACATGGATTCATGCCGTTGCAACTTTTCGGTACTTTCTAAACACTTTTCGAACCTTTTTAATAGTTATTACAGGTTTGCGACAAAAATGGGATTCGGAGAATTGTAACGACTTGGTCGATTCTTACGGTCAGGAGTGGTCGTATCAACGCAGAAAAGAATTGGAATACACGTGTTATACGGCTTTTATGATAAGTGTGGTAGTAACGCAATGGGCCGACTTGATCATTTGTAAAACACGAATTAATTCGATTTTTCATCAAGGTAACGTTTGATAAACTCGATTTTTTGAACTTATTGATTTTTTCAGGTATGGGCAATATGGTTTTAAATGCAAGCTTGGTGGTCGAAACCGTGGTGGCGTGTATGTTGTCCTACCTCCCCGATATGAATTATTTGAAGTTTTATCCGGTCATGTTCAGATGGTACGAAAAATTCATCACAAAAATTAATTCACTGCATATTTTTTTTAATTATAGGTGGTGCTATTCGTTACCTTTTGCCTTATTTATAATAATTTTTGACGAATTGCGGAAATTGCACATGAGAAAATATCCAAATGGCTGGTATAAGCAAGAAACTTACTATTAATTATTTATAAATACAGATAATAAATATTTATTTATTGATAAATTGTTTTTCTTCAAAGAACCAGTGCATCAGGTCTTTTATTTTTAGAATACCTAGAAACCTTGTTAAACCCAAAACTAATTGGTAAAATGGCAAAGTAGCATTCTGATACCAGAACCTGTTTCACTCATTACCTACCACTTAACACGTCCACGCAAAAATGAATTCTCTTCTCTCGATACGTAAGTAAATAAACATAAATTATGCTTTTCTGAATAATTATTTTCAGTGATGTTTATCACAACTCAAGCGTTAGCAGTAATTGGCAGTAAGTAATAGCAAAAACTCTTAATAAAAAATTAAGAATTATATTTTAGAGTGCGGCCGGTCTCAAAACGACCAAGCATTTCCGTGGAATGTTGGAATATTTATTGGACATGAAAAGCAATTAGAATTAATATGTTTTGGAACAATTATTCATCCAAATGCTGTTATAACAGGTAAATTAATTTGTTTTAAGCGCGAAAAACGGAGTCACTTATTGGTTAATTTGAATTTTTTAGCCGCACATTGTTTCTGTAATAATCTTGATGGGAGTATGAGAAATGAGTCGTTTTACGTCTCGACTGACTACTCGAACAAAAAAATCAACGTCGACGAACATCCACACTTCCACAAAGTATCAATACACCAATGAAACATATAAATTGCATAAATGACTTGTTTTCAGATTAATAAAAACAACATAAATGTCCACAAATATTACAAGGGTTTGGTTAATCAATTCGCAAACGATATCGCAATAATAAAAGATAAATTCCAACTCAATAACAAATCAATTTGTATCGACTGGTCTGGAGATATTACAAAAGATGTAATTATAGCCAAACTCAGCAGTCACGTGCCTTAAAACTGGATTTTTATTCGTTCCTTTTTATATCACGTGACTTCACATTAGGATGTGATTGCTTCATTTGAATTTTCAAATTTCCATAAAATAAATTGTAAAATACGTTTTTACAGAAAAATATAATCGCCAAACAATCAGTTTTGGACAATAATGAAGTACGAATTGTAGATTTCACTTACCTCGATTCAGATGAATGTATCCACGAAGCTTCTGATTTTTTTCGGCCTCTGATCACAAACGATAAATTTTGTACTAAAAGTAAGTGAAATTTAGTAGTTATTAACAATTGTTTTCTGTTTTTCGGTGCAGTTGCAGGAGTGTCCTTAAGTCACACGAGTGAAGGGGCAGGTCTTGCTTTTCTTCACGAAAATAAGTGGTATCTTAAAGGCGTTGTTAGCACTCACGACGTCACTAAGAGTAAATTATCAACAATTACCCCATTAAGTCAGTATATGACTTGGATATCAAACATTTATGCAACAGTGTAACGATAATCATGTATTAATTTATTTTTATTGATAAATAAGAATGACATCGTCTACTGATAAAAAGACTAAACCTTGAGGGCAGCTGCAAGCTCGCCCCCTGCTTGCATTTCTTTAACAATGTCCAGTCCCCCAACTAACTCTCCTTTGACATACAACTGGGGGTAAGTAGGCCAATCTGAATATGTTTTAAGTCCTTGACGTACTTCCTCATCGGTCAAAATATCAAAAGTCTCGTAATCAGCTCTAAAATCCTAATTTTAAACACAATATCAATTATAGTAATTAAGTGAATACCCAACATCATTTAATATTTGCACCATTTGTCTACTAAAACCACACCGGGGCGTCTCACGATCCCCCTTCATGAACAACATCACGGGGGCTCTATTTATCAACGCTTTCAGCCTTTGCTCTAACGAAACACCTTCAGTTTTGGAATTGCAATGGGTCTTAATTTTTTCCGAAATTTTCGCAGGATCGGCCCCGTCTATTCTGTCAATAACTTTTCCAGACCGGAAAAGTAAAACTGTAGGTACGGCCTCGATTTTATACTTTAGAGAAACCTCACTAAGATCTTCAGCCTGGCATTTGTAAAATTTGATAGTGGAATACTCTGGACGTTTAGAAAAAGTGTCGAGTACGTCGTTGACTTGGGAACATTGTTCAGCCCAATCAGCGGCAAAGTGGACCACACTGAGGGCTGAGGAACTAAATTTGGATGAATGAGGGTAAAAAGTCGGATTGTGGACAAACTTACCTAGTGGTGGCAGCAAAAGCGGCAGCATCTGATAATAAATCAGGCATTTTTTAAATTTTAATACTAAAACGTGGGTTATTTGTTCAATTAAAAGGTTTTTCCGGTATTTGGATAAAATCCTAGGTTAGAAATTAATGACCTTGATAGACAGCTTAGCCAACCGAAGTAGTACCAACGTAACGGAATTGGTAAGTCGTTTTTTGTGTTTTTTAACGTTTTATTGAGTCTAGAATTGCTTTATCTAACTTTGTTTGCATTTTTTTTATTGTGTTGTCGCATTTTTGATAATATCGCTTGCCTGAATCGAATTAATCACTTTGAGTAAAAGTTGGGTTATGCAACATGTTTTTACTACAAAAGCCACAATATCGTAACATTTTACATTTTTTTGTTTACTTCCACCAAGCAACACATTCCGAATCAAGAGTTGTATCAAAATATCCGCATTCTTTTTATTTTTTGCTTGATTGCAAAATGTACAGTCTTAGTCACAATCAATGTCATTGACATTGAATCTTATTTTTTCGCAGCAATGAACGGTTCAGGGATTGTTCAATATGTTGTCGTGAGGGGAGATCTCTTAAAAGAATTGGGGTGGCCTGTTGGTGCTATCATAGCACAGGCTTGTCATGCAGTAACAGCAGTCACTCACTTGTTCCACGATGATGAACATGTCCAAACGTATCTAAAAGATTTGGATAATATGCACAAGGTCGTACTTGAAGCCCCTGATGAGAGTAGTTTAAATAAATTGAAAGATACTTTGAATGAAAATAATATCAAACATAAACTGTGGATCGAACAACCGGAAAACATACCCACGTGTCTTGTGGCTAAACCATATCCAAAAGACGACGTTCAGAAGTATTTCAAAAAATTCAAATTATTTAAAACGTAATCTTTTTGTTGGTTTTATTTATATAAAAGTCATAAATTAAGTCTTTTATGTACAGAAGTTAAATAAAGCTGGTTCTGTTTGTACAATTCATTATTTATTTAATCCTATAATTCCATCCTAGGTCGTCAGTTTTGGTAAACGTGGCGACGACGGGAGTAATAAGACCACAATAATTAAAACTAAAAATCATCAAATTAAAGAAGAAAAAAAAACGGTTTATGTAACTTACTTAAATGATCGGCGGCAACGAAATAAAAGAGATAGTCACAAAAATTATAAATTAAAGGTCCTACAATATTAGTTCCTGTCATTGCGCCTATCCTTCCAAACATCAGTGAAACAGCAAGAGCCATTCCTCTGACTTGAGTCGGGAATAAATCAACAGCGATAGCATTAGTTATACCAATTCCAGCTCCTCCCATTAGGAAGATTCCAACCAGAAATTGAATAAGATTATAACCGTAAACATATTGCGATGCAAGTCCGGTGATAGTAGTCACCGATACAAAACTGATCATTAACTGCTTTTTCCCAAAAATGTTTATAACACTTCCTATGAAAATATAGATCATGGCATATGCTACACCCATTAAGAGTGACACGAGGAAGACTCGAGGTTTTACTTGGTCATTACAGACATTAACAACAACCTGAAAAAAATATTTAGTCCGGTTTCGGGCGAATAGAAATAAATAATACGTCAGCTAAAGTAGCGTTGTCATGTTGTTGTTCAGAGAGGATTGCTGAACACAAAGAAACGTCATTTTCGGAATGGTCTTCGACATAGTGTGACATACGATTCAATATCTCTGGGTACCACATAACAATACCAGAATTGCTACAATTTCCTTATTGTTACAAATGATAGAAAACTAATCGAGGATTTCTCTTACGAGGCAAATACTCCGAATTGAAGATAACACATCATAAGAGTTTTTACCAAAAGTTCTCCTTTGAATAGCGGCACTGTTTGTTTCCACATCGTTTTCAACATTCCATGCTTCTTTTTTAATTCACTATCGGATAATTCTTCCCAAATTATATTCTCGACGCCGTAATAATCTTCGCTTTTTCGTTGATTAATGACGTACATTTTTTTCAAAATGTCGAGAGCTTCCCTTTTGCGGTCTTGTGTCAACAAAAATTTGGGGCTTTCAGGCAGGAAATGGATAAATACGGCACAAAGCAAGCAAGGGAGGGTATAAAGAATAAGTAAGAGTCGCCATGGCTTGTAAATAATCCCAAAAACGGGAAGATCAATCTCCCAATCTGCTGGAAGAATAATCCACGCTAATCCCGGCAAAAACATGTTGCCACAAGCTACGAATGTCGACATCCACGAAATGACTTTAGGTCTGTAATGATTGTCATGGAACTCGCCGCAGTAGGCGTAAACGGCGGATGAAGCACCTCCAATACTGGAAAAAAGTCATTTTTTGGTCTAGAGCGAGAATTGACTTACGCAAAGCCGTTGACTAGACGGAGGAGGATAAAGAGCCAGACCCATGGTACTACACTACAAACAACAGTGGTGACGGCACTAATCGAGAGACTCAATTCGAGGACTATTTTACGGCCTTTAGTATCGGCTAAATAGCCCCACATGTACGAACTAACTACAACTCCGATGAAACTAACTGATGATAAGAGACCTTTCTCGGATAGACTAAGGTCGAGGTCGCATTGGGCCGCTGGTACTATAAACATCATCATCATTGTCTCGATGATTACGCACATGAGGCCCAAGCCAGAGGCTAGCAAAATGGCAAGGTTGAAAAAGCCGTAACCTACAAAAAAAATTTTTTTCAAAGGGTCGTTAAATTTACTATGTCTGGGTCGCAGTGACCCTTTAATAATATACTATTAGCAACAGAGAATTTATTAGTTAAAGTTTTTAACTTTAATTGGCTTGTATGATAATTACCGGTCTTTGAAATGGCTTCTTCAAAAGGCACATCTTTTTTCGTCTCAATTTCCATACTTATCTTTGCCATGTTCCTAGTACACGAGCTCGAGTTAAACTCAAATATTTTTTGTCAGTGTTAATACTGTTAATTATCTTGAAGCATCATAAATAATGAGACGATGTATGAAAGTTTGGATATTTATATATCAATTAAAAGTGGTCTGGCGTGATGCAATTTGCTTTTGTCACAATGTCGAAGTTTAAGAGACTTAGCAACAGATTAAGTAAGATTTCCCAATTTTATTTTTATGAAAACAAATTTTAATTAATTGGAGTTATTCTAATCGCAAATAAGTACGTGTTTACTCAATGTAAATGTTCTTTGTTTCCAAGAAGACGAAATGTTGTTTTAGTATACTATGCTATTTTTTTTTAAATAAAATGACTTGCTTCTTCCATTATGCTAAAATGTCTTTGTTAATGTAATCTTTGGGATTATAAAAATGTTAATTGTTTGTGGCACGAAATGTACTTAGTTTTGGTCAAAACTGGCTTCATTTGGATTAACTCGAAGAGATAGGTAGGAAAATAAATTGTTTATTTTAAAAAATATAAATATATTTATTTCATTAATTTAAAGTAGGTATATCACAATAAATAATAAATCTTGACCGAGCCTTTGCTACGTCGAGTGTTTCGGAAACACGAAAATTAGTAGGAGACAAACTGAAACAAAAATTTTATTAGTGAAATTTCCCATCAAAGACACATTTTCTTACCTATAAGATTGACAGCGTATAAATTAAAAGTAACTGTACAATTCCATTGTAACATAACACCAACCACTGAACTGGATACAATGCTTCCAATTCTTCCAGCTGTCATGACTAAACAAACTGCCATCCCACAGAGGTGAGTTGGGATAATATCGACCATCAATAAATTAATAACAGCAACACAAATTCCTGGCAGTGTCAAAAGTACAACAAAAAGTACATCAATCATAACTTTATGAGTCAAAAAATTGAGCAAAACCAGTGAAACGGCCGACACAATCATACAAAGACCTAGAATTTGAACGGAATTAGAATTCCAATTAATTTCATTTGGGAAAAAATACCGAAAAAGTTTCTATTTCCTAGAAAATTAACTACAAAGCCCCACACGATATAAAATACCAAGTACGCAACCCCAATGATAATATTTTGTATAAAAACTTGATCGTTGATGTTATCTTCAACGCATCCAATGACTTCTTCCGCATACTCTTCAACTGAAGACAAAGCTTGGCAAACCGTCACACTGGCGTTGCTATTGGCCGAATGTGAAAGTTGGTTTATAATGTCAGGGTACCACAACAGCACCCCACTGGAAACGGCAAACACCCCTCCTTGCATCACCCCTGATGCTAGCGAGTATTTCAGATGTGGGGGTACGAACAGCGGCGCGATTTGCCCCCAGAAATCTTTCAAAATGTTCTTCTTCTTGTTGGGGTCCACTTGGAGTAAGACCTTCTCGTCGAGGCTCTCCACCGGGAACGTGTCTTCTGGTTTTCCCGTGTTGATGGTGTAGATTTGGCGCAAGACCTGGATGGCTTCTTCGATTTGCCCGTTGTGGTAGAGGAATTTAGGGCTTTCGGGGAGTTTGATGAAGGCAATGGCGGCGATGAGGTTGGGGATGCTGATGAGGAGCATGAAGAGGCGCCAGGAGTTGAGGGTGAGGCCGAAGAAGGAGAGGTGGATGTGTTGGGGGAGGAGCGACCAGCCGAGGCCGGGGAGGCTTATCAGGGCTAATGCGATGAAGAGGCTCATCCAGGCCATCGCGGTAGAGCGATATATGCGATTTTGGAACTCGCCGAAGTAGGCATAGACGATCGCCGAAGGCCCCGCGATACTGCAATAATGAATTTTTTTATTCAATTAGAAATTAGTTTCTAGAAACCTGATGAAGGAAACTATGGTTTGTAATTAATCTACTTAAAACTTGGTCATAGCTCGAGGGAAGGTTCTTGCGATAATTATCCGAAATGGGTTCATCTTTCAATTATTTACAATTAATTTTTTCTTCGAAGGATCATTTGACCCATGTCTCAAGACACTAAATTGGTCTCAATTAAAATTTTCATTTTTTAAATTAGTGTACTGTCATCAAATAACGCAACACGAGTAGCGCTTATTATGCGAATCAAGTGATTAATTGGAGTCGTAAACAAATTATTAAAGGAAACGTGACTCGTAATCGAGTTAAATGCTCTTGAAACCAGATAAATTATTTACATTTTCTAATACATCATGTAATTTACATGAATTATGTAATTTTTACATATTTGTAAAAGTCAATCTCTGTTCAAATATGTTGCAAATTTCATACCGAATAACCTTTTATTGCATTTTTTCATTGTTTGCCTAAAGGAGTAATTAATTAAAGTTTAAAGTTGATGGCAATTCCGGGTTGCCCTCTTTGGTAATGTTGATGGTAACTCGTGAGAGAATATTACGTAAGTGAAATACCGGTGATGTGTACTTGATGATGGCCGTAAAAGGACGAAACAGGTTGATGATAAAAATACCGACTGGTGTTTTTAAAATGAAGATTTATTCCGACATTGGATGAGCCCTCAAAAAGTAGGAGAAGGATAACTCTTATGTTCCAAAATTGGCAACAGTACTACCACCCTTTATAGTTAAAAAGAAAACTTGAATTTTTAATCTTAGCGCTTGACACTGACCTAAAAATTTCCCAAATCAATTTCGAGGCACTTTTTCGGTTCAAAAGTCAAAACAGGTGAAAAAATTAATTTTGGAATTTAGAATCTTATATTCGTTAGCAGAAAATTGCCCCTATTTGTTTATCATCAACACGAGACTCTAATCAAAATATACAATACGTATTTCTTTTAATTCTTTTTAATTGAAATTTCTAGTCAAACGTATTGTTTAGTCTTTAAATTAATTTAAATTTTTAAAAATGTAAAACATGAAACATTGTTGATATTAACATTAAGGAGTGAAATGAATTTTAAATACATATTTATTTACATTAATGTTTAATTATGAATTTCCTTTTCTCAAATAGTTGTAATTATTGCAAATTATTTATTTATTAGAAATTTTTACTTTTACACTATCAACTTTGTTCTTGTAGAAAATAACTTTCTCGTAGTTTTGCAGGCTATACTTTTTGTTGAATCTCGACAAATTAATTAAAAAAATACTCTTTAAGTAAAATCTACATCGCAAAGAATTGCTGTTTCATAAATAGAAAAAAGACAATTTTTATGTCATTCTTGAATTAGGTATACTAATTATAACTAGTCAACTAATATGTACCTTTTTTATAAAACATAGAATACGTTTTTGAAAAAATATTCGTCTTAATTTTCTGTTGTTTAATACTGATAATTGAGCAAAATTTTTCTTAAATACAACTACTATTTTTACATAAACATTTTGATATTTTATCTTTGTTAATGATCAAATGACGCTTTTTTAACTTTGAGGGAAAAGGACTTACAAAATTCCGTTGCAAAATCGTAGAATCGCAAACCCCCAGAACGAAGGTACAAATGCTGCTGCTACACTACATATAAAAGCGAAAATTAAACTAATAGTCAACACCGATTTCCTCCCTTTTGTATCTGATAGGTATCCCCAAATACAGCAAGTCCCCGTAATCCCAATAAAATTGGTAGAAGTTAAAATTCCTTTCATATAAGTGTCTAATTCCAAATCGCATTCGGCCGATGGTAACACATAACCCACGGCATAAGCCTCACTGTTGACTCCATAAAGAGTCAATCCACAAATCAGAATTAAGGCCAAATTATATTTCCCAAAACCTGATAAAAAATTCGTGAATTTTTTCTACCGAAAAATTGTATTTTTTGAGACTTACCCGTGTGTTCCAATGCTTCTTCGAACTCGACATTCTTGTGTTTCTCAGCTGTGATTTTAAACTCATCTGAAACGAAGAGATTTAGTGATCAGCACTCTCACAGCTTTGCCACAGTCACCATAAGAGTACAAGTGTTTCTCACTCATTTCGAGCCAATATGTTGCCGAATTACAAATGTGAGCGAGTGCATGAAAGCGCTCTTTTATTTAAGCAAATTTCAGCCTACTTAGGTTCTCTACTCAAGAAACAATTTAATCCCAGTCACAATTAACATAATTATCGTAATTAATGTGACGCATGCGGCCCATCAAAAATTCGCTTAAAATATACGATATTTTCACATCACGGCCAAAACAATAACATTGTCACGGCGTTTGTACAGGTATTGTCCTGTATTTAATTATTTGCTTAGATCATTGTGTGGAACAAAGCGGTTCAATGTTTCAGAGACCTCAGCTTTAATCTCGATTAAATAAAATAAAATTTATTTAATTTTCTCTTAATTTAAGGGTCAGATTAAGAGTTTTTTTCACAGGTTAACATTATATTGCCTGAAGGAAAAAAAAATAAATCCTTGTGGGAATTTGCTATATCGTTGGGATTCAATCCTCCCTTAAAATCTCGGAAAGCTTCTCACTTTTCTATTTCCCTAATAGAGTGGCTATTGTAAGGCAGCTTGGAAGAGCGTTTAAAATCCAACAAAATATAAATTAGTCGTTACATGTCGTTAATAGCCACCTACAAGACTTCGAACACATACTGTACCATCAATTAATTTGAAACTAAAACCCATTATAGAAGAAAAAAAAACATTTTTCCTCTTGCAACATCTCCCACATAACAATTTATCTTAAATCGTGAAAAAATCCTGTTACATACATTAAAATCTGAATCAATTCAATTAACTCAAGCTTATCTTATCGATTACGTGGAGCTTTCGCACTTGCGTTATTTTCCTGCTGTCCTGATACGAAAGCTTTCCCGGAAGATACCTAAGCAACCCTTTTGGCTCGAGGGTGGGATTTGCCGTCTTTTTTATTTGCTAGGTGTGAATGATTGTTTTTTTTATTAAATTGAAAGGAAAAATTCTTGAAGGAGTGGCTCATACGTAGCTAAATATTTGTAAACTTACTACCAGTCAACAACCTGCACACTTTTCAAAAAATAATGCATGGGCGGAGAAGGTGGATGAAAACGGAGCGATTTTTATAGCGCCGGTTTCAAATACCGGTATTTGGGAAATTTTATAATCCGCAAGAACGGTTATTCAATAATTAATTATTCGAAAATAATTTCTTGCAACTTGATTTCGTATAACAAATCTTGTTTCCTTTAAAAATAAACAAATATCTAAGTAAAACGGCATGAAGGTTATAGTACATATACGTTGTCAACAACAATAAATGTTTAATACTTGTGTTTGACGTTATGATAATATTTTTGCCAATTGAAACAATGTTGTCAAGTACAATGAATTGACAAAAAATAAGAATATCTCAAACATTTATTGTCACTTTTGTTACTTGGGTGAATGATGTAACTTAAAATTTAATTCAAGTTATTATTTTTAATAATATACAGGCTGTCCGGAAACTCGCGCATCTCCCTGAAAGAGAGTAATTGGGTAGTCCCCCAGAGTACTAAAAAAATGTTTAAAAAATTCTATCTGTCAGAAAATTTTGAGATTTATTTTTTGACATGTGACATTTCAGAATCTATAAACAGGGAGTTTCTAAAGGATTTCTTAAATGTTATTTTTCCATTTTTTTTATACATTATTTAAATATTTTTAATGATACTGATGATCTTGTGTATGTTTTTTTTTATAATTATTTAGTAAAGGTAGAAAAATTTTGCTTACACTTTAGGATATAGCTTCCTATCCTATATTAGAAGAGGAAACATCCTCTTCTAATAGCCTGTACTTGGAAAATTTCGAAAATTATTTTTCCGAAAATTATTTCCAAGAAATAAATAGAGTCAAAGTGCAAAATTTAAACTCCCATAACTTTTTTAAAACATTTTTCTTGTTGTCTAGGGCACCGCTTGATGATACAGTGTCACGGACACCCTGTAGTTTTGGGGTCAAAGAGGTCTGTCCATGTCCATGTTGAATGCAGTATTTTCACATCAAACTAAATCGTTAAATCAAATGTCTTTAAACCAAAAGCTTGTTTTTGACACTGACGAGGTCTGTATATCATTGTCAGTTTTTTAGATTATGTCCGAATATATTTATTGATAACATTTCCGGCATGGAAGTTGAACTTCAATCGCGATTTTTTTGTGAATTTAGACGGAACTTTTTGGGTTTTGTTTCAATTTCTTTCATTTGTCCTTGTCGCCTCCACTGTTCTAATCCTTCATTTGGACTGAATGCTCAAATATTTACCCCGCTATGAAAACACCATTCCTTAAGAAAAATGTGTCTAGTCGCTTCGCAACCCTTGCCCTCGAAACACACTTCCAATTTATAAACGCTTATTTATACAATAAAAAATTGCCCAACAATTATGAAATTAAAACAATGAATCGATCAATGGTCTCATTCAACCCATCATGGTCAAAGACAAAACCTCCGATTCGATGGATTTCGACCAAGCGATCCACCTGACAGGTATTAGTTTTTTGCAATTTTTGTGTTATTTGTGATGGGTTTCAGGTTACGGCAAGTTCCACTTAGAGGCTTTCACGGCTTGTGCAATTTGCATAAGCAGTGTTGGCTTTCAGAACGGTCTCTCGGCTTACATTTTTCCAGCAGCACAGTGCGAACTAGACCTCACTTCCTTCCAACTGAGCCTTTTGAACGTTTGTTTTCTGGTGGGAGGGGCCCTCAGTAGCTTTCTTTGGGGCGTTTTGGCCGACGCGAAAGGCCGCAGGAAAATCCTGATTGTCACACACCTCCTCAATGCCGCAATCACCATCATTTGTGCGACAAATCCCTTAGTATTCAGTATAATTGTTTGCAGATTTTTGAACGGGTTTCTAATCGGTGCCCCTGGAAGCATAATCTTCTCGTATTTGGCCGAATTTCAACCCCCGAAATACCGATCAGCGATTATTTGCTATTCTGGAATTTTTTTCACCTCATCGTGGCTACTTTTACCTCTTCTTGCCTGGCTCATCCTTCCGATTGACATATCAATAGCTGTAGGATCGTTCATTAAAATCACTTCATGGAGAATATTTCTAATGGTTTTGATAATACCGGAGATAGTGGCAGGTTTCTGGTTTATGCGTTTGCCAGAAAGTCCGAAATTTTTTGTCGCGAAAGGTAACCAAAGGAAGGCTTTAGCTGTCTTGAGGAAAATGTTTGTGGTTAATACCGGAAGATCAGCGAAAGACTTTCCGGTCAAGAGTATAATCCGGGAAGTGAGAGTTGAAACATTTGAGGATAATTTAAGATGTAGGGGGAAAACAGTGAAGAATTTGCAGGAGATGTTTGGACAGTTTAAGAGCCTTTTTAGGCTCCCTTTAGTTTTTCTAACTCTCCTCACGACTAGTATTATGTTTACGAATATGTTTGGGTAAGTGAATTTTATTTTGTCAGGGAAACAAAGATTAAAGTATTTAATAATATAAGACTTTGTAAAGGTTGTCTCTTGTTTTTTATTATTGTTGCATTGGGTGATGTGTTACTTGAAAAATATTTAGCATTTTTTTACGCAATTGTGACGAATTTTTATCACTGTTACAAAAATATTTTGACGAAATATGGTTTAAATAGGAGCTACATAGTACTTTTGATGCTGCAGTGATTGTGATCTATGTTATATAAAAGACTTATTTGTGTTTTGTGGATACAGTGCCAAATTATATGGCGTCTGGTAAAAAATAATTTAATAATACCCAAGGTTAAAACTGTTGCCTTTTTTGTACCATATAACTAATCATTCAATTTTTTTTTAACAGAAGAATCGAAAATATAAATCGGATTAGTCAGGTGGGGAGGACTATTAAAAAATAAAAATATTTCTATGATTTCAAATTTTAACAAATGTTTTTATTCCAGTGGATACAAATGATGTAAATGTTTCTACTGATTAACTGATTTATTTACCGTTAATTTATTTCAACTTTCGCCAATCGCCACGTGATTCTTGATGACGCACAATTTTTTCAAGTACAAGTATTTAAGTGTCGATGAAATAATTTTAATTTATTTGTTATTTATCGATCCAAACCGGTTTTTACGCAATTTTGTGACTTTGTTCGATTTGTTTTCATCACGTGAGAGAAAATGCGACCTACAAAAATTTGCTAGAAAAATTAAAATTATTTGATTTTTTAATACAAAATTAAAATGTAGTTCATTAATCTGTGCAAACGTTTCCCACGAGAAGCATACAAAGATAATTCATGAAAAAATTCTCAAATTAAATAAGTAATTGCGTACAAAACCCTGCTGTCAGAGGAAAATTTTTACAACAGTTTTCTATTTTTACTAAACAAATTCTCTTTGTTTCCTTGTCTACTAAGTCCATTGATTTACGCAAATCTCCTCAAACAGTATCACGCGTTTTCTCAAACGTCATAATTTCAGCACTTTTGGTCTCGGATGGTGGCTTCCAGAACTCTTCGTTCGTTTCGAACGCTTCCAGGCCCTCAACCCTAACAGCACCATCACTGTCAAACAACTTGCCCTTTTCAGTACCATCAAACCAACGTCCTGCAAACCATCATTCGAATCTGCAGTTATTAGAAGTACCATCATCATGGGTGTTTCCTCTATTTTAACCAACGCTTTTTCGGGCTGGCTTGCCACGAGGGTGTCTCTCAGGACCATCCCTTTTGGTACCATGTTAATCGGTGGTATAAGCGCTAGTCTTATCTACTGGTTGACCGCTTCGTGGCAGAATTTAGTAGTTGCTTCGATTTTCCAATCGGCGATGGTTACAGCAAATATGACCATTGGGAGTGTTGTGGTGGAGCTTTTTCCCACCAGTGTGGGTGCGATGGCTATTTGTTTGACAATGTGTGCTGGAAGAATCGGGGCGATGGCTAGTAATGTCATTTTTGGGTTGTTAATGGACCAACATTGCGAAATTCCGATTTTTGTAGTGGCCGCCAGTGTTTTGATTGGGGCAGGAATTTGTTATTTTATCCCGCCGAAAAGGGAACACAAGGGGGGTTGTGCCGAACTCGAAATTGCCGTCGTTTCAAATTTTGATACAAAATTGTAGTGACTTTTGTGTTAGATAATGAATAATCTTTTATATAACTGTGTGATAAATTATTTGTTGCTACTTACTCATATAATTAAACTGTGCTTTTGTAGACGTTAGTAACAGAATCATTTTGTTGCAAAATGAAGGAAAACTACGATGAGATTGTTTCAAACTGCATTTATTATTCATCGATAAGTGACTAACAGTAATTTTCTGCTACAATTTCTCAATTAATACATTTTTGCCGAGTTCATTACGTAATTATCAGAAACGTCAGGAAATTTTGCTTTGATAATTGCCGTAGCAGACTAACACCTGCTGCTGCAGTCCTATTTATGTGCCACATGGTGAATATCACGAAGGGGTAGATAAATATTATCGATCCCTCATTGGAAATTTCCCTCTGTTTCTGCTACCCTGATAAAAGTAACTCCCGGCGTCGTGACGCTCCGGCAGTGGGTCCGGAACTTGACACGACGCCAACGCTAAAAAATCAATTTTTATTCTAACTATAAGGAGTTCAATAGCAGTGTGCCTAACCGTTCTGGAGATGTTTATAACAAAATTGATTTTAGATTTTGTTCCGAAAAACCTAAGGTAATACTTGAATAAACAAACGGCGAATTTGTTCTAATTAGCCTTTAGTGAAATTCATTTAGATCCAACAGTACTTTGATAATGAAATTAAACCGAACTTTTTAGTTTGTTCACTATTTGTCATTAATTTTAGTTTCGCTAAATAGAGAAAAGGGATGTTACACACCCAAATTTACGACTATAGATAGTGATTTTTGGAGTGGTAACTAGTCATAAATCAATGAACTATATAACTTATTTCGTTAAAATATAAATTTTAATTATTAATAATTGTTCCTCAACGTTTTTCTATTTTCTGAGGCTGTTGTCAAGTTTTTTTAAGTAGAAAGGGAATTAAAATAAAACGAAATTACTTAATTTTCTTTTCCATTTATTTCTTTACCCACTACACAAACGGTTCGATGTTAATCTCTACGCACGAGCAAGGATTTGTTAGTTCAAATTTATGCAAAACATTCGGATGCAAAACTCCGATTTTCCCAATTTCGTTTCCATCACAAATCACCTTCGCACACCTTCCTGGGAAAAAAGCCGGATCTAAAACCACAACAATAACCCCCATTTCTCACTTTTTAGCCCTTTTCACCTTCACATGCTTGCAGATAATAACCCTTGGGAGTCTTATTCGGATTCCAGGGTACCTCCAACAACATCATAATTTTATCTAAAAGGCCGTGGACCACTTCAAAACCGGCATTTTTATTACAATTCACTGCACAAATCCTCCTCTCATTTCTCGCCCCGACTTCTACAAACCCAATACTGTTAAAACTGACATAATTTATTGGTTATAAACCTGTATCTGAGTCTTTGATAACGACATCAGAAACTTCGAAAATCTTAAGTGGAAGCGGCATTTTTTTATTCGCTGCGATTGTTTTTAAAATCCCAGGTAGCAAAGTCGTGCGACACACTTGAAATTCGAGAGTTTTCGGATTTGAAATGTGTACAGCGGGGACTTCCTCGATCGACTTTAGACCTAGTTTAGTAGAAATGTCATCACGCGAACACTTGAAAGTTTTACGAAAGTTAAAATAATCAATTGTGATTTTTCACATACCAGAGAGAAGGTTAAAGCTTCGGTAAAACCAGCTTGAGCGATCGGCGCTCGTAAAAGATCCGAAAGTTTATTAATCGGGTTTTGAGATCCGATTGTGTTTGTTTTCGGTAAAGTGCGAACAATTTTATTATAACTAAAAGCTATAGCCACATCTTCGTAGATGTCGCAAGGGTGGATAATGTCATGCCTTGTGGGTGGAATTGTCACTTTTATACTGCTTCCATCGGAAGTCAGTTCGGACTTTAAACACATTTTATTTAAAAGCTTTGTAATACTTTCCGATGACTCACTAAAAAAAATAAAAAATAAGTTTGTTATTATTTTTTAAATATGTACCTGATGCCTATCACAGCATTCGCTTTATCGGCCGAGATCACTTCGTTACGGTACGTTAAATCTGGATAAATGATGGATTTACCACTAGCCGTAATCACCTCACAAGCCTCTACAGTAAAAGGTTCTTTGCAATACTGGCTGAACATACAAACCATAGTATCGACAACTATGCGAGCCTTAAATAAAAGGTTTAATTATACATAAAAATAATTAAAAAAGTATCTTTGAAAAAAGTTCGCGATTCAGCTAGTGTTGTAAAAATTGGGTATTACGAGTACTAATAATTATGGTTGATTTTCTAATAAAAAATATCCGAGTATTGATTCTTTTCCTGTAAACAAATTTGTATTTATTATCTAATTTCGAGTTTTTTTACTTTTTTCTCTACAAATATGGGGACAGGAAGTGCCAGTCAACACTTTACGATTGATAAGTCTGATTCATTTATAAAAAAATTATGTAAATTAAAATAATTGCAATACAACTGAATCGTCGCAAACCAGTTTCACACAAAACGGTTACTCACTTTGGTCAAATCAGTTGCGGTACATTCTATTAAAACATTTTTTGTGTTTAATGTAATTTTGGAATGATCCCCATTAATAATCGGCGGAAGTGACAAAATAACCCCGTTACTATCCAAAACCAGTGGATATACATCGCTGTCCTTGATAATGTGCAAATATTGTTTCAATTGCGCATGCGTCTGAAATATCATGAGACTTATGGGATTCCCCTAAAATCGACTCAGAGCTTACTGAATATAGTTCCATTACGCCGTTGCCGTCACACTCTTTGGTTTGATTAAGCGGTACAAATTTAAAATCAGAGGGTGGTTTAGCATCATAGGTGAATGGCCCTTGAACTGTATCCAAATCGTGCGTCCCTATTGATACAAGTGTGCGTTTGCGACAAATATTTTGATGCAACTTATCTTGCAAATCAATGAAGCTGTTGTAAGAATCTTGAGTGAAGTATAAATTGCGCAAAACGGCACCTACTATATAAGGCCGGATTTTAGCAGTTTCAGGTGTTACGTGAATTTTTTGAATACTGTCGGATGACGGTTTGATACATTTGTAAACTGGGGGCTGGATTCTACAAAAATTTTGTTGTACCTTTGTTAAGACACTTTGTTTGTGACTCACTTTCCCTGAAATATTTTAATTCCTAATGATATGCCTTCAAGACATAATAAATCATATCTGTTTGCAGGAATGTCAATTCGGTAAATGACTTCCTCGGAGGCCCCTGCAGCAAGGGCGCAATCCTCCCCTTGTTCTTTACTAATCATCTGTTTTTCTGTTGTCTTGAAATTTGGAGCATTATTGCATCATTTTAAGCTTTAGAGTGTTGAATACTTACAACTTCGTCTAATTCAAGCCCGAATTCAAAACATAATCGTTGGAATTCATCGTCAGCTAAAATTGCAAGTTTTGACAATAAGGGGGTACAGAATTGAGACAACTTACTGAATGTTCGGCCCAGGGCTTCGAAAAGTAAATTTCGCTTGACTCCAACAGTCGGCATTGTATATTTTTATTTACAATTAAGTATTTATTTGCAAAAACGAATCTGAACACGTTTCAAGTGTTTCACAACCTAAAAACGATGACACTTGACTTGTCTGGATCTGTCAAAATCAAAATTTTAGCATTTTTGGTTTTGTGTTTGCCAGTGAAATTCAGGAACTGAGAAACTTAAAATACCGATATTTAACAATTCTAGCAATTATATCACATCATAACTGTAAGTAAAATGAGAAACAATGTGAAATTGTAATATAAATTTATTTCGTTTTTGTTTAAACTGTGAAATAACGCCATTTTTCCGGTTAAGGGTTAGGGTTGGTATACCTGCGAATTGCGAGACGTAACGTTTCCTAACCTAAAAAGTCTCCTTTGCCCAAACAAATATAAAAATGGGCTCAAAGAAGAAGAAGCGTGCTTCCAGCAGTTCAAGTTCTTCAGATTCAAGCAGCGAAAGTTCAGATTCGTCCCCCGAAAGGCAATCGAAACGTAAAAGTAAGAAATCTGAACCGAAGCCCGAAACTGAAGAATCACCAAGAAAAGTAAAAACAAAATCAAATTCGCATAAAAAACACGAAAATCCACCTGTAGCAAGTGATGAAGAGGGTAAACAAATGAAACGGAGTGAGAAGAAAGCAATTAATGAGGATGAAAGTGACGCCAAACAAAGGTATAATTTTTGAAGGATTTAAGAGAAAAATGTTAATTATATTTGAAGGAAACGTAAGCGGAGCCCTGTACCTGAAAATAGGGATAGGAGGGAGAGAGATGAAAAGAGGGTGAGGGATGATAGGGGGCGATATGATGATAGGAGAAATCGCTCTAACGACTACAGGTCTCATGAAAACAGATTCAGGAACCGACGTCCAGACTACAGGGATAGAGAACGCGATTACAGAAACAGAAGGGAAGATAACAAAAATTATCACAATAGGGACCGAAATCGGTATAAATAAAAATAAACAGATAGAAATAATCATTTAATATTTATTATTGTTAGAGAGAACCACCAAAGGAGACGTAGTAGAAGCGCTTCGTTTGATCATTCGAATGCCCGGTGGGGCCGCGAGACTGATGACAAAAAATCTGACAAAAAGGAGAAAGAACAGAAGGAAAAACAAAAACCGAATTTTGCTCTTTCAGGCAAGCTTACTGAAGAAACTAACACTTATCGTGGCGTTGTTATAAAATATAGCGAGCCGCCGGAGGCGTGTAAGCCAAAACGACGGTGGCGTTTGTACCCCTTTAAAGGTGAAAAGGCTCTGCAAACTTTATACATACATCGCGAAAGCGCGTATTTAATAGGGCGCGATCGCAAAGTCGTTGATCTACCTGTAGATCATCCTTCCTGTTCAAAACAACACGCCGCTTTGCAGTATCGTTTAGTTCCATTTACGCGTGAGGATGGCACTACTGGTTTGTTGTTAAGTTGATTAATACATTTAATGCTTTATTGTGTTGTTTTTTTAGGGAAAAGAATAAGGCCGTATTTGATTGATTTAAATTCAGCAAATGGCACTTACATTAATAACAAAAAGATTGAACCGAGTAAATATGTGGAGTTGTTGGAGAAGGATGTAATTAAGTTTGGGTTCAGTTCAAGAGAGTATGTTTTGCTGCATGAGAATAGTAAAGATGAGGCACAGGATGATGATGTTAAACAAGAAGAGGCGACGAAAGAAGAAGAGGCGACAAAACAAGAAGAGGCGACGGTCCAGGTCAAGAGTGAAGAGAATTGATTTTTATGTATATACTTCTAATTAGTTTAGGGTTCTGTCAATAAAATCATTTTTTTGATTAAAATTCAAATTTCCTGCGTCTATGATTTAGTTCAATGTCATGCCACTGATAGCGCTTTATTTTAGACATTTGTCTGCATTTGTCATTTTACTCATTTTTGAGGTTACGTCGCATTGTTTTTATAACCAAGAAAAATTTTTTGTATCGTTAAAATAAAAACTTTAATGTATAAAATTTGTTAATAGTGTGAAAGTGTTTTTTTTCCATCATTATGTCGTCTCAAATGAGCACGAAAGAAAAACTTCTTTACATAATCGACGATATCGAATTAATCTCCAAGTATGTTTCATTTTTTGGGTGTCTCCTCGCTTATTTATATTATTCTTTAGAGAAATCATCGAGAATTCCATCGCTCCTAAACACCTCAAGCTCTCCGGTCCTGAATACGCCCAATTAACGGAGCTTTTGGTTGCCAAAAACACTGAACTTACTGAAACCCTCAAACTGGCCGCCGAGCAGGCCCAAATCGACAAAAAAATGGACATTCTTAAGGCCGAAGTTGAGCGTCAAGACAACGACATTAACAATTTGCAAAAACAACTCAAAGAAGCTGAACAAATCCTTGCGACTGCTATCTACCAAGCCAACCAAAAGCTCCAGTCAATCTCCCGCGCCAACAAACGTCCAGTTTCATCAGAAGAACTCATCAAATTTGCTCACAGAATTAGCGCATCTAATGCCATCTGTGCCCCCTTAACGTGGCAACAAGGCGATCCGCGACGACCATATCCCACTGATATTGAAATGAGATTGGGGCTGTTGGGGCGACTGATGAGTGATCCGATTAACGGACATTTGTTGCAACAGCAGAACAGTTTGTCAGATTTACATAGACAGGGGCACCCTGGGGAAATACCTGCAGCGCAACAAAATCAATTTGCGTGGCATCCCTCAGGGGAGATTCATATGAGTGTGGGGCAAGGGAGTGTCCCCATGGATACGAGGAATCATAAACAGGAGACGGAGGATGTTGAGGTTATGTCCACGGACTCCAGCAGCAGTTCCTCAAGTGATTCACAGTAGTTTTATTGCTTTTTAAGGGCTAATTTAATTTTTATTATGTTTTTTGTAAAGACTATTGCATTAAAATTCAAAATGTTTGGATGCCACTGCGCATGTGCATATACCATTTCTTTGCCAAAAAAACTGAAATTTGATTTTGAAAAGGAAAATAAGCTGAGACTTTGGTTGTACTGAATTAGACTGATAAAATCAATAGATTGTTTGAGAAAAGTTTTGTCTCATCAATCAAACTCTTCGTGACAGTTTAGATAAGATCTTTGTTTACGTCTGATGAATATTGTCTTCTTATGTTTGTTTATAATGGAAGGAAAATAAAACACATTTCGTTGTAATACCAACGTCTAATATTTAATTATTTCCTACAAGCGGAAAGTGACTCAAATTTATTGTTTGATGAAATAATGATCACAAAAATTAAGCAATTTCTCATTACTTTAATTTCCAACAACACTCATTTCCTATAAAAACAAGTTTGTTGTTTGATTGCGTTTTTATGATAGGTACAAATTTACAAGTAGGTTTTTTGATTTAATTTTTTATCGGATATGTGAAAGTTTATTTATCACAGGGACGTAGTGATAATTTAAATTAAACCGCGTTTAAAGCGAGCTAGGGCTGAAAAACGAGAGAAAGTCATCGAATATTATCGATATTCTTAACAATGACATTATCGTATCACAGTATCGATAATGAAAGTTTCCAACTGTAGTCAATTTTTCCGAAATACTTTAACAAACCAGTTATTTATTGTCATTATAACGATATGAGTATTAATAAATCAATAACATACAGGCGACTCATTTCCAAGGCTTGATCGACTGGTGGTGCTTGAGCTCAGCAATGAAGAGTCGGCAACCACTTTGATCAAATCTATGCTTTGATGAATATCGACAATAGCTGATTCTTTTTCTAACAGCTCTACTCCAATTACCATGTATTAAGGTGGAGGTGTGACGATGCACTTATTGTAGAACAGCACTAACGTGTTTCAACTTTCCAAAAATAATAGTATCTTTTGCTATAAACCAAATTCCTAGTCCTAGTAGGTACTAATCTATTCAATTATCAAAAAAATACTCTCATTTTTTGAAAAGTTTGTTGTTTCACCTAGAACACGTTTTCGAAGGATTTAAAACGTAGTGAGAGTTAGCTGGTAGGGCTCAGTACAGCAAACTGTCATTACGTACTTATAAATTATTCGGGTTTTTTATACATTTAACTTTACAGATATATACAGTACCACTTTTTCCGAACTGTCAATTAATTATTACATGTATTTGCGTACTAAAGTACATTTTGTAGCTAAAGGCGTGTATTTACAAAATATTAAAATAATTTAGTGAAGCTTGGGTCCCGCGTAAAACCAGCGTGGTACCTCTAATGAGCTAATTTAGGATTCCTATAAATATATTATTGTCTTTTGGTAATTATTGACCTGAACGAATGCTATGCACGAGTATTAAGTGCAATAAATAATGTTTAAAACATAATATGTATTTCCTGGTTACTTTGAGTGTGTAATCAGGAGGTGGTACTACGAAATTATCGCCGTTTACGTCAAGTGTAGATCACCTTTTAAAATTCTAGTAAAAGTCTTTTTGAATTGTTGGTTAGCAAGAGCATAACAGAAAGGATTAAGGGGGCTGTTGGCGTAGCAAAGGAAGTAGGAGAACATGTAGACGTGTCCATTAACGCATGGTGGATCCGAACAGAAGCCCACGACGAGAGCAAAAATATGGTATGGAGTCCAACAGATGACGAAAGCTCCCAAAATGAAGGAAATGGTTCTGAGGGCTTTTCTGGCCCTGTTTTCCGACTTGGACTTCTGCCTCCCGAACCCCCCGAACGGTACCACCGCTTTCTTTTTCTTCCCCTTTAACTTCTTGCCGATGTTTTTGACGAAATCCCTTTTGGCGGCGCCGTTATCGTCCGTGTCTGTTTTAGTAAAAGTTTTATTTCTGTTGACCTCTACAATAGTCGTCGCCGCCATAATAGCGGCCGCATTACCTGTCTGGCTGATGGCGGAGAGGCCACAGGGGGTGCTTGGGTCGGAATCCCTCGCGCCATCAACCGACAGCTCGCAAACACTCGTGATAGGCCGATCAGAACTCAGAGTCACCTCCGTGTTGACTTTCCTAGTTGTGCGGATCAGAGTCGTCTGGAGCAAAGACGCGTTAGTGGGAGGGGGCGTCGAGGGGGGGCTTTCGCACGAAGGGGAGGGGACAACAACCGAACTCTCGTCCATGTAACGCAAGTCGGCGCCGTCTAGGCCGACAAGAGCATCGTAAGGGGTCACATGCAAGTTGCGGGGGCGTCCGGGGGGGCTACTCTGGAACTGCTCGGGGGGCGGAATGATGCTGTGAGTTGATTTTGGCGAAGGGGAGGGCTGAAGAGGGGCGGAGCAACCTACCGGCTTTTCCAGGTTGGCCGGGTTCTGCTCGGTGATTTGAGGCAGAGTGGGGGAACGCTTCTCCGATTGGCTGGAAGGGATGCCGCCGTTCACGCGATTGTTGTTTTCAAACATGTGGAGGGGGGCGCTACTCTGTACCACTATTCCTACTATGGAAGAGCGTTTTTTGGTTTGGTGTTGGGCTGAACTGTCCTCGTCCGATTCGAATGCCGGGCTGCTTGATCTTTCAGACTTGTCTTGGTCACCGGAGTTTTGACCTGTAGGAAGACACAAATTTTTTCTTTCCACATTGTTTGTGTCGGCTGTCGTAGTAGTTGTTGTCACAGTCGTGTTACTTTTACTAGAACTAGTTTTCTGACTAGAATCCTCTTTCAGAGTCAAATTATTTCCTGTCATTCCCGATGGGTTATTTACAGAAACTGCTGCGATTGTCTGTGGCTTATCCTGACTTAACAAAGTACTTTGAGTTTTTGACAGACCAATTCCTGCTGCTCTTCCTGCCATTCCTGACATCGCTCCTGCACTTAGCGCTACCATAGATTGCATCTTCCTCTGTTTGGCTTCACTTTTCTTCTGCATATCGTAGGCAGTTTTGTAAATCCCTCCATACAATATAAAAAGAACAATCAAAGTCGTCCAGTAATATCCTATGATAAGAGCAGTGTTAAAAATGGGGTCTTTGAGGAATTGTACGGCACATTGGCCCGGTTCTAAATCCCTATAACCGATAAAATGCTCCCATCCAAATATACTAATAAAAAATAAAAGTGCTGGAATTATCCACGTAATGGTAACCATCCAAACTACTCGTGGTTTTGTTCGCCAACTTCGGTATTTTGCTGCAATTTTCACAGAACAAAAACGGTCGATTGTTATGAGAAGTACTGTGTACTGGGAAACCAAACAAACTGTGTAATCAACCGAAAGCCACAAGTCGCAGAGAAGGGGTCCCAAGTCCCAGGAACCCATCAGGACGTAAACGGTGTAAAATGGCATGGAAACGGTACCTGAAACCAATCATTATCATCATTTCAATGGTTTAACAATGATCAAAAACAAAATTTATTTAATATTAATAATTTGAACTAACTTTTTTTCCATTTAGTCAGGGAAAGAAGATTTAAAAAAACAAGTTTGTCACCTATGAGCATATCAGTGGCAGCTAGAGAGGCGATGAAATAGTTGCTGGGTTGTCTAATATTCCTGTCGACGATGAATGCCAGCAGGACGAGTATATTTCCGGCAACAGTCAAAATAATGCACAGTCCTAAACAGATCGCAATCAAGATGGTTTGCCAGAGTTCAAACGGCGGCAAGTGAGGTGTTACACTGGGAGAAAAATCGGCAGATCCGTTCTTAGTTGTATTAGCTTCTAGAAAGTCGATGTTGGAGTCGTTTCCCAGGATGTTGAGCGGATCCCACGTTTTGAAAACTGTGGTGGAATTGAGTGCTTGCGTGCATTCTCCGAACGAAAGAATTCCACTGTAGACAGTTTTGCAGATTTTCTCTCGTTGTTTCTGAAGTTTCCTGCAACAAAGTTGGATTGAACTCGTTTTTTTCAATTTCGAGGAAAAGCGAGGTCCGCTTGGATATGAGTCATGTAATATTTGGTTGAGGTGGAGGAGCGAAATTCCGGGACGGTTTTGCCTTCATTACACGACCGACTGAGCGAACAGCTTCATTAACGTCGACTGATGCTTATGACGCTTCTTCCGAACGCAAAACTTTGCCACTGGGTGATGTTAACCTGCTCGGTAATTATCAACGAATTTTTATAACGAACGACAGAAGGCAATTTTGTTTTTGCGAGAGCTAGGATAAATTGGAGGCATTAATTAAATTTACTCTTTTTCCTAACACACCAAATGAATTTCATCAAAAAATTATGTTCTGCAGTAAAGGGAGATCTTCATTGTTTTCAATTATTGTTATTGAAACACTGCAGTGTGGCTATTAAGACAGTTTAATTTGGAAAAGCATAGAGTAATCAGGGGCGGACTGGCAAATTTTTATATGGAGTGCTAAGTTGAAATGAGGGCCCAATATACAATATAACAAAAATATGTAGAAAAACTACTTGTCACTTAATGTAGTAATTTTTTTGAAGGAGTTTGTTTCCTCTATTGAAATTGTGACGTCAGTTGATGATGGTTTATTAAACGAAAATAAAGTTTTTAGATGAACGTTTTCAGAGGCTGCTTGTAATTTTGATTTTTGTTTTTCTTTTCCTTTTTGTGCACCAAATTTATACTTATATTTAGATTTTTCTATTATTTATGCCCACTAATAATTAAAAAAAAATAATTAAAATTAAATTAATATAAGTAAAAACGATATTTTATATTTGTTAATTAAAAAATGTGTGGCATAATTTTAATTACGAATACCCCTCTATAATTGAGAATAGATAGTACAGTATTTATTGACCCACGTCAAAAAATAGAAAAATTACAACTTTCCAAAAGTCGGTATGAAAAAATGATTTTCTGGAAATATTTTTGTTACCGTTTATTATTATTAAATTTTGCGTATTAAAGGACAAAAAGACACTCTTTGATTTGGTGTAAACGGAAGTCTTGTAGAAGCTATACACTTCCGGTAGCAATGGGTCTTCCCAGTTTTGGGATCATAACTTTTTTTCGGCTTATTAATTTCTGTTTTTGATACAGCCCAATAATTTTTTTTATAAAAAAGGTAGTATCATATCTCCAAAATGTTCCGATCTCGGGTTATTTGAGTTTCAACTAAATTCTACATCGCGCTGCAAAATCAGAATTTATAAATTTTGAGCGTACCTTGGAAACAAACCATTACGAATGACATCGCTGTCAATGCTGTCATATTTAATGTAAATTTCATTAAATCCAAAGGAACATGTATGTTTATTTCTTGATGATTATAAAAGCTGTAATTTTTCTATTGCTTGATGAGTTGGATTAATAAATACTGTGCTATCTATGCTCATTTGTAGAGGAATATTCGTGATTAAAATTATGACACAAATTTTTGAATCACTTGTATAAATCCACGCGGAATTTTTCTTACATACGTGTAAGACCTTATAAACAAAATTGAGCTAAAATCATTGAAATTATAGAAATTATAGTTTTATTTGTTATGATGGCATTTTTAAATTTCTTCAAACTAAACACACTTATAGTAGAGGATACGAATTAGGGTCGACCTTCTGTTTACCGGATGAAACTTATTTTTTATCAAATTTAATATGCAAAGGAATATATCGCGAATGGGTTGCCTAAAAAAATATGTTCAAGGATATGATTTATTAAAAATACAAAAATTAATAATTTTTTATTACTTCACCTACTTGCTTACCAGAAAAATTAAATACCAATCGAAAGTATGAAGCCTAAGGAGTATGAAAAAATTGGGTTGCCTACCTTTTTCTGTTCATTACTATTGGGTTGCCAGGTATGAACAGGTGAGTCGATGTAGTAATTTGCACCGATCTGCTTGCGCAATAAATTATATATGAAAATAAAGATAATTTTATTGCGAACACGGTGGTATAGGGTTGCCTGCGAAAAAACGTTCATGAATGAGGGTTGCCGAGCTTTGAAATTGAAAAATCGGAGCAAATAAAGATAATCAAAAGTTGTAGATGTGCCAGTATTGATAATGATAAACGTATTGTCATGTAAAAAAAAATATTCCAATAGAAAAATACTTAAATAATGTCAAATTCAAAATTAAATAGACCCTCTAATTCGCAAGATTCGTCAGCATTTTGTTTTTCATTCATCTCAACAATATCCTCTAATTTCAGAGGCGTTTTTGGTCTCCAACAAATCCTGTTGGTTTAAAAAAAAAAACATCTAAAAACCAACGGCAGTTTTGAGGCAACAATTTCACACAATCGGAGTCAGTTGCATGGAGCCACGTGGAATTTACATAAATAGTACGCAAATTTTTTTGTTGTAGCGAATCCAGCACGGTGGTATAGACCGCTGAAGACTGCGACAGAGCAGGCTAGAACGCTATTGGGTCATTAAAAAAATTACGGAGTTTTTGAGTTTTTGAAAGTGAGCGATAGTAAAATCGTAAAAATAGCCAATTTACTTAATCTGGTAAAACGCTTAAAATATGATTTTTTAGATGTAAAATTAGGCGCTGAACACGATGCAACAGGTTAAAATACTCTGCGATGCATAGTTTTTGAGATATTAGCAATAGACCGCACTGCGTGCGAAAAATAGACCAAAATCTCGATACAAATAAAAAAAAATATTTTCAAATTGATCCAAAAGGCTGACGAATCCTGCGAATTAGAGGGTCTATTTAATTTTGAATTTGACATTATTTAAGTATTTTTCTATTGGAATATTTTTTTTTACATGACAATACGTTTATCATTATCAATACTGGCACATCTACAACTTTTGATTATCTTTATTTGCTCCGATTTTTCAATTTCAAAGCTCGGCAACCCTCATTCATGAACGTTTTTTCGCAGGCAACGTTATACCACCGTGTTCGCAATAAAATTATCTTTATTTTCATATATAATTTATTGCGAAAGCAGATCGGTGCAAATTACTACATCGACTCACCTGTTCATACCTGGCAACCCAATAATAGTGAACAGAAAAAGGTAGGCAACTCAATTTTTTCATACTCCTTAGGCTTCATACTTTCGATTGGTATTTAATTTTTCTGGTAAGCAAGTAAGTGAAGTAATGAAAAATTATTAATTTTTGTATTTTCAATAAATCATATCCTTGAACATATTTTTTTAGGCAACCCATTCGCGATACATTCCTTTGCATATTAAATTTGATAAAAAATAAGTTTCATCCGGTAACCAGATGGGTGAAGGTCGACCCTAATTCGGATCTTAGACTATTAGCTTCTGCGAAAATCGCGATTCAGCACTTCATGGATTAGCTCTATGCATTGTGGAAAGTTTATTTACAAATTTAAAATTATTGATATTATTTCAATGAGCTCTTGACATTATAAGCCTACCATAATCAGCGCAGGTATTATTTGATGTTGACGTAAGCAGACAGATCAGTAATTGCTCTGCAGTTAAGTGGAATAGACCACCGATAAATCTCTCTACTTGGTTTTCTATCTTAATTCATACGTCGTCACAGTTTGATTGTTTAAAACGTTTTTTCTGTCTAAGTTCTCCCCTCCATTTCTGTTAGTAGCGCTTATGTTACGGAATAAACATTCTAAGCGAAAAAATACAATGAAATCTTCCGTAACCGAACAGTGCGTTTAATAAATTGTCTTTTGAAAACATGAAACCTTGACATTCCCTGAATTATACCACCTTTTAGCATACAATGCGACGCTTTATCAGACTTGCAACAATGGCACTTCTTAGGGAAACCTGCGGTCGATATTCGATTAATGTGTAAAATCAGATAGTGTCGTGTCGGCGAAGTAATTACGAAAACTTGACCAAAAGCGGGGAAAATATTTCGCTCAAGGTTGTGTTTTAATTGAAGAAATCGACAATCCTAAATGTATTTCCCTCAGGAGTGGCTAATACCGCTCGGAGCGCATTTAAGTCATCACTTTCCCTCCAATATCATCATCTTAACATCATAATCTTCAAACTAAATTGCTTATTAGATTTTGAAGCTTATACATGATATCGGTTGGCGTCTTAGCTGATTATTTTACCGAATGCAAACACGGGGAGAAAAAGTCACTTTTATTGCCATGAAGAAATGGAGCGGAAACGCTTCGCATTCATTTTGAATACGGAACGGGACGGCAAAATTAAATTTCGATGCTCGATTAAAAAAGTACTTGAACTAAAATTGGATTTTTATAATGAAAAAAGAATTTTTTTTTAAGAATTATTGATTCACATACACTTACTTTCTCTAGAAATGGATTTGTAATAACATTTTCCCCCTTGATTCTTTTACCTATAAGAGACAGGTACTTATTATTGCTTATGAGTGCTTAAAAATCAATACTTAATGTTGGAAATTTTATATAGAATTGGGCAACAATAATTGTATTCTAATATGAAAATATAATGAAGTTGTTTCTGAACACTAAAAGTTTTAACATTTCTCCGTTATTTACACCGTCATCAATTTTGAGAAAGAAAACTAACCACGCCACTGGTTTGAATAGCCTTATTAGAGACACAAAGTAGAAGAAGTTTTATTTTTCGTTAATAATAATGTTTTGATCGTCATTGGAGAATTTTCGTTGTGAGCTTTTATTCGTGTACTGTCAACACTAGTGGCTAGGGCAATTTATTAATTTGTATAGCTCGCTCGCTACGATATAAACTTTCCGCCTATGTAATAATTAAATGCCAGGGACAAAAGCACCACACATTAGAGATTAATACAAATCGAATTTTGATCTCATTATAAACTAGAAAATTTCATTAATCGTTGCAGCGAGTTATCAATATTTGCACCGGACTAATAGAATTATAAAGAAAAATTCATAAAAGAGTGTACACAAAGCATTTTAATTAGTCGAGTTTTGCGCGAGTGGGAAAAAAGTGATTTCATATTAGAGGTCATATT